ATCCGGCCTGGCAGTCGCTGCCGGCAGCCTCTGCCCCGCCCCGCTCCGCACACTCCGCCCCAGCCGCGCCCGCCCCGCCTCACCCCGCCACGCCCCGCCACGCCCGCCCCGCCACGCCCCCGGCCTCCCTGCAGGCTCACAGGCTCAGCGTCGCTCAGCGGGGTGGTGCAGGGGCCCGGTCGCGGCCTCTGCCCTCCCGGGCCGCGATAGCACGGCGTGCCCGACCGCGGCCCGAAGGCCCGAAGCACTCGAACTGAACGTCGGAGAAGCCAACCCAAGACTGAGCTGCTACCTTGAACCTTGAACCATTTCGGTTCTTGCCTGAGCGTTGAACAAAGCTAGCGGATTCCGAATGTTCCTGTCTAGACCCCTAGGGGTGTTTCTGCGAGTGCGATTTCATTCTTCTCGCCGATCCGCGCAAATTTTTTTCGCGAGTCCTCCCCTATTCATTTTTGCCGACAAAACAGCGGCCCTGCTCCGCCAGGGCTGCTCTTCCCCCTTGCTTCCCCTCCGAGGGCGCGGCGCGCGCGGCGGCTGGAAAGGGGTGGCATTGCTGTCTGGAGAGAGGCAGCGGCCGAACGTGCAAAGCAGGCTACCTACTTCGATGCTGCGTGGCCTACTATGTCTATGCCTGGGTGCCAGGGGCGCCAGACTTGGTCGTAGACTTGGTCAACCCAGTGTAGTGTTCCATTCCCCTCCACTCTACCTTACTCCCACACGTGCTGCTTGGTCCTTGTCCGACCGTCACCCGCCCCAGCCCACCCCAGCCCGACGCGCCGTTAGCCCCATCATGTCATCCCTCCGGGACCCACTCTGGCCCTCATAGCGCGGCCGAGTCTCGCCTGCTGACTTGTGAGTCGCGGCGTGGCTGTGGGTCCCTTTGTGACACACTCGTCTCACATTGTGCGTCGCCCAACATGGACCACCCCGCAGAACTTGGCTCGGTGCGACGGCGGCCTCCAACTTGGGGCCTTTGCGTGCTCGGGAACGGTTGGACGGGCCCTGGACGAGGCGCTACGCGCGGCTACGCGGTCACAGCACATTCCCTGCCAGGGTAATGGGGGTTTGCGGCTACTGGGCGGACCTGGACGGACCTCCGGACCGACCGCGGCATAGCCATGGCATAGCCATGGCATAGCCGGCGTAGCGTAGCGCCACTCGCATGCCATTCTCGGCCTCCTCCAGGACCCCCAGGCATTCCGCATTGGATTCGAGCGGCGCCAAGCCGGGGATCGCGTCGAGCCGAGACCTGGCCGGCCCCGGCCGTCATGCGTGTGCGTACGCTGTATAATACCCTCTCCTCGCGGCCTCGACGGCCTCTCCAAATCTCTGCCCCTTCCCCTCTTTGGGGTGAGGCCGGGGATCGCATACCGGCCGAAGCCGCGGACGGAGGGGGGAAAGAAAGAAAACATGCCGGGCTTCACTGGACGGATAGACAGGCGGACGGACAGACGGGCTGGAGTGGCGAGTGCGACAGAGCGAACAAGGGAAAGAGATTAGAGGAGCGCGGGAGAGTGACGGAGAGCATCGGGCCGAGGGAGATGAGGTGGAACCGAGGGGAAAGATCACGCAGGGCGTCGCAGGGCGTCGCAGGGCCGCAGAGGGAGTGGATAAGCGGACGGACGGACGCTGGCGGCACTGATGGAGGAGGGGGGCTGTGCGAGCGGGAGCGAGACAGAACGAACGAGAAACAGGCAAACGAGAATAATTCAGGAAATAAGCAAGAGGCTCTTCCCTTTCCAACCCTGCTCCGCAGCTCCGCTCCGGGCTGCGCGGGGAGGGCGAGGAGTGCGGGGAGGGGAGCCCGGTCCTGCCTGCCCGTGCTTCTGCCTGCTTCTGCTGCCTGCTTCTGCCGCTCTGCCGTGCTGCGGCGGTTCCCGGTTCTCCCTCGAGCGCCGAGTCGAGCAGCCGCGCCGGCCAGGTCCTTGACGAAGTGAGCCGAGCCGAGGCACCCGCCGCCAGGCCCGCCAGGCCCGCCAGACTGGCCGCGCGACCGAGTAGAGCGAGAGGGACGAGGAGTGACGGGGAGAGAGAGGGAGAACCCTACCCGACGCGGCGTGGCGCGGCGTGAGGCTCATGGTGTCCCATGCTGGCACCTCATGGCCTCATGGCGGCCAAACAACCCTCCCCCTCTCCTTGTTGTGTCGCCAAGCCATTCCGACTGACGGTGCCTGCGCTGCACCCCGTCACGACGCGGCACGACGCGGCACGCCCGGCACGGCGTTGCGGTGGCGTCGCCTCTCCAAGTCCCTCGTAACGTCCTTACCACGCCGCGCCGTATAATGTCGTCACTAAAATCCCGGCAAGTCCTGGGAAGGCATCCTGGACGCGTCCCCCAGGCAGCTGACGCCTGAGAACGGCACCTTCCGCAGTCCGGGCCCGGCAAGAAATAATAACAGAAACCTCACTGTCTTAAACTTGAGATTGGACCGTCAAGCAGTGCTTAATTAAGGCCTCGCTTAAGCGCACAGTCTGCGCGCTCGCACCCCGCCGTCGCCCGACATTTTGAGCGCACGTCGTTTACGGACGGTCCCTCCCTCGGCGGCCGCTCGGGGACGGCCCCCCGGACGACAGCCGCACAAGAAATGGCTGGCGTTGTAAAGTAGTATGGTCTTGGTGAGGATCGGGTCCCGCCCGCTGGGCTCCAACATGAGCTGCACAGCCTGCATCAGCCTGAATGCCTGCCCGTCCGGCTGTCTGCCGGTCGTCCGACCGCCTGCCGCGCGGCCCGCCCGGCCGTCCGCTGGGCCGGGGCCGCCTGCACGCTGCATGGAAAAGATGGTGGCGGCGCGCCGACGGGGAGGGGACGGAGAGGGCGAGCGGGGAGAGGACGTCGGGGTTGAGGAGGAAGGGGGAGAGGAGCGCTCCGAGTGTCGAGAAGCCGCCGTCTGCCGCCGCATCGGCAGCACCGGCAACACGCCGTCCCGTGCTGAGCGCGGAGCAGCGCGCCGAGCCGGGCCGTGGCGAGCCGCGCCGGGACGGTGGGCGGTGTAGGCTTGCCGCCCGTCCCGGTCCGTCCGCCTGGCGGCCTGGCGGGCTTGGGCGGGCTCCGCCATCCATACCACACATCGCGGCGTGGCGCGGCGTCGCGGCGCGCCGGCCTAAGCCTCCCAATCTTTGATTGGCGTGATAGGGACACAGCGGCGGGCTCGGTGGCGGGGCGCGGTGGGGCGCGGCGGGGCGCAACGGAGCCTACTCGCGGCGGCTGGCCTCCCGCCGCCTTCCCGCTGCCGCACATGCAAGTCGTGGCGATGGCCCATTTATCTTGCTGGCGAATATAATGGCTTCGGCGAGTCGAGAGTCGAGGCCACGACGGGGACGGAGCTCACTCGGGGCATTCATACCCAGTCCGACTGTCTCAATGAGGGCCTACTTAGCGTGCAGGCCCTAAGGTCTCGATCCGCGAAATCCTGCTCGGGTCGCTAAAGTGAAGTACTTTTCACCTGTTGTTGGCTCTCATCAATTCTAGGGGGAAGTCCTTCCTCTCCTCGGCTTTGTGCTCCCTCGATCCCCGATAGCGATAGAGTAAATGGGTTCGAGGAGCAGCGTGTGCCCGAAACCGGAGCGCCAAGCCCCAAGTCGAAACGTGTGTCCCCAGTCCCGCCTGCCAGCACAGCTCGCTCTGCTCGCGTCGCCGTGTCTTGCTGCGCCAACACTTTCGGCGAAAGCTTAGGCAGGCAGAACCCGACCCACCTCGGGGTCCCTTGCTCGGCGAGCTGAGTCGCGAGAAATGCTACGCCGCGTCCGGCTTGCTTGTCAGCCACAACAGCGGACCTCATTAGCTGGGCCGGGGCACGCCCTGCGCCCCGCGGACTCAGTGTCGAAGCAGATCAAGCAGTGGGTGGTCTCGAACGCGTCAAGTGGTTCAGCGCGGCCTGCGAGTGCCATCAAGGCGTCTTTAAGGCCCGATTAAGCACGTGGCGGTCCAACACGCTGCAGCCCTAGCGCTAGGCAACCCTAGGCAGGCCTGCCACGCGGGTGTCCGGCGGGTTGCAGCGCTGCCGGGCGGCATACAGGACATGAGCCCCGTCCCGTTTGAGCCCCGATGGTCTGAGCCCCGACCTGAGCCCCAACCTGAGCCCGGGTTGAGCCCCGACTTGAGCCCCGACCCAAGCCCCAATTTTCAGAGCCCGGATTGAGCCCCGACCTGAGCCCCGTTTGAGCCCCATTTGAGCCCCACTTGAGCCCCGTGGCAATAAATCATGCAAAAATGCGTGATTTCAGGTCGCGGGGCTCAAATGGGGCTCAAACGGGCTCAGGTCGGGGCTCAATCCGGGCTCTGAAAATTGGGGCTTGGGTCGGGCTCAAGTCGGGGCTCAACCCGGCTCAGGTTGGGGCTCAGGCCGGGGCTCAGACCATCGGGGCTCAACGGGACGGGGCTCATGTCCTGTATGCCTGCCGGGCCGAGGGGCTTCCACCGCGCGACGCGCATTCGCAGCGGCAGCCAGCGGCCAAGCGGCACCCGGGGACGGGGAGGGAAGGGTTGAGCGCGCGGGCAAATGGAGTTTGGCGGTCAGAAATGGTTCTCGGAACCGGACAGTGCACGCTGCCCCCGCCACGCCGCCGCGCCACGCCACGCCGCGTTTTAGGCGCGGTGCCCGGGCCTGGCGGCCTGGCCTGCCTGCCTGCCGGGCCGCGGTGGTGCCGTGGTGCCCCGGCGGGGCTGGGCGGGCCGGCCAATGCCTGCCAGAGGGCTGCGAGGGCTGCCAGAGGGGGTGGGGAGGGGAAGGGGGTGACGCGTCGGCCCAACTGGCGCGGCCGTCGGCGTGCGCGTCGCCAGCCAGCCGATAGGTTAGCGCTGCCCTCCCGTCCCCGCGCGCCGCGCCACCCCCTCCACCCCTCCCTGCTCCCGCCCCGCCACCCTCGCCTCCCTGCCCCTCCCGCGGGGACTACCCCCTCCACGCCCCGATCCGTTGGCGCGGCGCGGCGCACGCATGCGCGCGGCGAGGCCGCGGAGGACGGCGTGGTGCCGAGCGCGGTGCTGCCGCCGACCATCCACAGGCCACCTTGCAACATGGCGTAGCCGGCAACCAATCCCGAGCCGGCGACGCCCTGTTCTTCTCTTCTTCTTCTCCGGCCGCCCGTTGCCCGTTCCCCCACGACAGTGGCTCGCCTGCCTGCCTGCCAGCCAGCCGTTCCCGGAGCCGTGCCTTGCCGTGGTATTTACATCCGCGCTGTGCTGTTTGCTGCAAGCCCCAGAGCCCCAGCGGCCTAAATCGAAACCGCCGGACTCGGACTCCAAAATGGGTACTGGTGCCTGCGCTTAAGTGCAGCGCCGCTACCCCCCGCCCCGCGGCCGGATTTGGAAAGTCGCCGCGCACCCTCCCCGACCCGATCAGCGAAACCACAGTGGCTGCTCGTACCCTCCGCACAGTAAGTCCATGGGGGTGAAATTCCAAGCCTGACTGAGGACCCTGCGACTGCCTGGGGGGCCTGGGGCTTTGGCCTCGCAGCGGTGCTGAATCTGCTGACCCATGGCTTCCAGTGAAAGCGCTGCGCTAGCCTCAGCCCTTGTTGTTGCGCCCGTCCGCTGGTTGGCTGCTAGGGCTAGCGCTAGAAGCGATACTCCGCGCTGCGCTCCGCTCCACTGCCGTAGCGCGGCGCAGCGAGCAGCGAGCGCAGCAGGAGGCCGCCTCCTCTCCGCGGTTCTAGCTTATCGACTAAGACTTCGGGCGTCGCGCGCAGCCAGTGTGCTTCGCTTTCCCCGATACGTCTGGATTAGGACAGGACTGGCCGCCGCCTGGCGCCCGTCGTTAGGCCCGCCGTCTGCTTTTGTTGTGTCAACAACCCTAGAAATGAGGTTAGGTGGCGCTAATTAAATGGGGCCCCTCTCCCCAACCCGTCCTCCGCACCCGTTGTGAGAGTTGCTTCACCGCTAGTGTGTGTTAATTGGCGAGAATTTGCCTGGAATTGGGAAGCTTTCTGTTGTTAGCAATTTTCAAGGCTGTATGTTGTTATTGTATCTGCGATGAGTTAAGATTTTTTAGTTTTGAGCCTGCCCTTATTGAACTTCTTACGAATTTTTAATTCTTAACTGAGGATAATTCACTAGCTGGGGTTGTTAAAATGGCTACAACTTTTTCCCTCGTTTGTTCCAGGGGAATGAGACAAGCTATGCAATAGTCTTGTAGAAGATTGCATTTCGTGTTAGTCCCAGCAAATGGACCCAAATCAACAGCAGCAACAAGCATTACATCAACAGCAACAAGTCATGCAGCAGCAACAACAGCAAGCAATGCAACAGCAGCAAGCAATGCAGCAGCAGCAACAACAGCAACAGCAGCAGCAGCAGCAACAACAACAACAGATGCAGCAAGGCCAAGCTCCTCAGGTAACTACTGGAGTTTTTTCCATTTTTTTCCTCCATCTTAAGTGCGGTTTGACATTGTAGTCTGTAGAGGTATAACAGATATGAATGTTCTGTAGATGCCTGGGGTCTTGGAAAGAGATTTTTTACTATCTAGTCACTAACATTTATAGCAAACGTTTCCTGAACTACATTGACCTTAGTAGATAATTGTTGTCTAACTATTCTTCCTTTCATCTTTGAGAGGGTTGGCTTCTCTGTTGTGGTTGCTATGGCTTTGTGGGTCTGGTGATTGTTGCCACTATTTGACGATGGTTGTACTTGTTCAGGTGGTGCAACAGCAAGTGATGGCAGTGCATGATGGTTCTACTGTGAGTGGTGCTGGTGCTGGCGGAGCAAGCGTAGCAATGGGCATGATGACTCAAAATCCTCAAGCTGTCACACTTGTTGCGTCTTCCATGCCTTCAGGCATGACTCAGGCTGGTCAACCGCAAGTTCAGCCTCAGGTTAGTGTGGCATGCCGTTTGGCTTTTTTTTTTCTTTTTTAGGTTTTTCAGGATGTTTCTGTCAATGACCCACACTTTGGATCACAATCCTAATAATCTAAGATCAAAGCAGTCTTTGTTCTCTAAGGCACCCTTAAGTTTGCCTATCTAATTCCCTGCCTCCTTGTAGCAGGTAACTGTGTCGATGCAACAGCCGGGCATGGCAGGTCAAGGGATGAACCCAGGCCCTGGCCAAACCCAGAATGCTATGGTCCCGCAGTCCCAGTCAGGTGCAACTCCTCTGACTTCCATGTCGTCCCTTCATCATTCCTTAGGACATGCTCATCCTAATATGGGTCATTCTCAGATGCAGCCAGTAAGTCCCTCTCCCTTTATTTCCCCCTTTTATTTTCAATAATTCATGGACTTTTATTTTTTTGAGTTGTCTTGTTGTTGGTGATATTAATTTTTAGTTTCTGTCTTACAGTTGCAGGTCATACAACAGCCTCTTCAGAATGGATCATACATCCAGCAGTTGTACAACCCACAAGGCCAGCTTATCATGCCGGGAAACATCGCTCTGCATCAGGGTGGTATGAACGCTCAACCAATTCAAGTTATAACAGCCAATGGCAAGACAATGCTACCGACTGGCCAGGCGTGTGAGTAGCAGAGTACCAATTATGAACCCTCCTGCTGAGCGCATTTTCTGCAAAGCTCTTAGTAATCCACTTTACTTAGTCTTCCACCAAACCTGTAGATTATCCAATTTTCTTTTTTTTTTGTGACAGACTTTGTTGTATGCATGTATCATAGAGATAGTTGTTTCTGATCAAACCCCACATTTTGGAATTAACTTTTTTTTTTAGTGTTGGAGGGTCTCTGCTGAAGTCTGGCTCGTTGCTTTTGTCCTGGCCTGTAGTGCTGTTTTGATTTAAATTCCTTTTGACACATTTTCTGATAGTCTAATGTTTGTCCATTTTCTTTTAGCCGCTTTCCCAAACTACATACCCACCACTACAAATCAGACGCTCATCCTTTCAAACTTATCAAATCTTGGTGTAATCAGCAGCCAACCTAATTTGCTGCCTGCTCAGCCAGGTACTCCTACAGGAAAGCCTCAAGATATGCAGAAGGTATTGTGATTTGTCTCAATTCTTCCTGATTGTTAACTCTGTTGCCTTCCCGAATTTTGCCCCCTTGACTGTTTTTAGGGATTGTCAACGCAGACTGTTGTTAGTGCTGCCAATGGTGGCATGAAAACTTCCACTATGGTCCAGCCTCAAACTCCTCAGCAACAGCAGCAGCAGCAAAATCAAAATCCACAGCAACAGCAGCAACCTGGTGGGCCACAGCAACAATCTCTTTCAGGCTGTGTGGTGTCGCAACCTCAGTACGTGACAACGCAGGCGCCCACTGCTACAATGCTTGGCGCCCAGGGCCAGATTATCAGCCCTCTTCAGGTGAGTCTGAGATTTGGTCACTCATTTCAAACATCCTCAGTTATTATCCTCATAAAGTTATTTTGTATTTTTGTCAGCAGCAGGGAGGACAGCCTATGCAGTTTCCGTTCACTCAATTTCCTCAGGGTATTACCTGGACCTCCGGAGGGATAATTGGTAATCAAATACCCCAAAACCACATCATCATTCGTCCTACTCAAGCTGATGGCACACCAGGACCACCTCAAATGTTCCTTCAGAGTCCTCCATCACAAGTGATGACACCTCAACCTCAGCAAATGCCTGCTGTTCAGTCCATTCAACAAATGGGCAAGCCAAGACCAGCCCTGGAAATGGCAACCAACATCCAGCCCAAAATGCAACCACGTGCAGTACCTACAATTCTCCCCTCTCAAAATCACAGACCAGCAACCTCCGTCTCCACCCAGACTTTCCAAAACGCTTCCCCCAGTCAGGTATTGTACTTAAATTAAATGGTTAATTTCCATACATATTGTCTGTTTATGCCATATTCTTATGACCTTCTAATGCTCCCTTCTGTTTAATTAGGTCCAAGCTCAGAAGAATCAACAAAAGCCCAACCGTACTAAACTGGCGATGGCCCGTGGGCCTCAGCCAATCCCAGTGCAGCCTGCACCAGCGCCCACTCCTATACCGAGCATGCACATGGCTCAAAACAAAGATGCTAATGGTCAGCCAAAAGTGGGAACTGGCATGCCATCTGTCTCTATGCCTAGGTATGTTTTTCCCCCTATTTTTGTCAACAATTACGAATTAATTGCAAGTTTTAAGTGCCCAATCTCATGGACACACCCATATGATTTTTTTTCTTTCTTCCTAGAATGATGGTAGCAAACGGCACTCAGATGACTTCAGACAACAAGCAACTTGTACCAGCCCAAATGATGCAAGCTCAACAGGTTCAGCAACTGCAGCAGCAGAAAATGATGACCATGCCTCAAATGCAACAAGTTCCCTATATGCTCCAGTCCTCTCAGGGTGAGTTACTGGCACCCAAGCCTCACATGGGTATGCTGTTTGTCCCATTGAAAACTAATCTGTGTTCCATCTAATAATAATAATAATCCAATCTTTTCTTTCCTTCAGGTGTAGTTATGGTACAACAAATGCCGCCTGGCCAGCAGGCACCTCCAGGAACAACAGTCCAGGCACAGACTGTTCAAACTCAAATGTTGCAGCAGGCTCAACAAGCTCAGCACCAGGCTCAGCAGCAAGCACAGCAACAAGCCGTGCAGCACCAGCAGGCTCAGCAGCAGGCCGCGCAGCAAGCTCAGCAGCAGCATGCGGCCCAGCAGCAGGCACAGCAGCAGGCACAGCAGCAGGCACAGCAGCAAGCCCAGCAGGCTCAGCACGCTGCTCAACAGGCACACGCGGCACACGCCGCACAGCAGCAGCAACAGCAGCACGCTGCCCAGCAGCAAGCGCAACAGCAAGCGCAGCAGCAGGCACAGCAGCAGGCACAACAGCAGGCACAACAGGGCCAGCGAGTCCAGACCCCTACGCCAGCACCGCAGGCTGTGGGGCAGCAGCCCAACCAGATGCCTCAAGGCGCGGCTGGAGATAGACCCATCATGCCTGTGGCCTCAATGCCCTCCACAACAGTAACCACGACCCAAGCTTCTTCAACGCAGAGCTCACAGGCTCAGTCACAGCAAGCGTCTTCACCAATGGTGAGCCTTGTTACGTATTTCAAGTAAGTTCTCATGTTTGTTTTTCTAAACTCGAAATTGCGCTTGCAGATTCCATCCAAACCGCTTGTAAAGGCTGAGAAGCCAAATGCCAATGGAGAAGCTCAGACTAATGGGGTTGATGAAGTCAAAGCCAGTGGTCCACCTAAAGCAATGGTCAAGCCTCAAGTGCTTACACATGTTATAGAGGGTTTCGTCATTCATGAAGCATCAGAACCTTTCCCTGTTGGTCGGTCTCTAAGTGATTTGACAAGTAAGGCAAATATCCAAGATGCCAAGCCTGAATCTGACGACGAGCCTCCTCGTAAGTACAGGACTCAAAGCTAACTTCTGCATTCTAATGTTTTGATGTATTGTATTAGTTACTCATTTTTTACGTATGGCATGTTTCAGGGAAGAAAGCCAATGTTGATAATATCCAAGGAGATCTCAGCAAATGTGAAACATGTGGGAAACTGGGCAATTATGGCAAAAAGAAGAGACGATTCTGTAACCCCAACTGTGCCAAAAACAAGAAAGTGGGTCCATCTGCTGGTGAAGTTAATGGAACTGTTACCAAGGTACTGTTTGACATGATTCGGGCTTCATGAATGAGATCTATGTCTTTTTTGATTTGTCAAGATAACTAATTGTTTCTGATTTTTCACTTTTCACCAAAGGACTCAAATATCATGGATACAAGTGCAGATACCAATACAGCTGTAACGCCAATGGATTCTGATTTGCCAAGATCCTTCACTGCTGAAGCTCCTGGTATTAACCCGGTGATGAACTGGACGGTAAGCAAAGCTGAGAAAAGAAAAATTAATTTACTTCAATGGGTGAATGAACTTCAATTGATAGCATTTCTTTGTTCCACAGGTCAATGAGGTGGTTGAGTTCATTCGCAATCTTCCTGGCTGTAATGACTATGCTGAGGATTTTGCTATCCAGGAAATAGATGGCCAGGCTTTAATGCTGTTAAAAGCAGACCATCTTATGGCAGCTATGTCAATGAAACTTGGGCCTGCATTGAAAATTTGTGCCAAGATTGACACTTTCCGAGTGGACACACAAAGTGCAACACAGGAAAAAGCTTAGTGGTTTTTAGTTTCATAGTTTATTTCTTTACTTTATGACTTTGTGATGTGTAGTCGTGTAAATTGTGTAAATTTTGAAGCTAGCAAAAGCCCCATTGTGGAGTTTGTGCTCTTCAGTACTGACTGCCTGTCAGCTTAAAGACATTTACTTATACCTAATATTTGGTATGTCAATATGTTAGTCAGTTAAATTTTAAATCATTATTTATGCATCTTGTTGTATATATGTCCTATTACCTTTCAGATTATATAATTTTCTTCTTTCACGAACTTGATGCCTGTACATTTAAATTCTATCCTCCAATGTGTTCCATTTGAGTCATACAATATTGTACTTTAGGCTGTTACTTCAAGCTGGGGTCAAATGTAGATTATTTAAATTAATACTCTGTTAAATGTATACATTTGTAATCAAGTCTCCCAGCTGGGATAATGCTAAATTGAAATTTATGTCTAAGATGGGGCCTTTCCATTTCATTGAATTATTTCGCTTGAGTTTTCAATTGCCATATCAAGTGTCATGGGCCCTGTTGACTTGATGATACCATATCTGAGACATACTTTTATGTCTCCGCAAAACTTTGTAGTATTGTGGTCAATAAATCACACTCCAGTCTCTGTTGATTGGTTTTGTTGATAAGCTAGTCATACCATGCAACCTTAGTAAGGATCTGATCTAAGAAAACTTTGATGAAACTCTAAGTGAAATGTTGTCCACAAGGGAGGTGTTTGTAATGTGACAGTAGATGAGACTGAAGACAAAGGTCTGCTGTTCACTACTTATCATAAAAGGAACCATTAAATTAATAAAATGTGTGGGACTGGTACTTAATGACTGCCTTAAATGTTTGCTAAGTTAATTGTATAAAATATAGGTCTAGTTTCAATGTGTTAATAAGTTATTGTCAGCTCAGTCCAAATGTTTAAAAAGAAAACCTGTTTCTGCTGTCTTTAAGTTTTCCATAGGGAACAAATTATGTTGACCAGCAAAGTGTGAATTTACGACTTTGGCAAATGAATTATTTTAGCCTCTTTAAAGATTGCATTATTTTTTATGTTTAAAGTGGCTAGAAAAGTTCAATTTTTAAATGTTGACTATTTTTTGCCCAACCTGTTACTGTGGTTGTTGAGAAATGTCATGGTAGCTGAAGTCTCATTAAAGTTGTTATTTACATATATCAATTTTCATCTGCTCATGTTTTATTTTCTTGTAATTATGTATAAAGGGAATCATTTGCATATGAACCATAAATGCTCTAATTTTGTACCTATGATTACTGCTCTCAGATCCTGATACAATTTTCTTGCATGTGTGTTTCATGTGTCTTCAACAAAACTGTGATACCATTTAGTTTGCGTCATCCTCTTTATGTATTATTAAGTATTGTCAGTAAATTTGCTGCTGTTGTTCTCAGAGAATTTGCTTGGTACAAACTGTCTTGTACCTGTATAGAGTACTTCAAGCTTCTTTCCCATTAATTGTGAATGATAATTTCTTGGCTTATCCCTGACTCAATGATAATTGATGGGCTGGTGATGTAATGTTGGCCTCATCTTATCACAATTTTTTTTACTCTATGGAATTAAATCACTGCCAACTTGTTTTAGTGTTTTTTTTTTCTTTTTGTTTTGAAGCTTTAATTAATAATCTTCTATCTCAAATAAAAATACTGTTAATGATTTTTTATATTGTTGTCCTCTTTACTTTTTTCCCCCTATCGGCATCTTATTGTAGTATTGGAAGAATGATAGGATATTCATAAATCAGACACTCACTCTTCAACATGGGATTTTATTAAATGCAACAAATAATTAATTGTCTTCTAGCTGCTTATGTGGAATCTTACCTATCATGTTTTGAACACAGGCAGCACTTAATGTTGGCATGGACAGTAATTGTGCTCAGTCTGCTGCATTCAGAGCAAAATGCATGTAATATCTTCACAACCAAATACAAGGAGTGCGTGAACAACAATAACAGGAATACTGGCTATTAACACATTCTTAGATGAGGGAAAAATCTTGATGGCAGGATAGTTTGCTGTGTGCTGATTCTGTTCCACACAACAAAAACATGATAAGGTGGGAAAGAATTGTTTTTCCCAGTAGTATTTCATCTTATTTACTAATATCACAATGACCTTGCATGCTGGTCTCCTTGCGCAATTATATCTAAAATTAAAAACGAGTTTCTTTTGAACATCCGAAATTGCAATAAGAGCAATAGTCCTGGATTAATACTTTTATCAATATCAACAAGTACAGAAAATAATCATTGAACAAATAAAATTATCATTCACTTGACAAAGTAAGGCCACGCGCAAAACTGTCCAAAAGGCATCGAGAGTCTCTCGGGTGCGGGTAACGACGCGTCAATTTTTTTCCGGCCGGTTGCGCAGAGGCTGCGTTAGGTCGGAGTGTCTTGCTGACTCGAAACTCGAACCGCTAGAGGTCTGCATAGGCCTAGCAGCGCTGATGATGATAGCTTTAGACTGATCGGGCCGAGACCCCGCGCTGGTTAGGCAAATCTGGCAACGCGCGCGGCGTGCTGATTGCCTGTTCACGAAGCTAATGATGACCACTGCTCCCCGGACTAGGGGAAAACACCACTTTGAGCAAGACTAGTTACACCTGTGATTTCTAATACATAACTATTGCTATAAAAATATCAGACTTTTAGCTCTATTCCACCAACTCGATGACGTGCCTACTGCTGATTCCAGAATTCAGCCGACCTCAACATGTTGAACATGCTTCGGAACTAATGGAAGGGCAGATTCGACTAAATGGCATAAATAGAGTTTTCAGTGAAACTGAGATTTGAACAACAATACTGCAACAAACCAAACTCAAGAGGCCCCTCAGAAGCTGCTCTCCATCCTGGGCCCGTTGTTCAAGTCGTTGAGCGCGTAGTGGTTGGCGCGGAGCTGGGTCACGGCGCCTGGCAGCGTGACCACGGCGTCGAGCACGGCGTCCATGGCCTTGCCGTGCGCGGGGTGCGCGGTGCCGGAGCCCGCGCTGGGCGGCAGCGGCGAGCTGGACGGCGACAGCCCGGGGTTGTCGTAGGCGGCGTAGTCCAGCGTCGAGTCCTCGGAGGGGTGGCGCGCCGGCGGCGGGGGCGGCATCGCCGGCAGCGCGGCCATGCCGAAGGGCAGCGTCATCCCGGTGGGCGAGGGCTGCGTGCACTGCGTGGCGGCCAGCGTGCTGGTCGTGCCGTGCAGCCGCTCCGACTCGGACACGCTGCCCGACACCGTGTGCACCGTGTGCACCGAGCTGTTGAGGTCGCGCCCGATGTCCGGCATGCTGTGCTTGTTGTTGTTGGTGGACATCTGTGGGGGACAAACGGAGGGCGGGGTCAAAACTTGGCAGGCCGGGAGAGCTACAGTTCAAAAATAGAGCAGCCAAAGTTTTGAGGGAATCTATCTTAACACAACATGTGAGTCGCGGTCCTGATCGTACCTTGGCTTTCATGTCCGGGGTGGTCTCGACGTCCACCCTAGAGTGCAGGAAGTTGAGCAGCCTCCTCGGCCGCCGCAGCACGTAGTGGTACGCGAGTCCGACCACTGCCAGCACCACGAGGATGGCCAGCACGGAGAGGCCGAGCCCGGCCCAGCCGAGGACTCGCGCCGTGCCTGAGGGAGAACAGAGAACACAGCGAGGTGCTGAATTTAGGCGGATTTGGGCATTCGAGAGGACTGGGGCCGCAGGGGAAAGGTCAGCCCGCCGCCCGCCGAAAAAAAAAATCGGTCCATCGTGTGTGGAAGGACACAACAATAATGGGAAGGGCCGGAAAAAGAAACGACGAATGATTTATGCCCGAAAGGTGGGATGGGGGATGAGCGAAAACAATCCATACTCCATTCCAAGACTTTTGAGACCCAGCCACACCACCCGCCACCCGATGGCCCGGTCCGCCTCGCCTTTTTCTGATGCCAGTGTGCCCCAAACCACCCCGAGACAAAAAGGTTCCAGACGGTCCGAAAACTAAACTCCTCGCATCTCGGCCCTTCCCTCCCATCCCCCCTTCCCCTCCGCCCGGCTGCAGCTTGTCCACAGAACCTGTCCGCCGGAGCCGGAGACACCGGAGCCGGTTCGTCCTTTTTCCTTTCGCACCGACGAGCTGAACCGGTACGAGAAGGGAAGGGGTTGAACGCGGATGAGTCACCACGCCCTACGCGCTACCGCTAACACTTCGGCGTCTCCAGACTCCGCGAGCCAGGCTCGTTTCCCAGGACGCTCTGACGTCACGATGCGCGCTGCGCCCCGCCAAGACTTGGCAAGTAGCCGCCGACGCAGCCTCAGAGAGAGGCGAGAAAACCACCGGATCCCTGCTTATCAAGGCCCGCGGTCCGCGCTCGCCGGTCATAGGCGGTAACACAGTGACGAGGCAGCGGCGTAAGTCACCAAAATAAGCCGGCCAGTCAGAGCACGGCGAGCACGCCGGTTCGAAGAGGCCGTCGCGGATTGGTTTCGTCAAACGTGCAAACGCCTTCTTCGTGACGCTGCTGCTGCTTGTCTTTTCGACGTGAAGCCCCCACCGCCGTCACTCCATTCAAAGGCTGCTCGGTCTCAGGCGCCAGGCCTGGGCCTGGCCTGTGAGTGCGAGCCGTGCACTATGCGCTGCTGGCGCGGTGCTGGCGCGGTATGAGGCGACACGGCACGCCCGGCGTCGCGGCCGGGACCTACTGGTACAAGTACAACACCTCGCTCACGCCGCATTCCCTCGGCGCGCTGCTCGGGCACGTCGCCCGCAACGGCGCTACACGGCAACTAACTATTGCTACGGGAAAAGAAATTGAAGACAAATATCGGGGCTCCACAGTCACTTTTTCTCCCACTGTAGGGAGGGAAGGCCACCTCGTTGACTTCGATGGGTCACTAGAACCGCGACCGGTATTTACGCTTACTATTTATGTTTGGAGGACGGTAAGAAAGAGCATCTGAAAACAACGCACGCGGCATGGAATTGGGGGCCGATGTCCGCTTCCTCGTTGAAATGCAAATGCACCGGAGTCAGTGGTAGTTCTGTTGGAGTCACCAATTGGTTGGCCGGTGGCCGATAACAAGTGCCAACCAGGTGCTGCCGGCCGGGGCCTCCGACGTGCAGGGGCCGGCTGGCGGCTGGGCGACAGGGCCTCGCCGCGCACCGCGGCACCGCGGCAGCGCGCTGGATGACTCATCGGCCTCTACGCCGCGCCGCGCACCGCCACGGCGCCGTGCCGCGCTGTGCCGAGCGCCGAGCGCCCCACTCGCATCGCGCCGGGCATCGGGCCGCCGACGGTGGGGCCGTGGGCCCGGCGGCGTGGCGGCGCGCGGCGCGGCGAGGTCACCAGTCCAGCGAGCTCCAGCTCCAGACCAGACAGACGAGCAGCCGGAGCGGCCGGCCACAGCGGCGGGCCAAGCGGCGCCAAACGCATGGCGTGGAAACGTGGCACAACTTGAGCCCCTAACGAGAACTGTGACAGACTAAAGACGCCGAAATCGGTTCGTGCTACCCTTCTGCCGCGGCATGCCGGGGGAACGGCCTGCCCTGCCACGCGCATTATCTGCGCTTCCTTTTCCGACTTCCGAGGATATGAAATTAGTCCCGCTGGGGCACATGCACCTGGGGCCCGGCGGCCTGGCTCTCCACTTGCGTGGAGCATCGGGCCGTGACCGCACGCCGGACTGGACGAGCTGGACGGACAGTGTCTGGGAGACAGCAACGCGCGAGGCGCTTCCAAGGGCCTGCCGACGGCCACGGCCAGGAACACGGCCTTGACGGCGTGGCCCCGACTCTCCTGCCGCGGTGGCCCTTTCACTTACCATCGACGGAGTATGTCGTCTTCAGCTGCTCGTACAAGTATTCTGCAACAGGGACAAAAGACGGTCAGGTCGGTTGACTTTGGAGTCAAACGCGGCGGTGGTTCGCGGGTTCAAGTCCTGTGGAGGGATTCTTTTTTCACGCGCCGGGTGACACGGTGAAGGCCGAAGGGCCGTCTGCTCCGTTTCGCAACGTTGCGCGGGCTGTGCTGGGCTGGGGGTGAACCAGGGTGAGCGTGGCGGGGAAGTCCCAGTGCCGGCAGTCCCGGCGCTTCGATTGGCGCTTCGCGGTTCGCGGCCTCGCGCCCCTCGCGCTGCCGCGCCGAACCGACCGAACCGAACCGACAGGCAGGCCGACACCTGTTGAGGAATCGACCGTGCACCGCGCGGGGGAGTGGGACGAGTAGGTTATTCAGGTTATCCGGGTGAAGCCACACGCGTTATCGGGGTGTTCATGGCTCAGTCCCACTCGCACTCTCGGGGCGTGCCCTAGGACAGCGGTTCTCAACCTTTCACGGCTCGCGACCCCAAATTTGTAGCCAAAAATTTCCGCGACCCCCAGGAAAAGTTTCGCGACCCCACGGGACCCCTCCTTTAGCATGCCACTGCGTCTGATCCGAGGCGGGCATTTTGCTCCCTCAACGGGCAATTGGTCTTTGGACCTTCCTTTAGCATGCCTCTGTTACGGAGTGCGATTATCAGTCTTAGTTTGGGAGCAGTATTGTCTCAAAGTTGGCCAAAACGCTCAGAAATGTCTTTAAAAAATCATGTTTTGGGTCGATTTTAAGCAGCCACTGCGTCTGATCCAAGGCGGGCATTTTGCTCCCTCAACGGGCAATTGGTCTTTGGACCTTCCTTTAGCATGCCTCTGTTACGGAGTGCGATTATCAGTCTTAGTTTGGGAGCAGTATTGTCTCAAAGTTGGCCAAAACGCTCAGAAATGTCTTTAAAAAATCATGTTTTGGGTCGATTTTAAGCAGCCACTGCGTCTGATCCGAGGCGGGCATTTTGCTCCCTCAACGGGCAATTGTTCTTTGGACCTTCCTTTAGCATGCCTCTGTTACGGAATGCGATTATCAGTCTTAGTTTGGGAGCAGTATTGTCTCAAAGTTGACCAAAACAGGCACAACGATTTTTCAAAGACATTTCTGAGCGTTTCGGCCAACTTTGAGACAATACTGCTCCCAAACTAAGACTGATAATCACACTCCGTAACAAAGGCATGCTAAAAGAAGGTCCAAAGACCAATTGCCCGTTGAAGGAGGACGAAATACCGCCTCGGGTCAGACGCAGTGGCTGCTTAAAATAGGCCCAAAACACGATTTTTCAAAGACATTTCTGACCGTTTTGGTAAACTTTGAGACAATACTGCTCCCAAACTAAGACTGATAATCACACTCCGTAACAAAGGCATGCTAAAGGAAGGTTCAAAGACCAATTGCCGGTTGAGGGAGCAAAATGCCCGCCTCGGATCAGACGCAGTGGCTGCTTAAAATCGGCCCAAAACACGACCCCAACTACCTCGCCGCGACCCCTTAAAATTTTTTCGCGACCCCACTTGGGGTCGCGACCCTAAGGTTGAGAACCACTGCCCTAGGACCCGAGGGGTGCGAGAGAGTCACAGCGACGTGGAGCCGCACGCACCGCGTCCATCTCTCGCGCGCGCCTCCCCCGCCTCTCAATGCTCCATGATTGCTTTGCCAAATCATCGGCCATTCTTTCCCTCCCCTTCCCCTCCTCCGCGGTGCATCGAATCACCACCCCCACCCGCCCCAACCCCACCCCTCGTGGCGGCAGCCTCGGCCGATGCCCCCCTGCGGCCTGGCGGCTTGCGCGGCTTGCGCGCGCCACGCCGGCCCGCGGCACCGCGACGCCCGTTCCCATGACGACGCCGGTGTTGGTCTCTTATAGTGGCGCGGCGCGGGGCGCGGGGATCGAGGGAGGTAGGGGGAAAGGGAGGCCAACCCAAGCCGAGGAGGTGGACTCGGTTCATTATACTTCCCGCCCTTCAAGTACTTGAACACAGCGAGGACTACTCACCCCGGCACAGGTCGTGGCACAGCGCGGGCTCGTACTGGCTGGGGCGCGCGGCGTCGCAGATGGTGGCGCACGCCTTGCAGGTGTTGGACGCCTCATGGCAGTAGGACAGCGGCGGGCAGGGCCGGCCGCACGCCATTACCTGGAACACGACGAGCAGGGCGAGCACCCCGTCAGTCAAGAGCCGCCATCCCCCGCGACGCCGCGCCGCCGACGCGCGAGAAGTTTGTTGTTCGACTCCAGGAAGTCGCGCGGCCTCTATTTCTAGCCGATGATGACGAGTGTTTGTTTGCGGGGCCTTCGGGCCGGAGAGCCGAATCAAGTCAAGGCCCCTGGCCGCCCTGGCCAAACCGGTCGTGTCGCTCCTCTCCTCGCTCCCCCGCGTCTCCTTTGCCTTTCCTAGCCGGGCCGCGGAGGTCCGCGTCGAGCGCGGCGGCCATACGCCATGCCAGGAGCCAGCAAGCAGCCTCGGCCAGGATTTCGCTTCGAGACAGAGACACACAACTCGAGGGCGCGAAGGCTCAAGACTCGCTCATTACTGACCCGGGGTAAATAGGCCATCGATTTAGAAAGGCTGGCGTTGGCGCGGGACACACGCACCGCGGGAAAAAGGGGGGGGGGAGAATGTTGCCGCCCCCTCATTATTGCACCCGCGCCTCGGAGAGAACAGACAACAGCAAGTTGTCATTCAATATTGGGATCGAAAAAGAAATAAGAATTCAGAGAGGCATAAGCGCGCGCGCTAGCTGCCGATCCGAAGATCTCTCACTAACTCCCAGCTGAATTAAACTGTCTCTCGCGAGCGAGTGTCTGTACTTGCTCGGCGAGGCAAGGCACGGCCCACGGCGCAAGGCGCTTGCTCCGTTGTTCGCGTCGCACCGTTTGCACGGCTCAGCGCACTATCAATGGCGCGGTGCGGCGGGGCGGCGTGTGCCGCCAGCAAATATGACTTTGATACGCTTTATGTGCTCGATGCCTTGCATAACGAAGCGGCTCGGGATGCGAAGAGGAGGGGGGGGAGAAGCACAGCGCGGGTACCACGGTTCACCACAGGTACCCCTCCCCTGTCCTTTACCGCGGCCCCGCACCGGAAGTGGCCGCAACAATAATTAGCGACGCGTCGTCCGAACCGGAACAAAATTCGACCGAATTCATCGCGACAGCAACGCGCGCGTGGGTGAACCACAGCGGAGAAGAGGAGCGGCACCCTGTCGCGTTGATCCCTGATCCAAGAAGAGGGAGTAGAGACCGCAGCAGTTCTGCTGTATCAGACGACTTGAAGAAAATTCAATGAACCCCGGAATGTTTATTATCTCAAGAAGTCCTAAGATTCAAACCCTTTAAATCCAGTAGGGTATATTTTTTCCAGTCGCGGGCGCGCGGCTTATGCTTTTACGCATCGCGGCGGCTGCCTGCCCATGTCGGTCGGTTTTCGCGGCTGCGGAGGCGATTTCGTTGCGCAACGACAGTCTGGCAATCAGGCTCCATTTGGGAGGAGGCGGCGGCGCGGTCCGAGCACACCGAGCAGCCATGCACTTTGTACGCGCTCAGAGCCCCCCTCCCCCCTCCCCCCGGACGCTTGCCTAGCGCATTCATTCACACACGCCCACGCACACACACCAACACCAACACACGCACACATCGAACCAACTGAAACGATTGGGAGAGCGGCGGGCAAATGGACAATGTGTCAATTTGTCACTATCACCTATTATGGAAGGAGCGAAATGACTTTGACGTGTCAACCGATTCGACAAGACAAATCTCCGCAAATCTCTGACGGGTCAATGTCATTCGACGCCGTGCCGCTCTATGATCGGAGTGGTCAACGGCTGACTGCAATAACATCCAGGACGAATTTCGGCCGCGGTGCGGCAATCTGCAGACTTTGGGGCCGGAGTCTGCCGGCCGTCGGAGGCAGAGGGAAGTCGAGGGAAGTCGAGGGAGGCGCGCGAAGGCGTACCTCGACGGGGACGAGCTTGGTCGTCGTGGACTTGACAGCATGTCGACTTCGGGCACCTGGAGGCGCGGGGCGCGGCGCGCGCGGGCCGTGGCGTGCTGTGGGCGCGGACTCTACGGACTCGGACGCGGACGGACGGCTTCGACGCGCACCTGCACTGGCGGCCCTGGCGGCGCGGTGGACGGGCTCAGACTGCCGGAACGCGGCCGCGGCACGCGGCGGGACGAGGTACGAGGTGAGAGCCGGGCAGGGGGCGGGGGGCGGGGGCCGCACGAGGGGCACACGGGCCTTCCACCTCCACGGCCTCCACCGCCGCGGCCGCACCGCGCACCTAGCAGGAACAGGCTCCTCCGCAGCTAGAGCCCTCCGTGATCCGAGTGTCTCCCGGATGTATCGCCGTCTCTGTCGCGATCGCGCGGCGCAGTGGGCGCCAGAGCGAGAGGGACGCAATCGGTGCGCTTAGCCTGGCTTTGCCGTGGAGGTGGGCAAGGTGGGCAAGGTGGGGGAGTACCTGGTGGGTGGGGGCACTCGACTGGAACTTGTGGCGGCAACCCGCCGCCCTGCAACGCCACGTCTGCCCCGCAAAGCAATTTGGTCGCAGTTGGGGAATCGAACATCAAGTTCAGTTAGCGACGGTATAAAAGTCAAAGAATTGACGGATGAACAGCTTTTAAACAGAGAGGGAGTGAGACAGGCTGTACTACAGAGCACTTCTCCACAGCTGCTTTCATGGAAGTTTGAATTTTCGCGGGGTATACCATGCAGTGTCACCATGTGTGGTCGCGTAAGAAACAATAGGTTGACGATTCGTTGCCCTTTTTCCAAGAAAGAAACTGGAAAGTACACCGGTGAAGAGACAAGAATGTTTAGTTTTTGTCAGAAACAAAATTGGGCGTCACGGGCGAGAGGAAAGGGGGGGGGGGAGGGAAGTACGGTCAGGGTGACCAACATTTGATCGATCGTTAAGCGTCGTAATAAAACTACTTGCTGCCCTACAAAGCGTTCTGGACAAACGATTCCTCTTTGTCACCCTCCTTAAAAAGCACTTTATTTTGGAGTTCATTCGAAAATATTTCTATAACATAAGCGAGGAGTGATAAAATTTTTCTAGTTGCAGGACAGCAGGCGCCACGGTAGCGGAAACGATGTTGGCTACGCTGAAAGTAAACAAACTTTTGAAAGCGTCAATCAGTGTCAAAAAGTGTCTGACTGTTAGAACGATTATTTTATCCTAGGTTCTCACGATGGACGACATGAAAGACAAAAGTATCCATTTCACTGCCCAAAAGCTTTCAGAGGACATACAAAACATGAAGATTTACCAAGCTTTTTATACAGAAATTCAGGTGAGAACATATCAATAACCTTGGCTCCTGGATCCATTGCTCATACCAATTTTGTGAAAGTGCACTTAATTTTTCTGTAACAGAAACTTGTATCATCACCAAGTGTAAGAAAAGATGATTTCAAAACAACATTATTGGAATCCATGAAGAAAACTGGTATGGAGACAGAACTACGTAACACGGTTTTTCATTGGGTTCGATCTCATAATAACAGAGATTCAGATGGTATCACCTCTATTGTCAGGGAACCCTTGACATACTTACGTAAGGCTCAGGTGAATTTCTACAAACCCTAATTTTGGTCCTTATTGGCTTCTATTGTTTATTGCTAACTACTATTATTTTTGCTTGATAGCTGCAATGGGAAAAACGTATTCATAAGTCCCTGAATTCCATGTGTGGGGAACTTGGAGTACCTTTAGCTCGTTTGAGACAAACAACAGATAAGGAAGAATTGGATGAGAAGTGGACAGAACTCAGCACCTATGACATTGGTATATTGAGAAAGTACTTTGAAGATTTAAATATCTAAAATGATGTTCATTTTCATGAATTTTTCTCCCCAGACCTGAGCCAGTATAGACCCGTTTATGCTCCAAAAGATTTTCTAGAAGTTCTTCTGTTGATTCGGAGTCCTAATTATCGTGTCATGGAGTGAGTTAGTTTATTTTGTTATGAATAAGTAGTTTGCATAGCCTGTGTAGAACTTCTCTTAACGATCTGGTTTCTTTCAGTGATGGTGTTTGGGACTTTACTCAGATACCATTGAAAGTTAAGAGCATCACAGAATTAGTACGTTGAGTTAGACCATGATATATAAGTATTTAAATAATAAGACCAAGGGAAGAAGCTTTACCTTCTGTATTAACAGTGGCCTGTTTTTCCAGAGGGGTCTTTATCAAGAGCTCTCACGGGGAGAGGCTCTACTGGGTGTAAATCCATACATGGCCTCCTCTGGGAGTTATCCCACATTGGAAGCAGAACGCACCACTCTTGGAGAAAAAGGTAAAGTGACAATCAAAAAATGGATTTAGATTAAGATTTTATAAATTTCCTCTGTGTCCAGTTCTCCTCTCCAATCAAGCACCAGTTGCTCAAGAGTTTTTAAAACGAGGCTCTCCCCGATGCCTTAGGGGTCGCCTGTGGGCCCAGGTTTTAGGTTCAGCAGTAAAACAAACTGTGAGTCATTTATTTCTTCCTAATACATATGACTGAATTCTATCATTTTTTTTTGGTGCTGAAAATTATTTGTTGGAATTTATCTTTCTTTAGCACAGAGAGTACTTTGCTGAGCTCAAACACCTAGTTCTTCAGCATGACCTGATGGTTGATAAGTTGATAATAAAAGTAAGTTTCGATTTTAAAACCAGCATCTGTATGTTTTCACATCTAAAGAGCCATCTAAAGATGAGGGAAAAAAGAAAAAAAAACTTTGACTTGGATTTTAATTTTTTCTGCTTTTAGGATGTTCAGCTGACTGCTTCAAATGATGATCAATATTTTGTCTTTGAGGATGTCTTGTATCAAGTATGTATTTCTTAAAGTTAAAGGTACCAATGTGTTGTGTTCCTTGTGAGTATTGTTTCAATGATACAATTTTCAGGTGATGCTATGCTTTTCTCGAGACACAGAAATTCTTTCAGTGTTTAATCATAGTTCAGCTAGTCCAATAAATGCTGTTTTGAAAAGTAAGGCGCCATCACTGGAAAACACTGTTATTTACCCTCCAAGTGGTGTCATTCCTTTCCACGGTTTCACAATGTATGGTAAGTTTCTTTTGGATGTTATTCAATTATCTTTTTCTCTGGCCTTACTTAACTAATTAAATTATACAGCTACCCCATTTTGCTACCTGTATGATGATCCGGTAGCACTTTATCACACACTTCGTGCTTTCTACATGCGATATTGGTTCCGATTGCATGAAGTCTCTTCTCATCCGCAAGGGCTGCTAGCACTTTGTATTTTGTTTGAGAGGTTGTTGCAAAGACATGAACCCCAGCTTTGGATGCACTTTAAGTTAATGAATGTGCAACCGTAAGTTTCATTTCGGAATTAATATTACTGAAGTAAATTTTACTGAAGTAAACAAAATGTAATCTCACCCCTCAGGATCAGAGTTGTTTTCAAGTGGCTCATGCGCAGTTTCTCAGGTCACCTGCCTCCAGAGCAGTTACTATTACTGTGGGACCTTGTGCTTGCTTACGATTCATTGGAAATACAAGCCTTGTTAGCGGTAGCTATTTTAAGTTTTCGAAGAGAGAACCTTTTACAAGTGAACAATCAACAAAATGTAGAGGTAAGGAAAATTGCTATTAATGAGACTTCAAAACAAAAATAAGTACTTAAAAATCGTATTTTTATTTACTCTTTATCAGGCTGTTCTAGCTGATTTATCATCAATTGCCGTTATGCCACTGCTGCAGCTCACCTTAATGAGAGACTGATTGATACTAAAGGAATGAAACAAAGGCACTTGCCACATCTGTTCACCCTTCCCACTCATCAGGTGCTGATCCAAAGTAGTCTAAATGTGGTGTTGTCAGTCTTGTAATAAAAGCTTCTTGATCATCACTAACAACACGTCTACAGTTAACTTAAAACCACCTCTCCCAATAACATGGATATAAAATACAAAAAATAAATTCAACAAAAATAGGTAGAGAACAATTAAAAATTGAGAAAATATCGTTGAGCACTCCTTACAACAATCTTATAAAAAATATATGGCTATTTGTTATGGCTTGTCAACATAATACTCTCTGCGCTGCTTCATTATCACATAATCACACATCTGAGCCATAAGAATACCTACTACGTATTTTTATGCTAAAGATTAGCTTTAGGCTTTTCTCCTCTTGCAAATTCAATAAGGTCTCTTATTGTGTAGAAACTTTCACACAGGTGATTGAAGTATTTAGAGGCACTTGTCTCTGCACTGTCACGCATGACAGATATGGTCAAATATATACTGAAAATAAATCAATCAATTAGCTTGCTACTTTGGTAAGTTCCCTTGAATCATCATGCAGAAGCAGAAATAATATACAACCTGTCCGAGTCCATATTGTAGAAAATGCCATAGCCATCCAGGCACATAGGGACAACTCCACCTCCTACCGGGGTGTAGCCTACCAAGCTTGTGGAAAGGATGAAGTTGCCACCACCACCACTGTGTTTCAATGAAATAATTAGATTAGTTCAATTCATATAGGGTATATCTTTTGGTTTTTAAAATTATGACATTTAAATTCTTTTTAACTTTCATTACTCACCTCTTGGCGTATGAAGCATCTCTGAACAATTCAGGAATTGGCATTTTATTTTCCTCTGCCACACAGTAGAGTCCAAATAGATGACGATCACACCCATTGGCTTCACGGGCTTCTTTCATCAAATCGTCATGTCTCTTTACAGCTATTTGCAAGAGTCGAACTTTCTCCTCAATCTGCAGGATAGGACAAAAAAAAAATATTTCAGTCTCTTTTTTCCCCCCTGATTTGCATTGTTTGCTAGATCCATTCCGTACCGGAGTTGAACTAAGCATGGCTTGAGCCCACTTAGCAAGCTCTTTAGTGCACACTCTCAGTGTCTCAGTTCTTCCATTGTAAAAAGCTCTAGTTGTAGCAGTTTCATAACATGGTGCGAATCTAAAATAGAAATCTTATTTAGTTACACATGTAAATTAAATGAAAATCATTACTAATGCAATGCTGAACTTACTTCTTGTGCAAACGGTAATATGTCAGCTGCAAGGCCATCTGGACAAATGTATCAGGATGGATACGTTTTTTCACCAGGAGGGATTTTCCAAAACCAGTAAACTTCTCTCTAATCACAATAACTTTCTGTCTCTGTAAAAACATAAAATAATGTGAGTTAATTATTATAAAGACAGTTAGTTCTTAAGAAATTACAGATTCTGACTATATTTACGGTAATGTTTTGTCTCAGAGTCGCTTGCTGTAATTCCTCTTTCATACTGGAATTTAGAATGAAGTTCAACTCTCGAGGAGGTGATAGTTCACGGATAGTTTTTGGTCCAGTCCATACACCCTTGTTTTCAATTATGCATTGATATGTATAAAAGCTATTTGTTACACTTATCATTCCATCAAATGCAGTGTGCTGAAAAAGTAAAACACAAAATAAATGTTGATGTTTCAATGTCCTTTTTGTTCCTTTCAAATTTTACAAAGCAATAAAATAAATAAAAACTTACTTCAGCTAATCCACCAGATTGACCATTACCAAAAAATGCAATATGTAGTGATTTATCTACCCACAAATTGTTGTAGTCTCCTGTCAGAGATCTCATAATAACTTCACTTGGGGTATTGGGCTCAAAATCTGGTTCTAATGTAAGCAAAAACATTGCAGATTCAATAAGATGCAGATAGTGAGCATTTTCACCACTGATTTGCCTCAGATGTGCATTGTTCTGGAGTAACATGAAGTATTTAGTTACTTTAAGAGTCAAAAGTTAAACCAGCAAAAATAATTTTAGACTTAGTTCTTGGAATGTACCTTGGCCCAGGTGTCTCTGTCATCACATGTCAATCGAGCAATGCCCTGTCCGGGTGTTTTGGAAGCCTCGTCAACAATTCTTTGGAGCTGGCTCTCCCACTCCAAAGGGTTTAGAATCGATCCAGTAGTTTCATCCACAGCATCAACAAGGAAAATGTGACCATTACAGGCAACCATAACATGTGATGGGCAGGTGCCCTCCTTTTCTGTAAACAAAAAATTTTGTTTGATCCCTCAAAATATCTTATCTATTTTCTCCATGCAAGGGAACTTGTTACACTAACCAGTTTTAAAGTGAGTGTCCAGTCGATCTCTTCCAGGAAGGGGAATTCTGCAGCAGTTAAAAAGTCTTCGCCACTGTGTCATGCTAAAGAAGGTCTTGCCATCTGCACTTCGATTTGGAGCCAGACGTTCAGATCTCAGGAGGGTCCACATTTCAACAGTATAGTACAGATACAAAGAAGCATACTGAAAAGAGAAAAGTCATTTTTTTACCTTCAGAAAGTGCCAGAAAAATTGAACATGCAGAGACAGCAGTGTAATCAATAAATAGATCAGATGAGCAATTTTTCCAACCACACTTACCTTCAGCATGTACCCTGGCTTGAACGTCCAGACTCTACTTAAATCAGACACACCAGACATACTGCAAAATGGCACAAGCGCCCATCTATTTTCAAGGTATGCCTTCTCTAACCACCATTTATCAACCTATTGCACCACAGAAAAAAAATTATTTAGAGGAGTTAGAAGAAACAAAATATCAAGAACTCAATTATTAGTGCCGAAGTTTACCCAATTTTTCTCTATCTTCGCTTTAGCTTCCAGTTTCTCTTGTAAGAGTTTGCCTTCCCCCTTTTCAAATTTCTTTACGATTTCTTGGGTGTTTGCAAACTCAGCATCCGAGACAAAAGGCCGAACTGAGTCGACATATCGTTCCAGTGTATGGCGCAGCGATGGCAGAGGAAGAGGTGGCAGCTTCTCATCTTCCGAGAATGTCCGCAGGGGATCCTCAGGGGACAAGCGCATTGCCCCTGCGATAGACATTTTATTCTGCAATCATTCAAAAAATACAAAGGCATTTTAATTTTGAAATCCCATGGAAACAGAAGATTTTTGTGGCAATGTTATTCAGGCTAACACCTGGACAGTCTAGTACTCAATATGAAACCTGGAACTGAAATAGTACAACCCGAGATAGACAATAATAGAGAAGTCATAACCCGTGTCACAACCCAGGCGATAAAAGGCGAAGATGGCTGAGTGTGAGAATTGCAATTTACATACGTCAGGCGGAGAGGTTAGAGACGCGATCAGTGCACTGAGTGCGGCGGGCGGCGTACGCGACACTGTGACAAACCTGCTGCAAGCTGTCCCGTCCGGGTTCACGGAGTCGACGGCGAAGCCTGGCGCGGGGGGGACTGGGACTTTGACTCCATTCTTTCTTGCCCGGGCCCGCGGCCAGTGGCCACCACTCTCACTTCTGTTTACAACAGGCGGGCCAGCTGACTCCGCTCCCCTCCCCTCCCCGCGGTGCCCCCCACCCCTCCCTCTTGCTCGCGGGGCGCGAGGCGAGGCGCGAGGCGCGGGGGCCCCCCACACTGGTGGATTTCTTCGTGAGGCGAGGGATCAAAGTCCACGAGGTTCAGCGTTCGCCTACCGTAATTCGACCGCCGCTACTTTGCTGGAAAAATAAATACTAAATGGAGTGCTTGAGCGACTATGCTCGTTTTTGGGACTCCACTGGGACGAAGACGGAGGGAGGGAAGTCCTCCGACAGCCTCGAGCGTTTTTCGCTCTTGAAGCTGCAGAAGAACTCAGGCACATTTCCCGACTGTACGGCAGCAAACTTCTTTTTGCGGTCTCGTTTTTTCCGCACGAGTGGCTGACGTCTTTCGCCGTTCTGTGTCTTCATGTCTCGCTTTGTCAAGCGTTTAAAGTTTCTTTCCCCAAAACAGGTTTCCAGGCTACCGGCAAGTCCGGCAAGTCGCGGTGTCGGCGTTCCCACGCACCTAGGCCGGTGTCGATGTCGATGCCGATGCCCCGAAGGTGCGCTCGAAATGCATTCACAGCCACTTCATTAGCAAGTCGACGGAGCGGGGGCACTTCTGGGACTGGGGACAGACAGGGCAGGGCAGGGCCGAGGACCGGAAACTTCCTCCGAGCGGGAGGCCCGTCTCTCTTTCTCTCTCACGCTGCTGCTGGGGCGTATGGGCGAGAGAGAAAGAGAGAGACGGGCCCCCACTCGGAATCTGCCTGCAGTCCTGCAGTTCGGGAGGACGGAGGCCGAACCTTGCTCTCTCGCACACCTAGCGAGATCTCGCGATAAGGGAATCCTGCCCTCGTTCTATCACTCTGGAATGGCTCGTCGTGTTGTACCAGACTGCTCCACGCCGACGCACTTGAAATTTGCACCTGACCTGATTGGCCTTTGCCTTTGGACAGGAAAGGCATGCAGCCCGGCAAGTCCGTCCGGCCACCGGCAGGTTTGCTTCGGCCTGCCCGATGGGTGGCCTACCTCCAGGGCGCTCCCCCCGCACGGCGGCGCGCGGCCCGCTGGAGCTCGTCCACCCCGCCACAACGGTGGCACGGCGCTGCTCGGCACGGCTCGGCACGGCACGGCACTGGAAGTCGAACGCCCACTCAGGGCCCGCAGACGCCCACACCGCGAATCGAGCTCCAAGTTAAAAACCGAAGCTGCCTCGGGAAGGGAACCGCCGGCCCGGCGCCCGGCCCTTTTAAAGGGCATGCATTATGCATCCGAGCAAAAAACAGGCAAAAGTGAAAAAGAAGCGACGCACACCGTTTCCTTGAAATTCATCCAATTTGGTGGCGGCCGGCCGTGGCCGGGCGGGGGTGGGCGAGGAGGCGTCGACAGATAGCTCCGGGGGCTGTTGCGAACGTGGGGGTGCGTGGGGGTGGGGTGGGGAGGGGCCTCCCTCCAGCGGCGCGGCGCTACCCCCCGGTCTGGAGTCTGGTCCCGGTCCAGTCTTCTGCCGGCGCCCCAACGACAACGTCCCCTATCGGAAGTGCTCGGCTGCGCTCGGCTCGCCGCGGACTCGGCCGAACTGGAGCTCGCGGGCCGGCCCGGCCACACCGAAGCAACGCTCCCAGCCTCAAGGTGAAGTAGTCGCGCAGTGCCTAGTGCAAAGGTGGCGGGGCACAGGGAACCGATGCCGCGATATGCTCCTGTAGGAACCACAAAACGCCTCCAGCAGACTAAATGACGCGCAAATGAAAACAACCCGTTCACAATTATTTTAATCTGCTAAAAAAAGAACATAAGCGACAAAAATATGCCAGGGCCATTTTTTTAAAAAACGGTAGGGTATTTTGGGATTAGAACATTCATCCTCTGAGTCACGACTCCGCGTCTCCACAGTGCTAATAACACTACTATATAAAAATAAATTTATTTAAAATAAATTTGTTTTTTGGCGGTGAGGGTGTGGGCGTTGCGGGGCGTTGCCTGTGCGTCACGACTAGTGGTGTGGTAGTCTTGTTTGGACCGTCGCCACCCACCTGCCTCGTTCCCATAAAGCTAATGCATATTTTCCGCGCTCCCCGGCGGGGATGCGGGCTGCTGGCGTCCGCGGCCTGTACAACAGGTGTGCGACCCGCGACCCGTTCCACGGCCTGCAAACACACCAAGTCATGTAAATCTCGGGGCCGCCGCCTGCCGCGCCCTGCTGGTGCACGCCGTGTGGAGAACAGCCCCGCTGTCGCTCTCGCACTCGCGGGGCGGCCCGTAAGGGTGCGAGGGAGACAGAGCGACAAAAGTGTCGGTGCACTGCGAACTGCGAATGGCGGCGTTCGCTGCCCATTCCAGCAGGACTGTTATAACAAGGTACCCCTCCACTCCAAGGTGTGCCGAGATAATGGGAGGGCAGCGGCAGGACGGCCGGGGCAAAGCGGGGCAAAGAAGCCGAACCAAGAACGGACCCGGGGACTCGGCGAGGGCGCCAAATCCTGGCAGCTGCATCGTTTGAAAACGAAGCGAAGCGACGCAGAATCATTATTGGAGCGGGCGGGGGCTTTTTTCGGAAACGAAGAAACCTTTTTTACTAACCACATCGCGCAGGGCTGAGCCTTCCAAGAGGCAGCGGCCGGCGCGGCGGCAGTGCTGGTGCTTCTCCGCGGGCTGCTCGGGGTGCTCGGGGTGCTCGGTGCTCGGCGACGATGGCGGCACGCGTCGCCACGGCGGCCGCGCGTGGAAAACGAAAACCGAGTGAAAGAGATTTTTATTTCTCCCCGATTGACTGTAACGGTCCGTGAAATGGGAGCTCATTGTTCGCGTCGCTAGCTGACTTGAAAAGAGCGAGTGAGAGAGAGAAAGGGAGGCCCCGCCGGGCCGAGCCTGGCCACCTGGCCGTGGTAGCAATGCTGCCTCTTCGCCGTCTCTGTCGCACTCATGGGGCGTCCTGCAGGGTGCGAGAGAGACAGGACTCTTCGGAATGGCGCGGCTGTTGCACGGCACGGCGGGGTCTGGGGGCTGGGGGGCTGGGGCGCTGGGGCATGGGGCGTCCCGGGCCTGCCCGTTCCGGATCGGCTTGGCCGGGGGCACCATGCCCATGCCATGTCCCAGGAATGCTCCCCGGGGCCCCACACTGGGCCCCACACTGGGCCCCACACTGGGCGGCTGGGTCCCAGCCCCACCACGGGGTCGCCGACGTCGCGGTGGAGGTGCGGTCCGGGCCGGCCTGGCCGCGCTCCAAGCGCCAGGGCGCCAGGGCGCCAGGCTTCCAAGGAGCGCCCCAATCCGACCACGCATTCCGTGTTCACTTCATGTTACGCGTCCGAGGCAATGGAGGCGATCCAATCGCGTCGACGAGGCCATCCCGTCTCTGTGTCCTCCAGGAACCCCTTCCACTTCCGTCAACCCCGACCCGACACCCCTACCCTGCCCATCCTGCACCTACACCCCTTACCCTTCCGCTACTGCACTGCATAAAAGGCAAATCCCCCCCCCCTCCGTTTTTCCGGAGTGGACTTGTTATTTCCGCACCGACCAACCCGGGCGTGGACGTGGCGTGGCATGCGGCACGCGGAGTGTCACACATCCACTCTGGGATGTCGCGACTCGTCGCGACATACATGACGCACTCGGCGACGTTGCGGTAGGCTGGGCAGCCGGGGCACGCTGAAGCAGGCTGAAGGCTGCGCAAATTGGAACACACTGCCATGTCATAGCGGTGCCGTGGCGATGCAGCGCAGCCAGCTCAGCCACGAAAAGGATTTCTGATGTGCGTCGCATTTTTGCGTGTTTTGCTTTTGTTTTTGTCATTCCTTCTCCGCTGTCGGGGTCGGGCCGGCGGCTGCGACGTCGCGGGTCGCGCGGGACTCGCGTGCTTGCGTTGGTGAGCGCGAAATGTGCGGCAGCGCAGCGCGGCGCAGCGCGATCTCAAAGGATTTCAGCAGATGTTTTTCTTCTTCCTCTGCGTGCTTTCTGCTGTCTCTTTTTATTTTGAATTCATTAGTATTTCGCTCCGGTGCATCCGGCCACGCGCGCTCTCTCGTCCCACAACGTCGCGTCTGTTTTTATCTTCTATTTTTTATTTTGTGGTGACGTTCCACTCGTCCGCTGCCCCGTCTTTGTTTGCAATGCAATTTTGGCGCGTTCTTCTTGTCGGTCGTCGTTCTCCTGTCGCTTCAATGCACTCGCGTCACCTGCCGCCATGTCGATCAACGCGAGACGCGTATCTCGCAATCGGTTGGACGTCATTAAAACGCACCGCGCTTTTGATGACCCTTTGAAGACCGGCCCTTTGAAAAACGCAAGGGCCGGCGCTGCACTGTAGATGTACAGCGCTGCAGACTGATTGGAACCGAGGTCGTTTTCGCCGATCTATCTTTGTCGCGCCTACGGGACGCCCTAAGAGCGAGAGAGACGGAGAGACGAACACGTCTCTCGGAAGCAGTCTGCTGGATGGCGCTGGCTCTACCGCGAGTAGTGGACCGGACAGGCGGCAGCGCTCAGCGCGCAGCGCGTCCCCCTGGGTGTTCGCAGAACCGGGTCTCCTCCGCGCCATGGCCGTCGCCGTCGCCACAGGGTCCCCGGAGAGGGCAGCGCGAGATGAATGCCGCTCCAGGCTGCTGCAGAGTTGCGCGGCGCGCGGCCAAGGCGAACAGCGCGCCGCCCCCGGCCGCCCCCGGCCGCCCCCGGCCGCCCCCGGCCGCCCCCTGCCATGCCGCCTCTCCTCGCACAGCGATAAGTTACTCCCCTCGCGAGGGGCTTAACGGATTTGCTGAGGGGGCTGGCTGGCGTAAATAACGACGCACGACGAGCGATCAACGTCGGGGACGTCGGGGACGTCGCCGAGACCTCTGTCATCCTCGGCCGCCTTCGCCTTCCTTCCGCTCGGCTCGCTTGGCTGTGCCGAGGCCTCCGTGGCGCGGTCGGGTTGGCTCGGGTCGCGGACCGCTCCACCGAACACGCCCCCGACGGGTTTGTTTGCGCGAGACCCCGGTTCGGCGGTTTTGCCGCGGGCCCGCCTTTGCTCCTCCTTGAAGGCAACAGAGATTGTACAACGCCCCGTCCCGTCCCGTCCCGTCCCGCTGCCACAGCCCGCTGCCACAGCGCGTTATCTTGACGGGGCGGCCAGTCCGGTTGGCGGGGGCTGCGCGATGCGCGCCGCCCGGCCGGAGAGCTCGGCACGGCTCGGCACGGCTCGGCACGGCGGGGGCACTAAGTTCCAAATCTTGCCCCATTTTTATGACTATAACGTCTCGTTGCTCAAGCTCTCGGCGCGCGCTGCGCTGCGCCGCGGCGCTCAGCCTGAGCCGTATTTCTCCAGTCCTACTGCCCGCTCGGCATGACTCCGGCAGACCGAGGGGGCCGAGGAGGGTGCAATCGGGCGACTGTATGTAGGCGGCCAGGCCCGGCACCATGTCGGCAACCTTTTTATTTGTTTCCCTTTCTGGTCTGGTTTATCCGCGCTCTGTCTAGCGCTGGCCAGCGTTCTGGTTCTTTCTTTCTTGGCTCTGACAAGGTTGGCGTCGGTCGGCCGTGCAGCGGAAAGCGTGTCCGGGACTCGCGTCGGCCGAGTGAACAGCGAACATAGCACTGCATTGACGCGCCACTCCACCGCCAGCGGATTGGATTTTCTCGCAGCTGCCTTGCCGCCAGCTCGACCGCCGGTTTCGATAAATCGATGTCGACACTCGACATGCACGGAACGGGCAGTCGGTGGGACCCAGCCCGGCGATCCTGCACAGCGGTGTCGTTCGCCTTCTCTCTCGCACTCGGCGCGTCGCGCGGGAGTGCCAGAAGGACAGAGCGACGGAACGCCCCCCCAGCCGCAGCAGCGTGTATTATTCAGCCCCACTTAGCGGTGCACCAGGGCGACCAACCTGCGCACCGCCTAAAAGCCTGCCCGCCTGCAGCACTGCCAACTCACTGCAGGGCTGGCGGCGGCGTGATCGGGGCGTGGCGGAGCGCGGTGGGGCGCGGCGGGGCGTGCCAAGTCTAACAAGAGAGGCATCAGTCAAAGTCACGGCCAGCCACCGGCCCAGCCGGTCTGGCACCCCCACCGAGAGGAATTAATTTTAAATTAGATTTGACGATTTGCAGCCAGCAGTGCCTCGACTCGGCTGCCGCTGCCATGGCGGCCTTGGTGACAAAAGAGAAACGAGTCAAGGAATTAAGAGACGGTGGGGGCCTTAATAATGTCGGTTCGGAATCCTCTCAGCAGCAAATCGTGCTGGCGACGGCGGCGCGATCCCGCCCTGCCTCAACAAACCGCCGGGGGTCGTCCGCGTATTGCGTTGCATGGAGAAGAAGAGCGGGTCCAATGATGGACCCTTAACGAGTGGGGGGGGGGGGAAGCGTCGACCCGAAACAGGGAGACTGACACGCCGTTTCTTCTGGTGTCCTTGCAGGACGTGACAGCGCCATGAGGTAGGCGCCACCGTGATGGACTACTACGTGGACGCGTCCCCCACGTGGGGGCCCGAGGCGGCGGGGCTGGCGGGGCCCACCAACGCCAGCCTGCTGGGCGACTTCGGCAACTACTCGGACGCCCTGCTCGACAACAGCACGGCTGCCAACGCCACCGCCAACGACATCAACTCGTTCTACTTCTTCCACGTAAGTCCACGTCCACGTCAGCGCAGCGCAAGCCGCCTGCGAGGTAGGCCTCCCAGCGGGTGTGGCGCGCGCGTGTGCGCCGGGCTGCCTATCCTCGGTTTGGCGGGCGGCGTGCGGCGGATCGACGCGAGCGGCAGTGCACAGTGCAGCAGCGTGCTGCCTTCCATCGGATGGCTGGGCCGTGACAGCCGTTAGTGCACTGCCGGAATGCGCTAGAGAGCGCTAGCGCGTACCGGGGAAGCGGCGGGGGCGGGAGGGCGAGGCGAACCGCCCGGTCGGCCTGAAAGCAGCCCGCTTGTATTATGCATCTGGTCGCCGTGTTCGCCGGACAAAGCGTGTCGAGAGCTTCTCGGCCTGCCCGTGGCTGCCCGTGGCCGCCCATGGCCGGCCGCAGGGGTCACAGGCACGGCACAGCCACACTGCTGAGGGGCGCTGGGGTCACGCAGCCCTGCTCTAGTGGGGCTCCGGCTCCAGCGGGACTCGGCGACGGCCGGGCCTTTCAGCGGCTTGGCTTTCCACTGCTACTCCGAGTCACGCCCCTCGGAGCGCAAAAACTGTCACGTCCCTTTCAGTGTAACTAGTCACACTAGGCGGCCGTTTTCACCTCAGCCAATCTCGGGGAGGGCGGGGCCGCGGGGCCGCGGGGCCTGGCGGGGCGTACGACTCGTGTGGGACAAGCAGTCCAGGGGAGGTCGGTGAACTGCCGCCAGGCCGCCTGCCCGCCAGCCGGCAGACAGGCGGGCAGCCAGGCAGGCAGCCAGCGCCGGCAAGCCTCACCTTGAGGAGCAAACGTGCATTGAAGCGTGAAGTGCCCCAGCAGCCCCTCTGCGTGCTCACTACTGCTACTTGAAAAGAACGCTGCGCGCTACGCGGCGCTACGCGCGTTTGGCGTTTGGCTCGCCAGCCACAAGCCGTCACACGTGGCCCGGCCAAGGCCTGGCCAAGGCCTGGCCGGGCCGAGTGGTGAGGCTGAAGCGTGCACGCACCAGGACCCGCCAGCGCTCACGCATCCAAAATGACATTAAAAAGTGAGGCGTCCCCGGTGCCCCCGCTCGCAGCCGACGCTCAACATTTAGAGTTTCGTTTGAACTGCGTCGCGCCGCCGCCGCCCGCCGCCCTCTCCGCCTCTCTGGCGGCCGGGAAACACTCTGCACCTTTTTGCACCGCCAGGGCGAACAGCACGTTGCCAGCCGCGATCCCCCCCCTCCCGGTTATTTCCAATCCCGCAGAAGCGAGGCGTGGCGGAGGCCAGCGGCAGTCGCAGGCGGAGAAGAGGTGGCCGGGGAGCCGACGGCAGCCGACGGCGGTTTAGTTGGTTAACGCCAAGAGTATAATGGGGCTGTGAATTGATTGACCCCCGCCCTCTGATTGGCTGTCGGGGGAGGGGGCCACGCTAATTGGTATGGCGCCCCCTACCCCCCCACCTCCTCCCCCACCTCCCACTAGTCCTGCCGGGCTGTCTTGCAGGCGGCCAGATCAAAGGGGAAGGTGTTGGCGCCTCCGTTCATCGGCGCCAGCCCGCCTCCTGCCCGCCAGCCCCGTCTGCCCCGCCGGGTAAGGTGGCAAAGACAGACAGAAGGCCGCGGGCCGCGACCCCGCTCGAGGCGCTCACCTGCCCAGCCTCCCCCTGCCCCTCCCCCCTCCCCTTTGCAAACTCTTCCAGTGGCGCGGCGGCACCTCGCGCCCGCCTCGCGCCAGGGGGCCGGCTCAGTCTGATAGACACGTCCATCAGGTTCGCCCCGCGCGGCCCCGCGCCGTGCCCTACGCCCTGCGCAAAAGAAGGGGTGGGAACGGCGCCTTGGCTGAGCCTTTCCTTGCCCCGCCAGCCACGGCAGGCAGGCAGGCCGACGCCGCTACTCCCGTTAATTAATTTGAATTAATTGGCGCCCCGTCTACGCACCGCGCTCCGCGGGCTGCGCGAGGAGCGCACCAGGCGAGCGCTGCATCCCCCCTCGTCCTTGCCGGTCTTTGCGGCGTCGGCGCGGCGGCGTGGCTGTGTGCAGAGCAACGCAGAGTGCACTCGGCGCGCTCCCATTTGCATCGAGATCGTCGGCGGCGGCGAAAATGACTCATTAGCTCGCTCCTACGCGAACACACTGCCAACCTAACGGTGGCGTGGCTGGGTAAATGTTATTGCCCGCGGCCCAGGTTTCCACCAGCAGGGCCACTTCGCACGATGCTTTCGTCGCTCTGGTTGGCTGTCTCTCTCCCGCCCCCTCATGCCGCTGCAGAGCGCTCCGTGGGTGCGAGAGAGACGGAGCGACGAAAGGACTGTTCGGAATCAGCTGCTTTTCACCATACGCGCCACGTGCCAAGCATAGTACATACCTTTTTTTTCTTTTTTAATTCGCGGAGTGAAAAGTTTTTTTTAGCGCTGCTCCGTTCTGGCGCTGCATTTTAATCGGTTTCCAACAATTTCGTATGCGTCATCAACACGCGCATTGAATATATTAGCTTCCCCGGCGGGTGCTGCGTACAGTCTCGGACAAAGGACCCGTCGCGGCGCCGTCGCTACCCCGCGCTGCAAGGCTCTCCCCGCCCGGCAGGCCTGCATTAGGACTCACTCGCGCGTGGGGCGTGGGGTAGCGCCGCGCCGCGCAGTGTCCCTTTGTCCCCGGGGCGGTGCGCGTGGCGTCGCGTCGCGCGGTATGCGGAATGGAGCGCGAGGCGGCGAGGCGGCGACTGGAGGTGCTCAGATTTATACCCAGCGGACAATGCACTGCGCGCCTCGACAGGCGGCTGTTTTCGAACAGTGCCCTCGCCGCTCTGTCTCCCTTGCTCTCAAGGCGCGCGAGGTGGCTGCGTTGGGGTGCGAGCGAGGTAGACATACTGGGGCGCGACGCATGCCAGCAGCAGCAGGTCCAGCGTGAGTGGGAACCGCGTTATCCGGCCAGCCAGGGCACTCTAAAAATGCCGAACTTTGGAACACAGACCTCGCCAGCAGCTCGCGGTTCGCGAGGCGGCGCCGAGTCGTGCACTATTAGGTGAACTACGGAAATTTTTGCAGTGTGCGAGGCTGTGCCGTGCTCCGTCATCGGATCGCGAATATCGCTGGGTTGCTAGGTTACGGCCATCGCCATCGCTCGCCACTGAGGGCTGCGGGGCAGGGCGGCCACCACCGCGCGCTGCGCGCTTCAAGAGCCGCGCGGCGCTTCAAGAGCCGCGCCACTGTCGGCCAGACAGGCGTGCCAACTTGAACATTAATTACGGCCGCCAAGTTTGGCCGCGTCTGCCCGACTGGCTGACACCGTGACGGCGGCCTGTTTTCGGCTCTCCGTCTCTCTCGCACTCACGGGGCTCTCCGTCCGGGAGCGAGAGAGAAAGCGACGAGGTGCTGAGCGGGATCAGTCTGCAGCGCTGGATCCAGGGCCAGGGGCCGAGCGCCGTCGGGGTCAAGAGACTGCACCGGGCCGGCGCACCGCGCATCGCACCGAGCGAGCTCAATGGGCCCTCCTAATCAGTTTCCTATAATGAGTCCTTTAGCTTGGCTGCCGCCGCCGACGCCCACGCCGCCAACGAGGCCCGCGAAACGCGCCGCGAAGCGTTCTGCGCCGGAATATCTCGAAAAGCGCCGATTTCACAATTGAAATTCCCGCGTTTGACATTGGCTTTTCACACCCCCTCCCTCCGCCGGCGTCGGCAGGCACTTTGGCGCGTTTTGCTGGGAACACGACGCTTTGTGCACTTTGGCTCGGGTGGAGGGGGAGGGGTGGGGGTGGGGACGGCACACGTCTCCCCGCATTCCAGATGGGGACGGCCTCCGACGGCCCCCGACGGTCCCCAGGCGTGTGTCCCTTTATTGGAAGGCCGTGCGGGGCGGCGCGGGGGCGGCGCGGGGGCGGGCCGCGCATCGCTTGTCCACTGCGACACTCATTCCTCGACGCGTTCCAGAGGCCCAACCGCTGCATCGCAGTGCACCGACGGCGTGCCCCCAATGTCGCAACAAATTAAACGTTTGAAAGGCTTTGAAAGTTTCTCCTCGCATCCTGAATTTTGCTCGGACTGGACTGGCCGTGGCCCAGGTCAGAGCAGAGTGACCGTGAAAGGCGGCGGAACCAGGAGGCAGGCGGCAAAAAAGGGGGAGACGGGTCCGAAGGTGAGTGGCCAGGGCGGGGTGGGGCGGGGCGGGGCGGGGTGGGGCGGGGTGGGGCGGGGTGGGGCGGGGCGGGGCACTCCAGCCAGCCGCAAGCGAGTAAGCTACAGAGCAAGCGGCTCAAGGACTCAATGGCTGGTGCCGGCGCTCTGCACTGGCCGGCCGGGTACACTGGTACGGGGTGCTTCTTGACGGCCAGCCTCCCCCAGCTCCGCCAGCCCCCCAGAGCCGCCACCGAATGTTATTTGATGTTGTGCGAATAGCATTCCGAACAGTGCCTCGCCGCGCCGCTCCCCTTTGCGGGACGACCCGTGAGTGCGAGAGAGCCAGAGCGCTGTTCGGCGTTCCCCTGCCGCTCACTGGAATCACAAACTCTGGCAGATGATTTCCAGCGCCACATTCCAGCAGATGTATACCGCTCGTGTTGCGCGCGTGCCTGCCGGTCCGCCGGCTCAGCGGCGGAAAGCCTTGTTGTGGCGTTCGTGGGAACAAAACTTGCGGCCGACTATGCCTTCAGCGTTCACCGCCGTGCCGTGGCAGTGCCGTGGCAGTGCCGTGGCAGTGCCGTGGCCGCGGCAGCGCTCGAACGAGGAACGAGGAAAATAGGCACGTCCGACCAGCCAGGCGAGCGAGGCATGGAGACCGTGACCCGCCGGGCATACGCTACACTGGCTGCGGCTGCCAGAGTATGGCAGAGTACACTGTTCAAGAAATCTTGGAACTCGTTGGAAAAAGAAATTCCGATTCTATCTTTGGAAAATTCCGGAGGTTAGGTAAGGAAAGAAAGGCGTAGTTCAAAAATATTTCTTTGAAAAAACAGGAGCCTCTGGACGTTTTCCCCACGGAGCACTTTTCCCCTATTATTTTTAACAGTGTCGTATCCGCTTTCCCCACAAAAAGAGGGCTGGCCCCGAGCGTCCACGAGAGTGGGTGTCGAGTCCGTTCCAGTGTTTGCTCTCCTCGGTTTGCATAGCGGTGGCGATGATGTTACAAAGCTCAACCAAGTTTTTGTCGCGTTTTCCGGGCTTCAAGTTTCGCCGCTGAACGTGTGGGAGGCTGGGGCCTCCCCGAGCCTCCCGCACAGCCCGTGGTGGATGTGGGTTTGTCTATGCCGGGTTCTTGCTCCGCCCTGCTGGAGTAACGACTTGAAATTCCCCATGATCAATGGGCGTGAAAAAAAAGGGGTGGGGAAGACGAAAAAAGGGGCTTTTTGGGCGTTTGTCCCACGGAACAAGCACCATCCTCCCTCTGCTTCACTTTTGGTTTCAATCTCTTAGGGAGGCAGGACTCCCTCTGGAGATGATGAATCACCGCCTGGAATGGCTGTGCGGCCCGCTGGAGCGCCTGCTGGAGGGCCTGGAGGGCCTGCAGTCCACGCATAGTGCCGGCCTAGTCTAGTGCCCCCTCCTTCGCCGCCACACTGAAAAACAGTCCGCTTCTTCTTCCAGGCTTATCGACGTGGGCCGGGCCGCCCGGATTATGGAATCACCCAACCTATCCCTCTCGCCCTCTCTGCGAAAAATAAAATAAAGTCTGTTGATTTATGAAATTGAACCCTCAAGCTGTTCTGCATACGATTTCACGTGATTGGATCGATCGAGGAGAGGACACGGTTTGCTAATTCGAAATTAAAGCGAGGCTGGCCAAGCTGGCAGCCAGGCCGGCGAATCAGTGGGGCGAGTGCTGAGCCGGCTGCTCGGTCTGGGCGGTCTGGGCGGTCCGCAGGGACAGCACTGCCCTCGGCACTGCCCGCCGGTCAAACCTAATTTGCGGCGCCGAGAGCTTCCCGCCGTCTGAGCTTCCCCGCGTGCATCGACACCAGTTGGGGGCTCCCACAAAGCCCTGCCTGCGCACTGCGCCCCGCTACGCCCCGCCAGCCGGCAGTGGGTCCCAGAGGCCAGCAGCCCGCCCAGTGGGCCGGGCCCCACCACGCCCCGCACTTAGAAGCAGGGCTAGCTGAGGCTGAGGTTTCGCTAATAGTTTCCCCGGGGAGCTGGCCACTTGCTCGCCTAGTGCCCCTCGGCCCCTCGGGGTGGAGGGAGGGAAAGGGGGAGGGGGGCACGGTCCGGCTGCCTGCTGCCTGCCTGCCGGCCTGCCTGCCTGCCTGCCTGCCTGCCTGCCCGCCTGCCTGCCTGCACGCCAGTCCGGCCCGATGGCGCGTGCGCGGACAGTGCGGACGGGCCTCCGGTCTCCTGTCTTCAATTAGTGGGCACGGCTAGCTGCCGGCCCGGACGCCCCTCCTCTTTCTAGCTCTCCGTCTCTCTCACTCCCTCGCTCGGCAGCCCCGGGAAAATCAAATTGAACGCGCCAATTGCCGGTTGAGCGGAACGACGCCGGCGATTCGATAGACGGGGCCGAGGCCGTGATGGGGACGTCGTCGTCGGCGCCCCGGCACCTCGATTTACCGCCGGCCGGGTGGAAACTACCTCGCCGCCGGTGAAAATGAACACGCGCCAAACAGGATAAAAGCGCATGACAAGGCTCGCAAATTCGAGGGCAGAGTTGTTGGCGCTGAAAAAAATAAAAATGAAAATGTTTTCGAAGCTTGCGGTGCTTTGCAGGCTTTTGCCCTCGGCTGGCCTCGGCATGGCGGGAGCACGGGGACCGCCCCGAACCAAGACACCAAGACGACTCCCCCCCCCCCCCCCCCCCCCCCCGGCTGACGCGACGCGCGGGGAGCACGGGCCTCGACGACTCAGTGATCGGCGAGACAAGACAAGGGGGTGGCCGTCGGGGGCGGGGGGAGGTGGAGGAGGGTGTCGGGATGGTATGACGGAGGGGACGACTTGTATTCACGCCAGAATATCGTGTGTTCTCCGGCACTGTTGGCGCGGACGGATCGTCACAGCCGAGGTCTGGGCTGCTCTGGGTAGGAGGCCGGGGCCAGGTGGCAGCGCACCCAGGTGGCCCACTGCACCCTCGCGGCCGTGAAGCAAGCCGAGAAGCCAGGCGTGCGGTGCGCTCGGACCACCCTTCCATTCAATTACAAAGGCACGAGTCGTATAAACGAACGGCGCAGAGAGAGAGAGAGAGAGAGAGAGAGAGAGAGAGAGAGAGAGAGAGAGAGAGAGAGAGAGAGAGAGAGAGAGAGAGAGAGAGAGAGAGAGAGAGAGAGGGCAGCGGAGAAGAAAAGGAGGAAAGATTCAAAAGGAGAAGGAGGCAGGGAAAGTGGCTCTCAGGACGCCACAAAGCGACCAGACGCTTTTTTTGGGGAATGAACCGCTCGCCCGGGCATCCCTTGCGTGCGGGACGTGCCGCAGTATACGTCGTGGGGGAGGGGAGGGGGAGGGGTGATGCCGCCAACTATTTTACTGCCGCATGAGATCAAGCGAGCTGTTTCTCTTAACAGCCGGATGGGACGGGGCAGAACAGTGGACCGATGTGCGGTTCGGGTTGCCCCCCGACAAGCAGTGAAAAAGAACGAACGAACGAAACTCGGTAGAAATAAAGTACAATATTCACGCCAAACGGCAAAATGTTAGAAATGCTACGTCAAATTTCATAATTTTTATATTTTTTTTAAATAACGAAAACAGCAAAGTCAAGTCCCTGTCATTTCCATGGAGCGATTTAATTACACGCTTTCGTTCGGAATCAACGTCGATGAAAGGGCTGCAGAAAGAAAGAAAAGCTGCCATTGAGGGATGTCATTCGCCGGGGTGTGATTTCGAGTGGCGCCTGCCTCGACCCGGGTTCGAGTCCCAGTGGCGGTGCGGCGCTCGGCCCGGCCCGGCCGCTGTTCGCAAGTGGACTGTATTTTGGCCAGGCCACCGAGTGTGTTTTGCGCGGGTGAAACATTAATTTTGCTATTTGCTCGACTCTGTTTGTTTTCCCAGACGGCGCAGTTCGCGGTCTTGTGGGTCCTGTTCGTGCTCATCGTGCCGGGCAACTCGGCGGTGTTGCTGGCGCTCGCCTTCAACAAGCACCGCAAATCCCGCATGAACTTTTTCATCATGCAGCTCGCCATCGCAGGTAAGGCTCCACTGCCGGCTTCAAAGCGCGCGAAGGGAGACGGGAGGGCGGTCGCCGCATCGGTCGCCCTGAGAAAGTTTGTCCGAGGATTCGAATCCTGGGCCTCGCCTGCCGCGCCGGAATAGACGCGGCAGCCCGGTGGGCGTATACGGGATAAGCTCCGAGCGAAAGAACAAATTTGTTTACCCGTTTGCCTACGGCCGGCCACCCCTGTAAAAGCGAAGTGTAACGTGGTTATCGGTTCAGCGGGCAGGCAGGCGGGCGGGCGGTACCGGCCGCCTCGGCAGCCACTCTGATGGGCTTAGGCCCCTAATGCATTTACGGGCCTAGCCGCACGAGCTTTCCTGAAAAATCACGGCGCGGCCCTCGAATGAGAAACAAAACAAAAACAAAAATAAAGCAAAGGCAAAATCTGGCCTGGTCGGCCCGGGCCCTGCCGGCCGTGGCCCCGGGGCCGAAAAAGCGGCGGCCTGGCCGAGACGAGCCGCCCCGCTGCCCTATTGGTCGCAGGGCTTAGGCCGCGGAATCTGACAGATGGCAACAGGGTCGAGTGCCGGAGTACGGCCGCCCCGCCGCCAGGCCGCCAGCAAAAAACAGGTTAGAAATAATCCACCCTTGATCCAGCCTGGCCGGCGTGGGCGGCCACACAGTGTGCCTGAGCCACCGCCCTCAGGACGCGCTGCGCTACCCGAGGACCTCGGTCGACAGCAGCTGGAGCGGCAGGGGCGCCCGTCGACGGCGGGGTAGGCCTCGCGCTGCACGCCGGAGCGTCGCCGCCGCGCCGACGGCCTACCTGCCGGGCGCTCGCCCTCGACGCCCTGTTGTCGTCGTGGCTCACCCCGGCATCTCTCTCACTCTCTCGCTCTCCCAGCAATTATGTCTCCCTTTCCTCTCTTTCATGGCGGGTCACCCCTGGCGCCCTCGCTGCTGCGCATCAATATCTGTTTACGGTGTACGGCCCGCCGGGCGTCGGCCGCGGGGACAGCATCAGCCGCCTTCTGGAGGGCAGGGCAGCGGGAGGGGGAGTGCAATCTCTCTCTGTCTCTCTTTCTGCGTGGAAATCCCCCCGGGCCACGTAATGCCGTTTCGGGAGCACCTTTGGCACTCCCGCACAATCCTTTTGTCCACCAGCCGGTCTCAGCCACACTGAAAAAAAAAGAGGCTGGGTTTGAGGCTGGTACAGCCACGCTGTTTGAGGCTGGTACAGCGACGCTGTTCGAGGCTGGTACAGCTAGGCTGTACTGTTTCTTGGCAGTGCACTTACGTCGGGCGCGCGGTCTGTACTCACGGGGGTGAATCTCGTAGCCAACAGGCTCAGTGACTCTGCCCTCCCCCCGCTCAAGACTCCGGGGAGCCTGTTGTGGGTCATGGAGTCGCGGCCGGGCCGTGGAGCCGCCAAAACCACAGACAGTGCGCCGCTGCTCCGCCACGCCTCGCCTCGGCCGCCTCAGTTTCGCTCTCACTTTGAACTTGACTTACTCCTCTTTCACTACCCTGCCAGCGCGTTCCTCCCACCCTTTGCTTCGTTCCGCTGTTCGCTCACTCTCTCCCTTTTCCAACTTTTTTTTTCCCGCCCTGGAGCCGGGGTGGGGAGCAGGAAATTTTTTCCCGTACTTTGAAGTAGTGCGCGCGAAGTCCAGTCTACACAGCGCCACTGGACCTCAGGTCCAGAGGAAGAATCGTCACATCCACAATATCGGCTGATGGGTAAACAATGCTGTCTGTCTGTCTGTCTGTCTGTCTGTCTGTCTGTCTGTCTGTCTGTCTGTCTGTCTGTCTGTCTGTCTGTCTGTCTGTCTGTCTGTCTGTCTGTCTGTCTGTCTGTATGTCTGTCTGTCTGTCTGTCTGCCTGCCTGTCTGTCTGTCTGTCTGTCTGTCTGTCTGTCGATGGCAACTGACTGGCGTCTCAAACGAGGTGACGAGTGGTGCCGAGCGTCGTGCCAAGCCAAGCCCGCCGCAACGACGCCCAATCGGAAGCCAAACTTTCCCCTCGCAGTGTGCCTCCGCCCCGTCGCCACGACGGCGCAACGGCGTCGAGCTGCGTTGACAGTTGTGGACAGAAACGCGCCAGTCTAGTGAGGCCTTGGCGGGCGCTAGGCGGGCCCTTTGGAGGCCATTTTGCGGGCCCTTTGCGGGCCCTCGGTGGGCCCTCCGCGTAGCGTAGGCCCTTGCGAATCAGCAATCAGCAGCCCTTCACGGGCCGTGGTGCACGTCTTCTTCAGGTGCCGCCTCTCGCCTTTTCTTATTCTCCGGTCCCATTTTTCCTCTTGGACTTTTTCCAGTGCGAGAGGCAGGTGCGCGCCCGGGGCGAGGCGAGGCAGGGCGGGGCGGAGCAGGGCGGGGCGGGGCGGCCAGAATTCGCCGCCGCTGTGCCGCGACGCGGCGGGTTTGTCTGATCAAGTTTGCGCAGAGGAGACAGAGACACACCGCAGCGCAGCGGACCAAAGGCCAAAACACGACAAGCAAAAAGCAAAAACACGAGACTGACAAATTTTAACAAGCCACACCCATAAATGGGGAATGGATGGGGTCATGAATGCGCGTCGCGACGCGCTGCATGGAGTGCACCGAGTGCACCGAGTGCACTCAGCGCTGGAATGGCTCTGTGTGTGTGTGTGTGTGTGTGTGTATGTGTGTGTGTGTGTGTGTGTGTGTATGTGTATGTGTGTGTGTGTGTGTGCGCGCGCGCGCGCGTGTGTGCGTGGTATACACACCCCGCTATTCAGCCAAGTAGAAAATAGTCCCTGCTCGGTATGGTACGGATGGGTGGCAATACTCGCGTGCGTCGCCAGGAGGTCCACTGGCTCCGTTTCAGAGAGGGCCGCTGGTGAAGTAGGTCGAGGACGACGACGAGGACGATGAGGACCTCGACGGGGACCTCGAGGAGGACGCCGTCTTGGCCGTGCCGCCCCAATAATAAAGCCAAACGTCGGAGCAGAATGCCGGTCTACACTCAACTCTTCAAGTCATAAAAGTTTGGATGACGCAGAGGGGCCGCACTTGCCAAACTATGCGCGGCCGCCACTTGCGAAATCCGAGCAGAAGCGCGCGAAAAAAAATAATAGTGGTTTATTGAGCAATTAATGATTGCGTGGTGGATTGCGTAAGGGAGTTGCTGGAGGGGACGACTCATAGAGGGTGAGAAAGTATATATCGAAATGGTCCGAGACAATACAAGGCCCTGAAGGCCCCGCTACTCGTGCAAACACCCCGAGCCCTCAGCCCTAGGCCCCGCGTAGGCCCGTCCGAACAAAATAAAGGAGCTCCATTCCGATCGGATCCGAGTCCTCTGTATTTTCGGCGACGGCCCAGCCAAGGGCCCCGCCGAGGGCCCCGCCACCCGCCTTGGGGCCTCGGCCGCCGACGCGCTGGACAAACGACTGTGCCCTTTTGTCGAGGTAGATCAGCGCGCCGCTTTTGCCACCACTGTCTCTCTCGCACTCATGGAGCGTTCCGTGCGAGCGAGAGAGACACCACTGTCGAAAAGCGTTGATCGGAACCAGCCTGCCGCGGGTCCCAACTGCCATGTCGTCTCAAAAATCGGTTCCTGGTCTCAAAACGTGTTCATCGGCGTGGCTAACCAGGTGCGGGACCGGGCGGTCCTGGCCGCCGCCATGAAGTGCGTCACGGACGGCGCGGAAGGCCGCCGGTCGGCCGCCGGCGTGCACCCTGCCCCGGGCCTATCGCGGCACCGCATCGCACTGTCGGCCGCAGCGCCGCGGCAGGGCCATTGTCGTCATTCTGGTGGTTCTGGTGGTTCTGGCGGTCCTGGGGAGGATGTAGTGGGAAGGGGATTGGGGGGCTCAGGGCGGCGCGGCCCGAGGACACCAAGGCCCCGACCAAGGCCGCCGGGACGGCACTTCCGGCCCTCGTTCCGATATCAAGATAAGTGCGACGAGTCGAATAAAAGCCGGCCCGGCCCGGGCTCGAACCCGCGCCCTCGCCCAAGGTCGGCCGTATGCAGAGCGGCGCCGCGGTGCCCGGTGCGGAGGACGTGTCTTGATTAACGTCTTGGTGCTTCATCACGTTGTTACAGACCTGGCCGTGGGGCTCATCAGCGTGCCCACCGACCTGGCGTGGCGCATGACGGTGGCGTGGCACGCCGGCAACCTGGCCTGCAAGCTCATCCGCTTCCTGCAGGTGAGCATCCTGGCGTTCATCATCCTGGAGTGGAGTACAGTGTACGCCAATCTGCCGCCCAGACGAGGACGTAATCAAAAATTCATCTCCGCTGCTCTGCTGCAGGTGATGGTGACCTACTCGTCCACGTACGTGCTCGTCGCGCTCAGCATAGACCGCTACGACGCCATCACCCACCCCATGAACTTCTCCACGAGCGGTGAGTACTCGCCGTCCGTGCGTGTGAGTGAGTGAGTGAGTGTGAGGAGAATCGATGTTCGGTGAAACGCCCCTGCGCGGTATGCAACCCTGTTGCTGTCTTTCTCGCGCGCCGAGTCACCGCGCTGCAGAGCGGCGGAGAGGGCCTCTCTCTGCGGAACAGACACTGCAGCGCTGCACTCCAGTTCTTGCGCTTCTCCCGCACCTCGCTCCATCTTGCCTCCAGTGCGGTGCACGCCCTCCGGCCTCCACTCCCTACTTTTTTTTCTGTCTCTCACTCCCTTCCTCGGCTGCTCTAATTTTTCACGAAGCGAGGCGAGCCGCGCCGAGCCGCGCCGCAGGGGAGTCGGCCGGATCCTCATTTGTCCTGCGGCACTGCGCCTCTCTGCGCTGCGGCCGCTGCGAGTCCGCATCGATTGTGCGTGCCGCGACTGCCGCGACCGCCGCGGGTGAATGGGGGAGGGGGAGGGGGGACGGGGCTCGCATGATGAATGACTGCCGGCAAGGCCAAGGGCTGCGGGGACGCCGAGGACGATGACGCCGAGGCGGCCGGGCCGATACAGAGCGGATCCGGGATTAGGAAGAGGAAGGCCGGTCCTTGACGGATGGGGGGCACTGGCGGAAGGGACTGGGGACCGCCCCGAGGGGACCCCTGACGAAGGCCCTGACGGCGTCCCCGGGGAAGCGAGGGCGCCGGCCGGCCGGCCACGGCGAGAGGGATCATGGTCACTAGCAGGAGGGTCAGCGCCACGGCCGGCACGGAGCAATCGCCCCCACGAGGGCTCCAACGACGCAAGCGACGCGAACGACGCCCTGCTGCAGATGACGACGTCGGCGTCCTCGCGCACCGTGGCTCCTCCCCCTTCCCCCGCGCTTTCACGACGGACGCGTTTAGGCCGCCGTGCATCGCCTTGCACCTCATCTCGACGGTGGTGGCGCCCATTCGGATCCCCCCCCCCAACCCCCCAACCCCGCGGCGCCAATCCATCCAGGCATCAACAAGTGGCGCGCCCACGCCGGGCCGCGGCGTCACGGATCACATCTTGACCCCCCCCCCTCTTTCCCCATCCCTCCCCGCGTCTGACGGGGAGGTGCCATGCAAATTTTACGGCGCGCTGGTCTAATTCAGGCGGGGAAATGAACCGCCTTATGGCGTTTTTACAGCGCGCGTGCTTCCCGACGAGATGCTCACTCCGGCGTGGCCGCCTGGCCGCGTGGCCGCGCCGCCGTCGTCGTCGTCTTGGTTCGCCCCTCGTCTCCTCCGTGCGACTCCATTTATTTCTCGCGCGTTCTCTTTCATGCTCTCTCTCTCTCTCTCTCTCTCTCTCTCTCTCTCTCTCTCTCTCTCTCTCTCTCTCTCTCTCGCTCGCACACGCCACATCGCCCCGACGCCCCTAACAGTTGGATCGGATGGCCCACGCGACGCGCGACGCAGGCTATCCGGCTTCCCCGACTGACCCTGTGATCTTTTGGTCCCCGTCGGGGGTCGGGCGCGTCGCCGTCGCGAGGCGTGGCGCGAGGCGTGGCACCAGGCGGTGGCGCCGCTCGCTCGCGCCCCCGGTCTGCGGCGCGCGACATGGGATAGGTGTGGGACTGAGGCCGCTGAGGCCGAGGGGGTCACAGGTTCCCCTTACAGTCGTCGCAGCAGCGCGATCAGGTGTCACGGCCCTACGGCGACGTGCTTGGCCGCCCCGCCGCCCCGCCGCCCCGCCGCGTGCGAGCCGAGTCGAGCCGGATCGGAACCAGCCGAGGCATAGGGTGGGCCGGACGGGGCCGAGCCGAGCCGAGCCCGGACCCAGCCCAGAGAGCGCGGCTCGGGTTGAGCCGTTTGTTCTTAGGAAAGATCTCATCAGCGGCCCCAACCCCGCCGCGCCCCGCCGCGCCCCGCCGCGCCCCGCCTGGTCGGCAACCCTTTACGAGGCTGACCTTGAGGGGACGACCCTCGCCTCGCTCCGCTCGCCGCCCGCCGCCCCGCCCCGGCCGCCACACGGGCAACACGGTTGTGCGTGGTCAAGGTGAGCCACTGTGTGAACGAGCTGGCGGAGTTGGCAGGGCTGGCAGGGCGCTTCCAAGAATTTTAATGAGTCTGGAAAAATATTTTGAGGCTAGTTGCACGCCGCCAGCGACGCCGTGCGACCCGGACCAACTGTCTACCTTTTGCCGCCGCCGCCGCCGTCAGACGCAGTTTATCCCAGAGGCGGACTGGCCTAATCCCGACCCACGAAATGTGAGAAAATATACACGTTCGCACGCAGGAACACAAAAAAACTAGGACACAACGCGGGGTCTTTTCTCTGTTTTCCTTTATTTTTTCGCGAACTCGATTTATCATGGTGGGATCACGCTCGGCGTTCGGTGCACACACTATATACACGGTGGCCGACGGCGGCGCTGCAACAGGTGGGGCGCCACAGCCCGGGCCGCACAGGGCCTGGGCCTCGGGGTCTGGGCCCCAGGGCCGCCTGCCCGCCGCCCTGCAGCACGGCGCCCTCGAGGAGGACAAGAAACGGGGGAAGACTGACCGAAAGAGGAAAGGGAACGAAGGCTGCTGGGCACACAGCTCCCTGCAATGCCAATATTTTGAGCCGTCGAGACGGCCGATGGGACGGCACAGTCCATAGCACAGTCCATGGCAGTCAGCGAGTCGAGCGGTCGTCGGATTAGTCGGCGGCCTGCGACTCCGCTGCACAATTTAGATTTTATTTTATTTTTTCCATTATTGGTTCTGCCAACATCTCCGCAGGCCCTCCGCTCCGGGCGATCCTTTGTCATGTAAGGCGGCCCACCACAATAGCACCATCCATGTTGGCCATCGGGGCTCCCAGCAGCGCTCCCAGACGCGCTCCCAGCGCCACAAAGCCTCAAAAGTTGTCTCATATTTCCGCACGCCCCACCCCATCCCACCCTGCCTCGATGCCCGAGAGCAGGGTGGAGGGCCCCAGCCAGCCCCAGCCAGCCAGCCCCGGCCGACGCGTACCCACACGCTGTGGCCTGAGAAGTGGGTCGCACGCCTGGAAGGGACTGGAGGGACTGGAAGGCACCCCAGAGCCCTTGCTCTAGTGCACTCAGCAAGACAGTCGGGGTGCCGGGCCGGGGCGTGGGGCGGACCCGCCCGGCCAGACCCTGTCGTCGGCGACGCGGCGACTCGGCGACGCACAACATCGAGAGCTTCGCTCGCCTCGCCAATCGCTTCGCCGTGACCGCGCGCCGCGCGTCTCAGCCAAGAGCCCGGTTAAACCTAGGCTGGCCGGTGCTGCCCCGCGCGGAACGCGGAGGAACGGGGAGTGAAATAAAACGGGTTCGCGCAGAACTTGCACCGCTTTGTGGGGCGAGATCGAGAACAAACAGGCCTCGCTTGCGCGCTTGTGTGCACTGCCAATCCAAGTGTGAGACAGTCTCACACTTGTAGGTGTGGGACATTTTGTCTCACGCTTACATGTGTGAGCCACGTTTGTCTCACGCTTGCAAGTGTGAGACATCGATGTCTCACACTTGCAAGTGTGAGACAAACTTGTCCCACACTTGCTGCCTATGCTAGCTCTGTGGTTCAATGCCACGGGTCCCACGTCTGCAAGAGTAGGGCAAATCTTGTCTCCACTTGCAAGTGTGAGACATCGATGTCTCACACTGCAAGCGTGAGACAAACGTGGCTCACACATGTAAGCGTGAGACAAATGTCCCCAGCCTACAGTGAGACTGTCTCACACTTGGATTGGCAGTGTGGGTGTTCCTTATTCAGTTTCGTACAATGGAGGGCCCGGCCGGTTCCGCTGGTTCTTATTCGCTCTTTTTTTTTTTTTTTTTTTTTTTTTTGCTCGCTGTTTTGTTTGTGTTGTGTACCCATAAGCCCGCCAGCATGGCAGCACGCTGCCGCGTCGCTTGTTGGCGAGTTGTTGCGTTTGCAAGGGCAAACATTGATTCTGCTCGCGTTCGCATCGGTTCGCTTCGGTTGGGCTGTTCACCCGTCGCCAAACGCCCCTACACGGCCCCGCAGGGCCCCACGGGGGGCTCATAGGGCCCCGTGAGGGCGCGCGGGGCAGCGCCACGACGGCGGTGCAGGGCCCGTTTGACCAGGGTTTGCCGCGCGGCTCAGACAACAGGACGGGCCCTCGGCCGCCGTCGCCCCGTCCCCATCATGCAGTCCGAGAGCTTTGCTGGATAACCCGCCGGCCCTGCTGAGAACAACCGCAGCCTTTCCTTTCACGAGGCCTCAAATTGCTGCCACTCCCAAAGCCCGAAACGAAGTAACGAGCTCGAAAAAAAAGGAGAGAAAAGGAAAAGGCGCAGTACGGACCGCCCTGAATGAAACCGGACTTCAATTTCCAAGTCCGGTTCAAAGCTGCGCATCAAGGATAAGGGCCCTTCTCTCATGGCCACATACAGTGCGCGCGCACTCACACACACTCACACACACTCACACACGCGACGAATTAGCCCCGCACTGCCGTTCCCCGTTCGATGTGGTGGTGGCGCTGAATACGCGCATGCCGCAGGGCAGGGCGGGCAGGGCCGGCAGGGCAGCAAGGGCTCGGGCCGCGACTTGAGGTGCCTTTGAGTCGCGGCGCCACTCTGTATTCATGAGCCTTTCGGAGCCTTCTTGGCTGCCGCCCGCCTGTGACACACTGCGTGACACACTGTGTGACACGCCGTGTGACACGGGCCGGCAGCACCGTGGCACGCATGTCGCGGCCAAAGTACAGTGGTATAGAGGGAAAAGAGACGCAGTTCGCAAAGGGCGGAGCCACGTGGCAATCCGCGCCGCGGCCGCCTCGCGTGGGCTAATTTTGCCTCTCCAGCAGACGCCACGTAGTAGGGGCACGGCCGAGCACGGCACAAACAAGAAAAAAAATCTTTCATAAAAAAGTTGCGGAAGCTAATAACTGGCAAATTCACTTGTTTCCGTGTTTTGGCCTCCGGAGGTACAGGCACTTTCGGGAGGCCTCTTCCCTCCTCCTTCCTCCCACTCATTGGGGGGTGCTCACAGTACAGTGACTCTGCATAATATTTTATACAAAATGGCTGAGGATTTTTTCGCGTCAAGGCTCAGAGAGAGCGCCCTCTGGGTGGACCGCACTGCGGTACCAGCCACCAGTGAACTGAGAGAGTGATAGAGAGAAAAAAGAGAGAGACGCAGAGCGAGGAAAAAAATGTCGCTTTCTACCACCATCCATCATTTCTTTCCATGTGTAAGTTTTCGCGAGGGTATTCGTTTGAGGGAATCCTCTCGTCGAGGAAAATGCACGGAATAAGGGGACGGGAAAGAAATAAAGGGGTCGGCGCTGCGGTCGCGATGTGTGAGGGCGTGTGCAAGGCGTGTGCGCGTGCCTCGGTCACACTTTCAGGGCCAAGTGGCGAAACAGCAGCAGCCAAGCGAAGATTTGACAAGTTTTTCTCCCCTCCCAGGGCCGAGCGGCGCGGGGAGGGGCGGGGCGATCTCGCGTGTACATTCTTCGTGCGCGCGTGCGTGTGTGTGCGTGCGTGCGTGTGCGCGCGCGTGTGTGTGTGTGTGTGAGCGCGGGCGCGCGCACTCGTCTCTGTGTGTGCACGTCCTTTTTTTGGGACAGTATTCATCAAGTCAAGCTTAGCGAAGCGGGGCGCGGCGGGGCGCGGCGGGCTGGAAAGAGCAGAGTGAGGCAACGACGCGCGGTGGCGGCCAGGGCGGGCTGGGCGGTAGGATGGCAGGACGGCCAGGACGACGTGTCGTGTTTGACTTCAATCTCTGATAAAGTGTTTGGCGAGGCGGCTCGTGACGCCCCTCAAACCTCCCCCTCCCCTCCCCTCCCCTCCCCTCCCGCTTCCGCCCTCCTCCCCCTTTCGCAGCCCAATACTTTCTTGGGCGTGGGAAGCGTATCGGAAAGACATTGGAGGTCATCGGCGAGCGAGAAAAAAGGGCAGAAGCTCGAGTGCGACGCGGCGGCGGGGGAGGAGGGGAGGGGAGGGGGAAGGGCGCGCCTCGGGGCCAGCGACCCCCCGGCTTGCCAATGAGCAGCCTCGCGCCGCCTCGCCTAGCTTCGCGGCCCCGCGGCCTGGCGCCCGCGGCGATGAGCCGGAAAATGATGGCCCTTGGCGGCGGTTTGGCAGGGAACTGCCTGCGCACGGTTTCCTGGAAATCGGCTCCGCTCGCATAGACGCGGTGTACTGTGGTGAACACTCGAGGCGCCTCAACAACCCAACGCCCGGCGGAGACGACGGGTGGGGTGCACTTAAGGCCCACTTAAGGCGGCACCGCGGCGATCCTAAATCCAGACTGCGTGCTCGCGCTGCTTGTCCAAATATTGGCATTTCGCTCTGCTTGGCGTGCCGTGCCGTGCCGCGCCGCTCCCGTTCGGGGCTTGGGGCTCGGGGCCCCAATATCTCAACGACAAGCGTCGGCGACGGCGAACCGGCGAGGGTACTCATTGGATTGCGAGGCCTCATCCGGGCCGTGGATGTGGCGCGCGGGGTAGGAGCCCCGCCGAACGCCGCCAAGCGCCGCCATGGCAGTGACCCTCTTCACCTTGACCGTCCTCGGCATCCTCGGCGAGCCCAGCAGTGCGGCGGTGCGCCGCTTCCGGAGTTGTTTTTCACGAAATCCCCGCGGCCCGACGAAAGGCAGCCCGGGGCGCGTCGGCATTCTTCAGAAATTGTTCTCGCCCTGACCGTGCTCCTTCGCATCCTGTGTTCCAGGCCGGCGCTCAAGGATCCTGGTGGCGGGCGCCTGGACGCTCAGCTTCCTCTTCGCCGTGCCCACCCTCCTGCTGTTCGAGGAACGCGAGGTGCAGGGTGAGTACGCGGCGCGACGCGGCGTGTTTGGGTATTCCTTGGAGGCCACGGCGAGCATCTCCACGGCCTTCTCGACGGCGCCTGTCACCCGCCGCCAACGTGAAACATTCCGTTCCATTCTGCGCGCGTGCGTTGTCCGCTCCGCGCGGCTGATATAACTTGGTGGCGGTGGGGGTTTGGGGGGGGGGGGTGCACGGCGCGGCCGGCAAAGGCGGCTCTGGCGGCCAGCGTCACGGCCTCGTCCTCGGCCTGGATGGCGGTGACGGGGACCCGCGGAAACCGAGCAGGCTGGCGGAGAAGGCCAAACAGGCCCTCCCCAGGCGACGCCTCGCGACTTGAGCAACAGCCGCCTGGCCGCCCCCGGACACAGCGTCAACAAGGCCGTGAAGATGGCCTCGACCTGGCCGCTGGCCGCCGGCGCTGTCTGCCCGCACAGCAGGAAGCGGGCGCCAGGGCCGCGCGGTGCACAAGGTCCTGGCTCCAGCCACGCCACGCCGTGCCGAGCGCCCTGCCGCCGCGGCAACCCGCTCCGCCCGACCCTGCCCTGCCGTGCCACCCGTTCGCGTCGCGACCTCGTTTCGGACGGTCTTTATTCTGCGAAACTTGTAGAAGACCCCGACGCCTCCACCGGGGTGGGACTGGACCCGGCCGAATCAATTAGCGGGTCCGTAATTACGGGAGAGACGTTGGCACCGTCGCGCTGTCGACTCGACTCTCGGTGCGTCTCGCACCCTCACGGAGAGCCCCATGAGTGCGAGAGAGACAGAGACCACTCTTCTGAATCGCTCGGCAGGTGAGGTGGGAAATGACACGGAAGACAAGACAGTGCCTCGGTGTTCGTTCGCGCAGCCTGGCGCAGCCTGGCGCAGCCCTCAAGAAGGTGGACTTCCCGGTGTCGACGTGCTGCCCCGTCCGGTGTCGACGGCTGCCCGCCGTACTGCCGTGCTCTTTTCCTGCATCTCCCCGTCTCTGTCCTGCCGGCGGCCTTGGCCGGGGGCACACGGCACACCACTGCGCAGTGAAACTTGCTCCTCCTCTTGGCGGACGCCCCCTCCAGGGCCGCCGCCTGGCTGGCCTCGCCCCCGTTTACCGGGATACGACCGCCCCCGGACCGACCCCGGCCGAGCCGGGCCGACAGGGGTGCAAGGTCACATTAAAATCGAGTCCTCGTTAATTCACTAAAACTCCCCCCGAGCTTGCGACGCGGGCACGGCGGCCCCGGCCTTCTGCCACGCCGTGACGTCATCGGCAGGCTCTCTCATTTCGTTACTCTAGAGACATGCCCACCCCGCCCCGCCCCGCCCCACCCCGCCCCGCCGCGCCCGAATTCTCTTCCGCGTGGCGTCGCGGGGTGCAGTTGGCCGTGCTGTGCTGCTCTCCCTACAGACACCAGACTCCCGGACCGCGAGGCGTGAGGCGCGAGGCTCCGTTTCAACTTTTCGGCAAAATAATTGGCGCGCCGGAGGTGCTGGACGGACGGACGGACGGACGGACGGACAGACGGACTGCGGCCTGCAGTAACGATGCTACTTTCGTGCCTTCGCGTCTCTGGTGGCATCCCTAGCCAAAAATTTCTTAGGAAACGTTACGCTAACGACGCTAACGTGAAAGCAGATGAGGATACATGATTATACTCGCGACAATCATCTGAAGGCGTGCCTGATGTTGTTGGCTTTGCAGCGCGCGCTGTGCCTACAGTGTAGGCCCTACACCTGGCAGGCGCTTTGGCGGCGTTTTTGCGCGCCGGTCAAAGCTGCGCCGTAAGTCCGCCCTGACAATGCGATATTGCGCGGTAATACTCAGCGAGTACGGCGAGCCAAAGCCCGAGGCCCGAGCCGAGGCCCTGGGGCGGCCGCGCGCCGTGTGCCGTGTGTTTGCGCCGCCATCGGATCAAAGTGCCGGCAGCCAGGGCCGGCAGTCAGGGCTGGCAGCCAGTGCCGGCAGCCAGGGCTGGCAGCCAGTGCCGAGTTGGATTAAAACCGATTTCTGCTGCAACCCCGCAGCACTGCTTTTGAATCGGCTCTGGCTGCGCTCGGCGCGGCTCGGCGCGGCTCGGCTCGCCTAGAGGGTGGCTGCTGCGGGATGAACGAGCGCGTCTTGTGGCGCGTCAACAAGAGCAAAGAGCAGGAGGCGTGGGCGCTCGGCTCGGCGGTGGGTCGTTGCCTTCATTTCCTCCGAGCTACGTTTTGTCGGCAGTCGGGCCCAGACTTGTCCCCCGCCCTTTTCCCTTTACTCAGCCATCCCTCGGCTCGCCTCGGCTCGCCTCGGCTGCCCCGGGCCCCGAAATCTCATCTCTGACACAGCGGCGACGAATGTCTGTGACGACGAGACTCGCAGTCCTCGTCCCGTGTTGCCCCCACTGCGTAGCGGCCGATATGTATGCACTGTCCAGTCACATTCGCCCGCTGTCTGTCTCGCTCCCACTGACGGCCGATCCCGAGTCGCAACCCGTCTTTTCCAGCTGTCTGACCCCGCAAGGGCGTCGCGGCCGGTACTCTGTCTAATATTATCAGTGACGATCCAGCCGTCCGCCCACCCCGGCCCCGGCCCCGGCCCCGGCCCCGGCCCGGTCCCGGCCCCGGCCCGGCCCCGGCCCCGGCCCGGCCCCAGCCCCGGCCCCGGCCCCGGCCCCCGGCCCCGGCCCCGGCCCCGGCCCCGGCCCCGGCCCGGCCCCGGCCCCGGCCCCGGCCCCGGCCCCGGCCCCGGCCCCAGCCCCGGCCCCGGCCCCGGCCCCGGCCCCGGCCCCGGCCCGGCCCCGGCCCCGGCCCCGGCCCCGGCCCCGGCCCCGGCCCCGGCCCCGGCCCCGGCCCCGGCCCCGGCCCCGGCCCCGCCGCCCCGGCCCCGGCCCCGGCCCCGGCCGGGCCCCGCCACGGCAGGCCCGATCCCGGAGAGCATCTGATAACATCCCCCGGGAAAACACGAAGACGGACCACAAACACGTCGACTTTACGTCCGCTGGCCGCGCCCGGTCAGGCCGTCGGGCCGTCAGGCCTTGGCCCAGGCCTCCGCGCCTCGGCCCAGCCTTAGATCATTTGCTCAGCGGCGAAAAGTTTAAAAATCAATTAGGCGGGGCGGGGGTCGTTGTCCGCTCGTGTTTGCTCTCCCCTCTCCCTCTCCTCCTCGCGCCTCCAGCGCGTCTACCCACTCTCTCTCTCTCTCTCTCTCTCTCTCTCTCTCTCTCTCTCTCTCTCTCTCTCTCTCTCTCTCTCTCTCTCACACGGACGCTGGCAGTGTCTCAGCCCGGCCCGATAGAGCGCGCTTCAGCGGCAATCATCGATTTTCGTCCGACCTGAATGGATTTTGCCCTAGAAATTTTAGGTCGTCTCTGTTATGTCTGATCTGTCTTCCCACTGTCTGTCTGTCTGTCCGTCTGTCTATCCGTCCGCCTGTCCGCGCGGAAAAGCTCCGGCATCCGCGAGGTGCCGAGCGCGATGTGCGCCACGCCGTCGAGCCGTTACTCCCCGTGTGTGAGTATTACTCACACACCCCGTTACTGTCACCGACGGCCGAGTGCGTTTTATGACGTGCGTTCGGACACGGCAAATATTGCGGGATCCCGGCCACGAGTGCGAGAGAGACAGCGAGACGCCGGGCGCCGGAACGCCCCACGAGTGCGAGAGAGACAGCGCGGCTCACGGCGGCGACCACTAATTTGACGCGGCGTCCTTTAATCGCGGTGAGGCGGCCGACCAAAGCCATTTTTAATTAAGGCGGTGCCACTCCAGCGGGGCGGCCCGCCGCGCACCGGCACCGCACGTCGCTCTGTCTCTCTCGCACCTACGCGGAGCGCCCCACGCGTGCGAGAGAGACAGAGCGATGAAAACGACTCGGAATCGGTGTGCTGTCTGGAGTCTGGAGGGAGAAGGGCGCCCAGCGCGGCAGCGCGGAGGGTTGACTCGACAGGGTCGTGATTGCGTGGCTCGGCTCCACCATGGCTCCACGGACCGGATGCGTCGTGCGCCGCGCTGAGTGAGTGTGAGTGAGCGCGCGGGAGCAGCCCTTCAATGCTGAAAAAAATTAAAAGAACTTGACCGAATTGTTGCGTGGAAAAACTATTTTATTTTGCTTTAAATATATGGAGGAGAGAGGGCGCACTGTGGACTGACTCCGAGAGCCGGTTTCATAGTGCTTTCTCTATCGCACACATGGAGCGTCCCGTGTAGGTGCGAGCGAGACAGAGCGCCGAAAACGACTCTCGGAATCAGTCTGCGGTGGACGGCGAGTGCGTGTCAGGGAGCAGGGAGGCAGCGTGGGTGGGGTGGCTGCCCCCCGCTGCCGCCCGCTGCGTCACATGAATCACAGGCCGGAAGCAGCTGCCACTGCACGGCCTGCCTGCCGGGCCGAAAGACGAACTGCGGGGGCGGGCCGGGCGGGCCGGGCGGGCCGGGCGGGCCGGGCGTGCACCCTATGCAACGCGTGATGCATTGCCAGTTGCAAAAAGCGAGTCGCGACGTCTTTCTGTGTTGCAGGCCAGCGGCAGTGCTGGATCGAGCTGCCGCAGCCGTGGCACTGGCGCCTGTACGTGACGCTGGTGGCGCTGGTGGTGTTCGCGCTGCCGGCCATCATCATCTCGGCCTGCTACACGGTCATCGTGTGCACCATCTGGAACAAGAGCCACGGCCTGACGGGCCCGTCGCGCCGGCCGCGCGCCACGCACCGCGCCCTCATCCCCGGGCCGCTGTTGGAGCGCGTCAAGAGCGTGCCGACGCGCTGGCGGTGCTCCCAGGACGACGCCGGCCTCCCGGACGCCGCGGCCGGCTCGGCCCGGGGCGGCTCGTCGCGCTGCAAGGGCCGCGTCAGCTCCTTCAGGCCGAGGCCCTTCACGGCCACGCCGGCGGGGGGCAGCTTCGGCCCCCCCAAGGAGGAGCCCGACTGCAGGCGCGCCTCGTCTCGGGGCCTCATCCCCCGCGCCAAGGTCAAGACCGTCAAGATGACCCTCGTCATAGTGTTCGGTAAGCCAGCGCACGTGGCGCTGCAGGCCCTGCACGCAGCCTTGATTAAATTTCGCGGCTTTCTCTGGCCAGCTCAGAGCGAAACGTTTGTCTCGTCTTTCGCAGTGTTCGTGCTGTGCTGGAGCCCGTACTTCGTGCTCAACCTCCTGCAGGTCTACGACCACATCCCGCGCACGCAGTCCAACATCGCGGTGGCGTCCTTCGTGCAAAGCCTGGCGCCGCTCAACTCGGCCGCCAACCCGCTCATCTACTGCCTCTTCTCTACCCACATCTGCCGCACCCTCAGGTCAGCCCAACCGCTGAGCGGCCGGCCGGCGGGCGGGCGGGCGGGGGCGGGCGGGGGCGGGCGGGGGCGGGCGGGGGGCCGCACTTGTAGCGGGATCAGCCCCGAGCCGCTCTCCGCCTCTATTCATTCCTCAATCCCCATTCAGCCCCCTTGCCTCCTTTTCCCTCTTTCGGGGCGTGGGGTGGGTTGGGGTGGGGGGTTGTGCGACGGATCGTCTGCTCTTGTCCGTCTTGGCTGCGGGCTGCAGGCTGCGTCCCCCGGGCCGCCCGCCTCGCCCCGCCCCGCCCCGCCCGGAGCCGCGAGTGTGGAGGGATTCGTGTTCCACTTCCGCATGCGGGAAAGCGCGCCTCATTTAAACTTCTCGCTGCCTATCTTAATCCCGATCCCTTCCCGGCGTGTCCCAGTCCGCCCCGGTCCCCTCCAGGGCGCTCCGAGGCCCGCAGCCCGGACCACTCCAGCGTCAGCTCCAGAGTCCCCTTGCCGTCCGCTGGGGCCTGGAGGCGCCTGGAGGCCCTGCAGCGCGACGGGCTGGTTGGGTCCGGGCCAACAGGGGCGGGCCGGCCGTTGTTCCGGTCCGACCGAGCTGGCGGCAATATGTCGCCCTGCACGGGCCCCGGCCCCACCGCCCCGCCGCGGCCAAAGTGTGCCTTGCGCGCCCCGCCCCGCCCCGCCAGCGGCGCTCTGCCGGTTAGGCGGGTTAGGCTCCTCTGGGTCATTACAGCGTCGAGCGGGCAGGCCGGGCAGGCCGGGCAGCCGCCTCACTGCCTCCGAGGCTGCAGGCGCACTTTCCGGTCTCACCGCCCCTGGGCTCACAAAGGAACCGCACCGGCCGGACGCGGCGACGCGGCGACGCGGTCCAGAGGGGGTTGGTTGGCTGGCTGGCGGCTGCCGTGCCCGCCACCAACGACCACCTTGATGACGACCGCCGCGGGCCTGCCGCAGGCCACCCTGGCTCCGCAGGGAGAGCTAACTTAGCAAAGGTTTCAACTCTGAGTAGCTGTGACTGTTACCCGTCAGAATGGATTAATTGTTCAATTTGGTTTGCTAGTCGTATTGTGCCAGGCATGACGCTCGCTCCGGTGCTGTTCCCTCGGCCGTTCCTCTCCCCAGCTGTCGCTCTGTCTCGCTCGCACCCCGACGGGGCTCCGTGAGGGCGAGAGAGACAGAGCGACGGAATCAGCCCACTGTTCCTTGGAGGTGTCTGACGTCGGCGATGTCCGCAGGAAGGTGCCGCCCTTCACGTGGGCGCGGACGCTGCGCGACCAGCCGGCCGCCGTCCCGGACAACCCGTCGGCCGCCACGGAGACGGTGACGCACTTGGGCACGTCGCCGTCGCGCCGAGACGGGGTGCACCGCGACGGCGTGCACCGCGACGGCGTTCAGCGCCACCACCACGTCACCATCAGGATCGCCGGGCAGCGCGCGCAGAGCAACGCCATCTCGGCCGTCTAGTGCGCGCGCAAGGACAGCGAGTGTGCTCGCGCGCCTCGAGAAGTTCATTTCGACGTCGAAGGTGGCGGACTACGTCGTTCATGTCGGCACAGTTTAAACGACATGTGCTGAACAGTGAAATGTGTGTTGGGATCGCGGTTCCCGCTTTACCTGCTCGACCACACCGCGCCGCACCGCGCAGCATGGGTGTCGGTGGTTGTTTGACGCTGTCCTGGTTGAGGCAGCGGAGCAAATTACAATCACAGAGCTACTGTATTGCACTCTCATCCGAAAGAAACTTCCAGTACTGCACTGGCGTATTGTGTGGATCAACCGCGACACAAGGCCGACTACGGCCTTTTTCGATTTCGTCCCATTGATTTATAAAATGTAAGAAAAAAAAGTGGCATTTTAATGTTGTTGTAGCGTACGCCTGCGGCACTGTGTGATACGCTACTCCTCAAAAAAATTGTGCTTGGTCATTTTGTTTCTCCGCTAGATTAGTTACGAATTTAAGCGTAATGTTTGATTCGGTTACGGATGAGGACGACCGACCACAATGACTGTGAAAAAGAATGATGACTACTTGATACGTTCGTAGTTAGGCTTTTTTTCTTCGAAAGATGTATTTGATCAATCTAAACAGCGATTATGTTAGTCAATGTGTAGTCTGAAGCCTCTTTGTATAATGTGTTACGGAATTACTTAAGTCAGAATAAATTATTGCCTATATCAACGTGTCAAATCTTGTTATTTGTCCCAAACCCTCCAGCGCCCTCATACACGATCATCACACCTTGGACGGGCCCAGCGACAAAAACCTCCAGAGTGCTCGATGGCAAACTTGAGCCGGTTCGACGAAGCCGCGGTCGAACACAGACCCTTCCCGCGTAGTTGAGCAAAGACTGACTGACCAGTCCGCCTAACCTTTCACAGCGTTCAGCACCCCACCCGATACACACACACACTCACACACCGCCACCAGCACAGAGACCGATCTTCCTCTCTCCCTTCTTTCTCTCTGGCTCCTTTTCGCAATGGGCACTGATCGAGGTCCTACTGTACCAAACACGCGCAGCACAAGGTGTACGAGGCGCCGTTCAAATCGCCCCTCCCCGCCATTGCCTTTGAAGCCCGTGGCGCGCTGCAGACGCAGCTGGTGCGGGGCGGTCCTGGCCCTGGCCCTCCGCACAACAGCTGCTACTCCACTGTAGGCCGGCTCGGCCTGGGGCAAACATGGGAAACATGCACATTTTTCATGCCCTCTCTCTGCGCAATGCTGGCAACCCAATCTCGTCAGAACCACGCGGAATCTTGTCTCGCCGCCTGGGCCCGGCATTACGCCCCGGTTACGAAATCGGGTGAAGGCGTTCCTCAAAAGCGCGTAAACACACGTTTATTTCTACGCGACACTTCACGATATCCGGTAGAGCGCGGTATCGCGGCGAGAAGCAGCCCTAGACCCTCGTCTTGGAGGCCAGCGCGGAGTCCGCGGCCACTGCAGACTGCTGCAGACAGGCAGGCCGCTCCTTGAGACAGGATTAAGGGCGTTTTCGATATCGGTCCCTCGAACTTCGCCCGGTCGGGCCGTCTTACACTCGGCGTGCGCCGCGGGTCATGTTTGTGATCATGGACTGCTTCAACTCCTCCAGGAACGCGACGGCGGACGGGACGGTGGAGGCCACGCTGCCGCAGTAGTACAGCGAGTACACAGCGACGCGGCCGCGTGCGCGCGAGGAGGCCGCCCGACTGAGTCGTGACGGAGGTAGCACCGCGTAGCACCGCGGAGCCGACGTGCACTGATAGCGCGGCCGCAGACTGCCTCCGAGCAGCGCTCTGTCTCTCTCGCACTCACGGGGCGTGCCGTGCGGGTGCGAGAGGGACAGAGCGACGGCCGCGCTTGTAGGAATGAGTCTGCTGGGCGCGGCCGCGGGCCCCACCGCCGCCTTAGGCAGGGCAAGGCCGGCAAGGCCTCGCCGCCGCGCCAGTCCAGCAGCGCGTCGTCTCGAAGGTGGAGGCCTGCTTGGCGTGCTCGGCGTGAGGTTGCAGCGTGCGCGGCGTGCCATCCGCAGCTCGACGCCGCCCCCGCGGGAGGCCTCGCACCTGTTGCCCCGCGTCACCTGGTGCCGCCCCCGCCGCCCCCGCGGCCCCTCGCCGCCCCGGAAGCTCCCCGAGCACGCCCTCCACCACCATGGCGCCAGCGGCGGCGGCGGTGAGTCTCAGAGCGACGCAGAGCGAGCACAAGCGCCCCCGCTTTCCCTCGGGGCCTTTCCCGGAATTTCCGCGTCAGCCCGTCTTTCTCTCTGCGAGGCGGCGACGGTATTTTCATTTTGGGCGCGCTAATTTGAAGTCTGATGCACGTCCGGTACGAGCCGGCGTGTTTACTTTGGACCTGAGGCACCGCCAGCCAGGGCACTGCCGAGATAACCAACGGTCAATGTCTCTTCGCTGGGTCGCCCGACCTCACGTGATGGCTTCGTAAATCGCTAAGCCCCTGAACCAGTGTTTTTTTTTCCCAGTTTATCATTTTAAACCGAGTTTCATCATCTTTAACATGTCGCATGACACGGCTTTCAGTTTTTTAGCGCGTGCCTCCCATTTGTTCAAGCCCATTTTGCGGCATCGAATTGAACCTTGACTTTTCCGCGGCGGAAATTTTGGAGTGGTGTTTCGGTGCCGGAATGCACGGTTCGCCGTGCCAAAGTCCCAAAGCCAGGTAGAGTGACGGCGGTACGGTACAGTCCCGCAGCGCGCAGCCCGGCCCAACCCAGCTCTGGCCCACGACGTGATGTCAGAGCAATTGTCCCTCGGAAACGCCAAAGCAGCCAAAGCGGCCAAAGCGGCCAAAGCCACGGAAGCACGGGCAGCATGGGCTGTCGCCGAGGCTGTCGCGCTGTCGCGTCGCCGCGGCGCCTTGGAACCCGTTCAAGAGGCCATTTTGCCTCGGAGAAAGAACGAGGAGAAAGGAGAAACGAGTGACGACGAACGAGACACTTTGAAGGCGGTTGCGACACACGCGAGTTAAACCCCGCGGCGCACTGTGACGTGCACTTGACTTTGAGGCGCGCTGTTTGCCGCCTTTATGGCTGCCAGTCCCAAGTCGAACTTCGGGATACCTCTGCACCGTGTGCCAGAAGGCCGGTGGAGGCGGTCAAAATCGCGGACGCGTTTCCAGCTCCAGAGCGCTCCAGAGTCGCTAAACAGGCCTCGAACCGAACGAGTGACCCCACCAATGGAACCCTTGTTCGGAGAGCAATCCATTGGTGGGGCCACACGCTGGGTTCGAAAGGGCGATGACACGCTTGCTTGATGACAGGACTTGTTCGGCTGGGTGGACTACTTGGTGCTGGCGCTGACGCTGGGCATCTCGCTGCTCGTCGGGCTGTACTACGGCTGCTGCGGCTCCCGACAGAGCACCGAGGGGGAGTACCTGCTGGGCAACAAGGAGATGAAGATGACGCCCGTCGCCATCTCCCTGATCGCGGGGTGAGTCCGGTGTGGGTCCGATGTGGGTCAGGCGACCACTCTGTGCCAGAGACCCACAGGCGCCTGATTACTCCCCCCCCCCTCCCCCTCCAACTTGGTTGAGCCCCCCGCGGTAATCTCTGGACGCACGGCGGCGGCGGCTCACAAGTCAGATAGCGCCGCTGGATCCACGCGGCCTGGCAATCGGCAGACTGAGGCTAAATGTGTACCGCCGAGATGACAGCGCGAGAGGACCGGGCCCCGACGTACCTCTCTGTTGGCTCGGGTTGGCTCATTCTAGGAATACTGATAGAAATGTTTTATTAATATTATAGGCTAGAAATATGGGTGGGTGCATAGATACAGATATTCAAGATAAGAATGTTGGTTGGAAACCTTTTTACGGAAGTAAGAAAAATGGGGCTCCTTCTCCAGGTACATTTCTGGGATAACCCTGCTTGGCACCCCGGGTGACATCTACAGCTACGGCACACAATACTACGCCATCATCCTGGGCATCTTCTTCATGTCCTTCGCCATCAACTACCTGTTCCTGCCAGTCTTCACCGGGCTCGGCGTGAAATCTTCGTACGAGGTTTGATGATGCGCGTGACACTTCCCTTGCCTGAGTCCTCCTGTTGTTCTTAATTTCTTTGAGGGTCATTGTTTTTCTCGGTGCAGTACCTCCAAGTGCGCTTCAGGCACCGGGCGGTCCGAACCGTCTCCTCCTTCATCTTCGTTTTTGACGAGGTGACCAACCTAACCTCCAAACGCACCCATCGCTCGGCCACGAGCGCGTGCCGAAACTACTCAAGGCTATTTATTGTTCCTGTCGTGTTTGCAGATCATTACCATCCCAATGTATATGTACGTGCCCTGCCTCGCGCTAGAGCAAGGTACGTGTGGGCGGGCAAGGGGCCGGGCAAGGGGCCGGGCAAGGGGCCGGGCGGGACGCGCGGAGTCAAATGGGCCTCGACTATTTTCACCGTTTTCCGTGTGTTGACAGTGACGTCACTGCATCGGATGTGGACCGCGCCTGTCATGATGCTCATCTGCATCCTCTACACCGGCCTGGTGAGCCTGCCTCTCCAATTCATGCCTGCCATTTAGGCAGGCGTTTCAGCCCAGAGCGCGCTCGTGTACACCCCCCCCCCCCCCCGTCCGCCGCTGTGTTCCCCCTCTCTCTCTCACTCTCGCTCTCTCCCGCCTCCGATTTGACGATGTCAATTAGAAAGCAAATATTCCCCCTCCCCTCCAATTAACGCCCTCACGAGGCTTGTTTACCTTGCGGTAAGGGTATTGATTTCAAATGAACCGCCTTGACTGCCGTGGGACGCGCAGAGGTGACTGTGTCACCAGAGCATGACCTAACCTCACCTCCTGTGCGCGCAGGGCGGCCTCAAGGCCGTCATCTGGACGGACGCCATCCAGATGTGCATCTTCTGCCTGTCGCTGGTCATCATCTTCGTGATGGGGACGGTGGCGGTCGGCGGTTTCGGCGCAGTCTTCACCGCCGCGGCCGAGGGCGGCCGCCTGGAGATCTTCAAGTACGTCGTCCCGGGCTTACGAATAACACATCATTTTGCGAGGGGACAATGGGCTGGAAGCGTTCGGAAGACAAGCCCAAACGGCTCCCGGACGCAGCCATCGCGTTGCTGCGTTGCTCGGACGTCCGCGTGAGATGGGTTGCCTACCGCAGGGCGCCGACCCGCCTTGACTGGCATTCCAAAATGGACCAGGAATCAAATACCGACGCTTCCTTTTTCGTCGCTGCCATTTATTTGACCCCCCTGCTCCCTCCGGCCGTGTGTTAACAGCATAAGCCCCGACCCGCTGCAGCGTACCACGCTGTGGGGGGCGGTCATCGGCGGCTTCATGTACTGGACGGGCTTCAACTCGGTGAACCAGACGTGCGTGCAGCGCTACCTCGCGGTGCCCAACCTCAAGACGGCCAGGCGGTAAGTCAACCCACTGACCGCTTCGCTTTTCTTCCCGGGGTGCCCACGGTGCGCAGCACCGAGTGCCCCCGAGGCCCTGTGCGTGACGAGGGCTTTGGTGTGCTCCCCGCAGCGCCGTGTGGGTGTTCTCCGCGGGCGTCGTCTGCATCATCTCCTTCTGCACCTACGTCGGCCTGCTCATGTACGCCTACTTCCGGGACTGCGACCCCCTGGCCGCCGGGGTAAGACGGCCTCCTTGGCGGGGCGTGGTGTGGTGGCGTGGCGGTGACATGGCCTTGACCGCGCCCCTCGCTCGCGTTCCAGATCGTGAGCACGAGCGACCAGCTGGTGGCGCACTTCGTGATGAGGGTGGAGGGCCACCTGCCAGGCCTGCCCGGCCTGTTCATGGCAGGCGTCGTCGCCGCCGCTCTCAGGTCAGCCCGACTCGCCAAAGTCATACTCCGCCGCAGGCTTGATCTGTTCGATTTATTGTTCAACGAGTGCGTCCATATCAGGGGCGTCGACGCGTCCGAATTTCAGGGGGGGGCAAGCGGCCCTTTGCCGTTCGGGTTGCCTACCTTCAGGCGTTTTTGTTATTCGCGTAAAACAAGGTAATGTATGGGTAAAAGAACGAAAAAAGGGATAAACAGGTGACTAAATATCTTGCATTTAATTTACAAGGTTTGCTTGGCTTGACTTCGTTCGTACCGTTGGAAACAAGTCTGTGCCTGCTGCTATGTACTCGGTGGGTGTCGCGGCCGCCGACCGATTCGAAAAGGTTCAGCAAAGAGCGAAGTAAATACTTTTTGGCCCGAAATATTGCCTCCTTTGGCCCGAAATGTTGCCCCCCCCTGCCCCCCCCTGGACAAAACTTGGGGGGGGCATTGCCCCGCTGCCCCCCCCGGTGTCGACGCCCCTGGTCCATATTCGGGGAGTTTCTCGAACACAATCTTTGTGGTGTCGCAGCTCCATCTCTGTGTCGCTCAACTCGACGGCCGGCGTGGTGCTGGACGACTTCTGGCGCAGCTACACGTCCAAGAGGCTCAACGCCAACCAGGCCGCCGTCTTCGCCAAGGTCACGTGCGCCGTGTTCGGCTTCCTCTGCGTCGGCATCATGATGGCCATGCAGAACGTCGAGTACATGATCCAGGTGGCCATGACGCTCACGGGCATCGCGGCCGGCACCCAGTTCGGCCTCTTCTCCCTCGGCATGTTCAACCCCTGGGCCAACTACAAGGGCGCCATCGTGGGCACCGTCACCTCCCTCGTGGTGGTGACGTGGATGTCCGTCGGCGCGCAGCTCATGGCCATGGACGGGCGCATAAACAACCCGCGACTGCCCAGCAACGTGACTGGCTGCGTGCCCGCCGTCGAGCCCACCCCGCAGCCCACCACCGAGTAAGTCGTGGGATCCCTCCCCACCCCGGCCCCACCCCACGCGCCCAATTATTCAAAGGCAGCGGCGTTGATGCTCGAATCCGGTTTCTTTGCGGTCGGAGGCCTGGGGTTGCACAATGAGGCGCCGGAGCCCCCTCCTCCCGGCCACCCAGCATGCCCTGCTTTTGTACACCTGTTGCTCGGCCTGCTCGGCCTGCTTCGCAGTCCGCGCCCAACTCGACATGGACACCGAGAAGTTGAGGGGGCCCCTGGGGAGGGGAGGGGACTTAGGCTGACTGCGCAGGGCCCTCGAGCGGGGAGCGAGCTCGGGTAACGCAGTGGGCTGCTCGCTGCTGCTCGCCCGAACGCATCGCCGAACTACTTTGACGAAACTTGCAACCGCCGCGGCGGGCTGGATCACGCTGTAATCTGGTAGTTTGCGGCCCGCGGCTCCGCGGCGTTTGACGTTTCAATTTGTCCGCTGACGCGCTGACGCACCCCGCTTGCCCGCAGCCCCACCGTGCTGCCGCTGTACCGCGTGTCGTACCTGTGGACGGCGTCCATCGGCTGGCTGCTCGTCATGGTGCTGGGCTCGCTGGTGTCGCTGGTGACGGGCCCGGACCGCCCCGACGACCTGCGGCCCGGCGTCCTGTCCCCGCCCGTGGCCGCCTGGCTGCGGCGCCGGCAGCAGCGCCGCAAGGAGGTGCTGGGCGTCGCCGAGGAGCCCGTCGTCACCGGCTCCACCGTCACCCTGGCGCCGCGGCTCGAGGAGAAGGCCACCAGGTTCTAGGCCCGCCCGCACCACCCGCGCCGCCGGCAGCACCGCCCGGAGGGGCGCCATGTGCGGGGGCGCCACTGTTTGCCTGGCCGGAGTGTGCTCGGGGGAAGCCCCTCCTGCCCGGCCAGGTGCGCGCCGGTGCCTCGACGGAGTCCCTGCGGCCGGACGGCGGACAGCGCCGGGGCTCCGAGTCACAAATGATCCCTCCACGTGTTTGGACAGTGGAACAGTGCACCCACGCGGGAGACTTATTAAAAGAGCGTGTGGCGCGGCGTCGCGTCGCCGGACTTTGGACTCTGTGGCGCGCAGTGCCGTGCCGGGCCATGCCGGGCGCGGCGAGGTGCTAAGTGTGGACTTGGCGCGCCGTAAGCCCAAAGCGGCCAAAGCGCCTTTGCCTGCTTTGCCGCGAGGGTGGCGAGGATTGTGCGCGCGGAGTGGCGGGCGGCAGCCGGCGGCAGCGCAGACAGGAAATGCCGCGCATTTCGTTTCGTCGCTATGTCTCTCTCGCACCCAACGGGACGCCCCGCGAGTGCGAGAGAGACAGAGCGGCGGAAGCACTGCCCGGAATGAGCGTGCCGCCCGCGCAACTTGGACTCCACCGCGATCGATGTGTTTCCAATCTGTTTTCCCTGTGCTGTGTTTGCTCTTTTCGACGGCAGGCGCCACGAGGCACGAGGCGTCATCCAAAATAAACCGACATCCTCCAACAACCCACGTCTGTTTTCTCAGTGGCACGCCGCCGCCACCGCTTTGTTTGCCGGTTCGCGGGGTCGGCGATGACGTCACGCAGGCCAACGCAGCCAGGCGGCGCCCAACCGCGCCACTGGCGGTCCAGCCCGTCCAGCCGGAGGCAGCCGGAGGCGGAGCGGAAGTCGCATTATCGTCCGCGCAAGTTTGCAGCTTCCAGCCTCCAGCTCCCAGCCGTGTTCGTCTGTCTGCGACGCGGAGCGCGCGGAACTCGGAGCGCACGAAGTAAAGCTTGGCAGTGCCGTGCCCGCCGTGCCGTGCCTGGCGGTGCCGCGCGGATGTCGCCTCCCTCCCCCGCCGCCCACGCCGCCGTCCGGACCACGTTGGGAAAACACCAACTAAGTGCGCACGCGTGCGGACTCGTACGAGCTCGAGTGCGGTCCCAGTGCAGCAGCACATTGGCTGCGCGGAACGTGCCCAACAGCGCGCCGCTCCAGGCGCGGGGGTGGGGGCGTCGCCAGCGGCAACACAAGGAAAGGAATACAAGCGCGGCGAAATTTAAACTGGGGCAGCCTTGCCCAGCTAGCCTAGCCCGGCCTTGCCAGGGCTGTGCCGCGGGGGCCCGCCGTCCCATCCCCCACCCCCCACCGCGCGACACGTGTCTAAAGAGTGTGCGAACTGATCCAACACTGCGCACTACTTCTCTTTCTGCGTGTGTGTGTGTGTGTTTGAGCGCGTGTGTCCCGTGCACGCGGCGTCTCCGCCCTGAGGCGGTGGCGTCCTCGACGTCCTCGCCGCTCGGGTAAGCATGTCGAGGACGTCCCCGCTCCAGCGCGCTCTCCAGGGAGCCGCGCGGAAGGTGGCACCCTGGAGGCCACGGTGGACCTGTACACTGATTCCGGTGCGAGAGAGACAGAGCGACTCTCTGCTGGAGGCCCTGGAGGCCGCGACGCTGCTGGACTGCGACGCGGAGCGTCTGCGCGGATACCCCCGGCAGCAGGTCCGCGCGAGAGCGACGCGAGAGACAGCGGGAGCGCTCTCCCGGCGTGTTGTTGCAGTGCGCCTCGATAACCCCGCTGAAAGAAGACGAGGGACTGCGTCGGATCGACCTTGACCGCCCCGTCGTCTCCAAAGCGCGATAGAGCGAGAGGTGGCGTCACGGTTTTCACAGTCCGCCAAAAATGTCAGAAGAAAGAAAAGCTTGTCTTTCGGCTGAGTAATCCCTGAGGAGGGCCTGTCTTTCCGGCCTCCCTTGTGTGTGACGGTGAGGAAAGCCCGTCGCCGGCGTGCTGATGTCGTGCCGTGCTGCGGCGTGCTGCGTTGCTAGGCGACCGGTGACGTCGGTCACTCGACGTCACAATGATGCGTTTTTGTTTTTCACCACCGCGCGGTCTCTGCGGTCCAAGACCGAGGGACCGAGGGCAGCCCGCCAGTGTGCCAGTGTGCGGCAGGGCATGGAGCAGGCCGAGGCGGCCGACAACGAGACCGGGACTAATTAAAGGGTAAGTGAGTGAGTGAGAGTGCTGGACCCGCATCCGCCGGTTAGTGGTTGGTTGGCAGAAACTCTTGTTTTGCTTTTCCGCTGCGGAGTTTTAGCTCAATTTTCCCCAAGCTCTGTTAAACGGCAACCTCTGCAGGACGTAACAATCCGACTTGAGTTCGCTTTATTTTCACCGCCAGAGTGAAGCTAGCCACTCGGCTGGCGTTGCTATGGCGACCAGTCAGGACCCCACGAGTACTGCCAACTAAGAAACGCGAATATCCCTCCACGATGCACCGGTGACGAAATTCGGTTGCCTGTCTTAGGCCTTGTTAACTGATCCGAATAGCGAGACAGACCACTTTTTTGTTGACACCCACGCAACGTGGGCGTCTGTGTTTGCTTCGTTGACACCGCTGCCGGGGCACCCGGTGGCGCGCTTTACCGACATGGGCAGGCACATGTGAACCAGACTGGCTGCACTGCGCACGGCCACTGCCTACCGCGCGTGAACGAATTTCATTTCATCACCGCGGCACCCCCGCTTGCTCCCCCCCCCCCCCCCCCCCCCCCGGGCACCCGGCCCGGCCGCCTTGCCCTCTCTCAGACTCAGACGTGGCGCCAGAGTGTGTATTGATGGATGTATCGGAAAGCGGATCAGAAGCGCGCTGTGCCTGGCTCTGCCGGCCGGCCGACGCTTTGTCTCTCGTCGCGGCCTTCTCGATCCTCGATCCTCACATTACACGCCCCCTCCCCCCTCCCCCTCTCTCCACTTCTCCTTTTGTTTTGCGCCTGTCGCCGGCCCGTCATACACTTCACTCAGTTTGTCACTATATTGTGTTTCCTTTCAAAGCTTGTCAGCACCCAACGATGCTACTCTTTGCGTGCGTGCGTGTGTGTGTGTGTGTGTGTGTGTGTGAGTGTGTATGTGTGAGAGGGGGAGGGGGGTCGGGTAATGTCACTGTGTGTGTGCGAGGTCGTCCGACAGATAGAAGGCGGTGGTGACGACAGCGACGAGTGCTGCTTATCGTCATAATCACCGACGCACTGCTGCGGCTGCGCTGAGCGGCGCTGCGCCGAGGCTGCACGCCGCGCCCACCGCTGCCCCGTCACAGTGTAGTGTCACACAGTGTCACAGCGATTAACGCTGGCGGCAACTCGCTGCTGTGCGGCGAGGCGGCGCGTCACAGCGCGACCTTCGTTCGACGCATGCCAATGAGAAGTCGACTCCAAAAGAAAAGAAGAAGAAGAAGAAGAAGAAGAAGAAGAAGAAGAAAAATAAAATGTCCGACGGCGGCGACAGTGGGGGGTAAAGATGTAAATCTTAAGGGGGCAGTAGCGTCTTTTGCACGTGTTTTGACGATTTTCGAACCTCCTGTTTAGACGTTAATATAAGGATAAGTATGAATGCCAGAGGCAAACGGCAGGCACCATTTGAAAGATAAAAGTTTTTACAACATTTTCAAAAAAAAATATTTTGTTTTAGCATTGAATTAGGATGTTTTGTGTTATATGCAAAAATGGTCTGCAAAATTACATGGTTTCACTGCGCGCACGATTGCAGCCAAAGTTTTTAACTTTTTACCAATCGGTAAAATGCATCTGAAAAAGCATGAAATTGCCCATAAAATGACCCTTGGGTTTTAATATTGGGCCAGAAAAAATGTGGTTCGTTTCCATCTTAAGTTGAAGATGAGCGTTTCAATAGTTTTTCTTGCCCAATATTGAAACCCAAGGGTCATTTTATGGGCAATTTCATGCTTTTTCAGATGCATTTTACCGATTGGTAAAAAGTTAAAAACTTTGGCTGCAATCGTGCGCGCAGTGAAACCATGTAATTTTGCAGACCATTTTTGCATATAACACAAAACATCCTAATTCAATGCTAAAACAAAATATTTTTTTTTGAAAATGTTGTAAAAACTTTTATCTTTCAAATGGTGCCTGCTGTTTGTCTCTGGCATTCATACTTATCTTTATATTAACGTCTAAACAGGAGGTTCGAAAATCGTCAAAACACGTGCAAATGACGCTACTGCCCCCTTAATGAAAATGGGCTCAACTTTCTCTCTCGACGTGGCGCTCGTGGGTGGCGTGGGCGGTTCCTCTTGGTTTCTCTCCTTCCTGATCCCGGCACTGGTTGAGGTGGCCCGGCGTGGCCCGGCGTGGCCCGGCTGCCCGGCCCGCGACCGGGGCTGGTGCGTGCGCGGCCGCGATGGCCTTGCAAGGGCCGGGGGCATCCACCCCGCCACGCAGCCCCCCCCCCCCCCCCCGGGGGGGCCGCTGGGCCGCTGGGGAAAGCGAGGCATTTGAATGCGAGACACGCAGGGATACGCCGCGCCGCCGCCCGGCCCAGCCCAGCCCGTGCCAAGGGCGATAATCTCTCTTCTTCGCCTTCGACGCCTATAGCGCCGTCTCTCTCGCGCCCCCGCGGCACGCCGGCGCGCCCCGCGGGCGGGAGAGAGACAGAGCGACGATGGAAGCACTGCTCGGAATCCAGCCCGCACAACGCTGCTCCACTCGCGCGCGTCCGGGCGCCGCCGCCGTCGGACAAAGTTAACAAATTCGTCGAGTTTCGGAGAGAAGGCCCCAACGCCCCCACAATCGGCGTGGAGTTACCGATGTCAGCGTCACCTGTTCGGTAGAGAGGCGAAGAATTTGTTTGAAAGCAGCACTCGGTATTCAGAGAGCGGCCAGCGAAGTGCCCGTTCGCCCTGATGTTGAAACTAGTCTTGAGAAGGAGCCTGCAGCGCGCGCGAAGCGCCTGCGGACTGCAGGGTGTGCAACCCTTGCCACAGCGCGTCCGCGGGGTTGCCTACCCTGCCGTCCGCAGGCGCTCACATCTTTTGGAGCCGCAGTGCGCCATGATGGCCTTCTTCTCCTGCTTGCCAGCAGACCGCAGCCATGTGGGTGAGCAGCACGGTGCGGCCGCTGACGGGCCTAGCGGGGCTCTGGACGGCGACGCGGAGCTTGTCCAGCAGGACGGCCAGCAAGAAGATCGGCATCCTCGGCGTCCCCTTCGAGAAGGGCCAGGTAGGCGTCGAGGAGGAACAACGACGGAAGGCGTATGAGAATTATTGGGACACGCGTAGCCGATGACTGTCCCGCGTATTTCTCGTCGATTCTCTCCGATTCGACTCTCGTTTCCGCGCTTGCCCTTCCTTGCCTCCTCCTCGAGGCTCTCCGGGCGCTGATTGGCTGTCCTTCTTGTCGCAGAGGAACCAGGGCGTGAGCGGCGGGCCGCGCGCCATCCGGGAGGCCGGCCTGGCACACGCGCTGCGAGCTTTGGGTGAGTCAGAGTCTCCGTCCGACGGCCAATCAGAGCGCGAGGCGCCAAGGCGAGCGCTTCAAATTAGGTCGGCCAAAAATGTCGCTCTCTTCACTCCGCTCGGGCCGCCGCCGTGGAGCCTTTGTCGCCCTGGGCGCCTCCAAGAAGGTGCTCCCCGCGCACCGTCCCGGCCATCCAGGGCCGCGAACAAGAAATGGCCGGGGCTGTTCTTTCTGCCGGCGCCCCGCGCGCCGATCCGCACGGTACTTCCGTCGCGCTGTCTCTCTCGCACCCCTGCGGGACGCCGCGTGAGTGCGAGAGGGACAGCGCGACGGAGCCGCCGTTCGGAACCAGCCCGCCGGCGAAGCAATGGCACGCGCCTCAATTTTTCATACCGCCGGCCTTGGCTATGGCGGCAGTGTGGTGGCAGTGGCACCGCGCCCTCATCGGCCCGAGAGACTGGGATACATATTTCACCCCGCTGGGCGCAGTGGCCGCCGCCGGGGAACCTGCGGCCGGCCAGCGGGGAGGGGGGGGAGCTTCCTCGCTTTTCTCGTTTTCGCTTACAGGCCGATCCAGGTCGCCGTTTCCTCGCCAGCGGCCCCGGGGACGGGGGGCCTCGGCATGCCCTCGGCCTCGGCGCCGGGGCCCTTTGGCCGCCTTCGCCCTTTTGTTAGCCGGAGGAGGGTCAAAGGGGTGCGCGACGCGGCCGCGCGGCCCGGAGCCTGAATCACGCGCACAATTTAGTAACTCCCGGGGGATCTCTCACCCCATCAGGGCCGTGGCGGTGTGCGGCCCTGCGCCCTGCGGCCCGCGGCAGCGGCTCCATTCTTCTGGCCGTGCGAGCGGATCGCCCCTGGACGCGTGTGCCACCTCACTGTGAACTACGCCGTGTCTAATTCACATTCAAGACTTGATTGAGATCAATAGTTTCCCAAGACGGAACCAACCAAATTTTCATCAATGCCGTGTAAACGTTTTGAGTGATACCTTTACTCTGTTCCGCGCTCCTGATTGTGGCTGTTCGGTCTCGCAGGCCACGATGTCGAGGACTTCGGCGACGTCTCGTACGACCACATCCCGGACCTGGTGGGCCCCGAGAACATGGACAAGTACCAGCACGTGGTGGCCTGCATGCACCAGGTGAGTGGGGCCCCAAAAGCGCGGGGGGGGGGGAGTATCGGGCCGTGATGAGGAAACTCGAGCCGATGGAGAGAAGACGCGGCGCTGGCCGGAACGCCTTCGTTAAAAGGAGAGAGAGAGTTCGCGCATGAGACGAACAATTATCGTGCCCTCCCCCTCCCCGCGCGAAAAAAGGGATACGGTGGAAAGGGGGCACGACTCCCGACAAAAGCTCTGTTTGCTTTCTCCAGTGTTTATTTAGGAGGGAAGGTCGAGAGGAGCCGGGAAGTCGATGGCCTTATCAATTTTTGCTCGGAAAACGCTTGTGTGTGTAGTAGTCCGAGGGGAGGGGGGGGGGGATGAGTCAGCCGGGTGCCTGCCGGTGCATCCCCCCAGGCAGGCAAACGACCGCCCGGCGCGCTTACCTTAAGACGACCGGCCTTGAAAGCGCGCCAAGTGCTCTCCGCTCCCCTTCCGCCTCGTAATGGCGCTCATCAATCGCAACAACAACAACAAGAACAAGGGGAGGCGCTGCCCCGGCCGCGCCGGCCGCGCCGTTCTAAATAACAGATATATCTTTGGCCGTCTCCCCGCGGCGCCCCGCGAGGCCTCGCGCGAGGCTACGCCGGGCAGCGCCAGCGCGACGACATTGCTCTCCTGTTGGCAAAAAGGAGTCAGTCTGTCTGAAAGCGAAGGGGAAGGGGCCGTGGCTGGCCGTGGCGCTGGGTATGCTAGCAGTGTGCCAGCCTTGGCTGTTGGCTGCCGAAAACATTCCCGCCGCCGGTAGCCGGGCCGTGGCGGCAGCGGCCAGCCAGGGCGGCCAGAGCGCAACGCGACGGGGGCTTCCGTGAGGGGCTCCAACTTACAACGCTTCTCCCCCCTCCCCCTATCCTTTTCACTTCCTGCTCCATTGCCGCTATCTGAAACACGCTTCCGCACACTTTTGCGGGTGGATCGCCGCGTCGTTGTGTTCTGGTTTGCGTTTGTTGTTGTTTTTGTTGGCCCTGGACTGGGGGCAGACTGGGGGCAGACTGGGCCTGTTGTTGTTGTTGCTGACGGCGGGGGAGGCGCTTGGTAGACCTGCTCTCGATGACGCACTCGCGAGCGAGTGGTGTGCGTTCTTTTTTTTCTTCATAACCCTGCTTTTCTGCGTGGTATTTTTTTTTGTTTCTTTTTCAAATGTTATTGGAAGAGGCAGACGAAACTTTGGTGTGGAAAGTTTTGCCTTGGGTGCGTCGTGGGGAGCCAGGAGTGGCTTGCTTGCCGGCCTGCTCGTCTCGTGCCCTTGTGCCACTTGCGCGCCAAAAACTGGTGAAGACCCCCCTCCCCACCCTTTCCCCCTCCCAGCCGCACCTCGCGGTCCATTTTCATCAATTTGAATACCGCGCACCCACTCCGCACATCGTTTCGTGTCTCTGTCGCACCTCTACGGCACGCTACGTGGGTGTGTGAGAGTCAGAGCTTGAGCTGGGCCCAAACAACACGGCGGCAAAACTCGCGCCGCGTTCCTCGCAGCGGTTTTGCCAGCGCGCGTTGCGAGTTTTCGAGTCGATCTCTCGGAATTTATCGAACTTAAGCTTTCCCCAATACAAAGAGAAGAGAGGAGAGAGGTGGGCGAATGGTAAACCCACCGCGGTTCGCGTGTTAATATGCCCCCCTCGCAACTTCCACGCAAGTGTGAGTGTGTGTGCTTGTTAACAGCGCGGCCAGGACACTGTTGTTGCTATTCTCTCTCGCCCCCCCCCTCTCTCTCTCTCTAGGGGCACTCTGCTCGCTCAGCTCAATCGTAGCGGTAAACGCAGTGCTATTGTTTGCACGTGGAGCAACGCGGAAGGGAGGCGACGCTCTCTAATTGAGCACAACGCAAAAGGGGGGGGGGGGGGCAGGGGGCAGGGTGGCAAGGTGGAAGGACCCCGCTCTCTTCGCCATTAGCCGCTGTTTGGAGGACACTCTCTTCGTCGTTCCTCTCCGTCCTTGTGCGGCTATCAGCAGCCCGGCGTGCCGTGCCGTGGCTTGCCGAGGCGTGGCGTGGCGTGCCGTGGCGTGCCGTGGCGCAGACAAATTTATGGATATGGCGAAAATATTTCTCGGTTGAAATGGCCGGGAATGGCCCGGGCCGTCCTTCTCCAGTCATTTAGCGAAATCGATAGTGGAGCGGTGCGGGGCGATGCGGGGCTTTGCCTGCAGAGCGGTGCCACCACCGTAAGCGCGTCCCTATACCGCGCGTCCTGTCAGTGTACACACCAACCGTCTCTCTCCTCTCTTTTTTCTTCGAACCTCAAGAGGAAAGTCTGCGCTTTGGTTCTTCGAACCCGCCGCTCTGAGTCCCCCCAGCAAAGGGCTCCGCTCGCTCCGCTCTTCTGATCTGGGTGTAATGGGCGTTTACTGGCGACAGCGCCGCCAGACGACGCCGACGTCCCCGCCGTCGACCACGCGCATTCCTGGAGTCCTGGGGGAGACACTCATTTCTGCGATGACGCAGTGTCGCAGTGTCCATTCCTGGGGCCATTATGGCCAGTAAATCTCGCCGGCGGCAAAAGGGGTCCACGAACCACGTAACAAGCAGCGCGGATTTGTCCAGATCCCGAACGAATCACGAAGACAGAGGCAGGAAAGGCTGCGGAATGGACCCCAAAGCCGCTCGGCGAGACGGTGAAGGTGTTTTGACATGTGTCGACGGTACGGTAGAGCAGCCGCAGCGAAGGCGGTGCCTAGCTCTGAAATTGCCGGGACGCTAGGAGGCCTCCGCTACACTGCAAGTCGCCTCCTCCGGCAGATTTGCTGGATTGCCCTCGCGGCCGCCGCTGCCGTGCTGCCGCGGTTCCCGCGCCTCCGCTCCACTGCCAAGCCCAGCCCGCCGCGCGCAGCGCGGGATTACGCTTTGCAAGTTGGTGCTTTTCGGACGGCTCCACGTCAAACTTGTTCCTCCCTCGCCCCTTTAGTCCCTTCGCGCAGAGCGCGCAGAACGGGGAAACGTGACGCCTCAATCAGACTTGGCATAAACGCGGGCCGAGTCCTGCAGGTGAAATCGGGTGAATTCCTCCCCCCCCCACTCCGCATTCCCCGTCAAACTTTGCCAGGCTTGCTATTCCTTTCGCCCACTTTTCGGCGAGAGCAATCCCATTTCCGGCGGGGAGAGGCGCGCGGCTTCGAAGATACTTCACCTGCACACACCGTGCGAAATGAGTGCAATCGGCGGTTGCTGGTGCACTGTGAACTGCTTTTTCCGGACTGACCTGCTCTGCCCCGTCCTGCAGGTGTCCACCCTGGCGCGGCGCATCCACGCTGAGGGCCGCGTCTGCCTGGCGCTGGGCGGCGACCACTCCGTGACCATCGGCACCGTGGACGCCACCGTCAACGCGCACGAGGACGTGGCCGTCATCTGGGTGAGGCGCAGGGATGCCGTGTCTTCGACGCAAGACCGGTAGAGGCGGCCAAAATTCATGTCGCGTTTTGAGCTCCAGAGTCGCTAAACGGACTCGAACCGAACGTGTGACCCCACCAATGGATTCCTTGTTCGGTATTTGACATCCTTCCCTTTCTGTCGCAGGTGGACGCGCACGCCGACCTGAACACGCCGGCCACGTCGCCGTCGGGCTCGGCCCACGGCATGCCCGTGGCCCTGCTGGCCAAGGACCTGTCCGACTACTGGCCGTACCTGCCCGGCATGGACTGGCAGGTCCCAAAGTAGGCAGCTTGTTTTGTTTTCGGTTTTACGGGGGTTAAAAAAAGGTCACCGATCGGGCAGAGGACCAGTGTCAGGTGTCAGGGGCCTGCCCGGGCGGCACCAGTGTGGTGGCACCAAAGGTCTCAACACATGCGTGTAGGCAGGGCCGGTCAAGGCCCTTCCAGATTTCTCAGCCCTCCCGGCCCCTCCAGCCTCCACCCCTGCCAGAGCTAAATCTGACAGAAACAAAGAGCCTGCAATCACTGGACATACTTTCACTTTGTTGGCTCGTAATCGCCCGGCCGCTGCAAAGCCTTAATTGTTTCTCTTCTCTTTCCACGGAGCCGGGCCGAGCCTGCTCAGCCAGTGCTTCATTCGCTGGTAATAGAATGAGGGAGAAAATTCCGAATTCCTGCTCCCCTTCTTAATCCCTCTCGTTCGTTTCCACTCGAGTCCGCCAGCCGGTGCCCGCGCGTGATTGGAGACGCTGTCACCTCGTGACTCTCGCCCTACCCGGCCCTGCCCGATGTCAGCGCGCTAGGCGAGGCTAGGCCCCGCATTTTACCCGGCGAAACTAGTCCGAAGTGAGTTACGCACGGCCTCGGCCTAGCGGTCTATTCCAGTCGCTGATTGCCAGCCTCTCCGCCACGAGGGCACGCCGGGGCCACCGGGGCCACCGGGGCACGCTGCGGAAACTCCGAATCCGGCCGAGTCGCTAATTCGCCTGTATCCGCGATGTGTCCCCCCCCCCACCTGGCTCATCAAAAACGCGGCCCCACCCGCCTCGCCCGGGGAGGCTGTTGTTTAACCATTCTAATTGAGATGACGTCGCGCGCGAGCGAAGCGCCCGTCGGAGCAGAGGGCAGGGCAGAGGCGACCGGAAGGGGGGAGGGGCGATAGAATATAGAATGTGGCCCTCACGTCCCCGAGGATCAACCCCGCCAGGCCCGGCTCTAGAGTCGAGAGTCCTTCCTCGTCCGTCGGAGAGGCTGGTGGGACGGAGCTGGCCGACTGATTCCGAGAGTCGCTTTCGTCGCTCTGTCTCGCTCGCACCTATACGGAACGCCCCGTGAGTGCGAGCGAGACAGAGCGACGGAAACGCCTCTCGGAGTCGGTCTGCCGGCGGACTAGGGCCGTTGAAACACGGAGGCTGCTAATCGAAACAGGCCGGGCCGGGCGTCCCCCGGGAGGTAGAAGCTAGCGCCAACCCGTCGCTACCGGCCGGTATTTTTCTTGCGTTCCAAGAAGTGGTCCGCAGTCTCCAGGAAGCAGCGTTTTGTCTCAGATCCACATTACCTCGCTGCGTCCCCCCTCACGTTTTCGAGTCTTCCCCCACCCCCACCCACACCCTGCCACCGCCGCGCTCGCCACCCCTCCCAACACACGCACAGATCCCGTCCGCTCAGCCACTGGCCGCCCTTCGCCCGATCGGTGTATTTTGCGAGCAAGTCGACCCGGCGCGACGCCTAATTTGTTCTTTTATCTAAACTGCCCTTTCCTTTGTAAATTTGCGACTCTTTCACTCGCACGGCAGCAAGACCGCGGCGGGGAGGGGCCGGGGGAGGGGGGGGGGAGTGCGTATGTTTGGGAAAGTTGCGAGGCAGCAGAGTAGCAGACCGAGTAGTCTGGCTACTTTCCTCCCCCCTCCCCCTCCCCTCGGACGGGAGGGTCGTCCCAAACTCGGCCCGGTCCGAGACTAGTCGTCCTAGTCCTTGACTCAATGTGTTGACAACTAACTCTCTCTCACCGATATTGCCTCCGCCGGAGAAGCCGCGTCGTCGTTGGCCCTCCGAGCCGGGCCGTCCCTCCGCGCGTCCCTCCGCGCGTCCCCTGCCGGGGCCCTGACCCCATCCACTTACTTACTGTGTGCCTTGCCGGCCTTGCTGTGTTGGCAGACTTCCGCTCAGCAATCTCGCCTACATCGGCCTGCGATCCGTGGACGAGTTTGAGAGGTGAGTCCTTGTGCCCCCTGTATTGGGATTCGACGTCCTTTTCAATACAAAGGGAGGCTTCGATTCAATTTTTAAACTTTTTTTTTTTAAATTTTGCAGGCTGACGATGGAGAAGTTCAACGTGTGCGCGTTCGGCATGCAGGACGTGGAGAGCCTGGGCATCACGGGCACGGTGGAGCTGGCGCTGCGGCACGTGGACCCGCACAAGCGGCGCGCCATCCACCTCAGCTTCGACATCGACGCCCTGGACTCGCTCGAGGCGCCCAGCACCGGCTGCCCGGGTACGCCCAAATTTATTCCTTTGCCTTTTCTGCTTTTACATAGTGGGAACCGCACTCCGGCCGGAGCGCCTGCGGAGAGCAGGGCGGGCCAGCCCGTTGAGCGGCCGCGTCCACCGGGCTGCCTACCCCGCACTCCGCAGGCGCCCCGGGGGTCCTACCCCCGCGCCGCGCCGCACCGCGCCGCCGCCCGTCCTCGCTCTCGTCCTCTTCGTTAACCTAATTTCGCACACTTTCGCCCCAAAACGAGCCCGCGCACTCCCGTCTTGCACGGGGGGTTTCCGGCGGCCTTGTTAAGGGCGGGCAGTGACACCGACTTGGTGGCGCCGACGTAAACCCCATTTGCTATTATTTACTGTGCGAGTGAGTGACGTGGCGCTATCTTTGAAGCACTTGCCAGTAATGGCGCGCCCATTATAGTACCCAGCGAAGACAGACAGGCTGGCTGCCTGGCTGGCTGCCTGGCTGCCTGCCTGCCTGCCTGGCTGCCTGGCTGCCTGCCTGGCTGCCCGGCGCGCGGGCGGGCGGACTGGAGGCGAGTGAGATCGTGTTGCGGAACCCTCAAGCAGCGACGTTAACTGAAACTAATGACTCGCTTCGGCCGGAGACACGCTCATCAGCGCGTCCGAGACCGCCGTCCTCGTCGACGTCGTCGTCGCGCTGCTCACCGCCTCCAGACGACCATCTGCGTGCAATCTGACGGGAATCAAATTATCTGGCCGATGCAGTGTAGTGGCAGCGCGGCAGCGTGGCAGCGTGGCGGCGGCACACTGCGCCCTGGCGGCAATTAGCTTCGGCTTGTCTGCTTTCCTCGCGGAAAAAGAGAGAAGCCGGCGGAGGAAAGAGAGAAGAGAATCGACCCGAATGGCGGACAAATTGCCTCGGATGTGCTGGGTGGTCCTTGCCGCCTTGGAGGTTGCCGTCGTGGAGGTTGCCGTCGTGGAGGTTGCCGCCGTGGAGGTTGCCGCCGTGGAGGTTGCCGCCGTGGAGGTTGCCGCCTTGGAGGTTGCCACCTTGGAGGTTGCCGCCATGGAGGTCGCCGCCTTGGAGGTCGCCGCCTTGGAGGTCGCCGCCTTGGAGGTGTCCTCGCGGCCGCCCGAACTTGCTTTCGGTGGCTAACGTGGTCGGCGGCGCGTGGCGGAGCATGGCTTAGTTGGCCATACCGGAGATTAGCACCCCCCTCCCCCTCCTTAGTAATTCACCGAAGCCTTCATGTTGGTTAGGAAGCTCTGAACTTAAGCAGCTTTACGCGTAGCCTTTTCATTACGGGAGCAGGAAAGTTTGCGCTGCCAGCGCTGCCCGCGCCGCGCCGCCAGTGTGGCTGCGCGTTCCGCTGTTTTTCTGTTTTTCGCGCGAAACGGGAACGGCGGGACGAACCGCGAGCGTTCACAAACCCAGTGCATTCCACCAAGGGGTCTTCACCTGTCATCGGCGCTAATGTGTTACCTCACCGTGTTGCAGTGCGCGGCGGGCTGACGCTGCGCGAGGCCATCCACATCATGGAGAAGGTGCACGAGACGGGGCGGCTGGCCGCCGTGGACCTGGTGGAGGTGAACCCCAACCTGGGCAGCGCGCGCGACGTGCAGACCACGGTGCAGGCCGCGCTGCAGGTGCTGCTGGCCGCCTTCGGCCACTCGCGGCTCGGCAACATGCCGCGCTCCGCCGAGATCCCCCTCACCAAGGGCGCCACCCTCAAGCGGGACGCGTAGCGCGCGAAGCGCCGATCCGGACCTATCATTGTTGTTTGTGCCACTTTTCCGTTCCGAGAAAAGCGAGTGAATGTGTATGACTGCCGTGCAGTCCTCAAACAGTGTACCTGTTGCGGCGGCAGCCGCCTCTTAGCCTATTGTTCTCTGCTCTTCGTGGTCGAGAGGAAGGCAGTGAAATGTGACAATAAACAAGACTAGCGGTTTCTCTTCTAATTACTTTATTATTTACAGTACAAAACGAAAACAACTTTTGATTATCTTACAATAAGGAACAGTTTGAAGTGCCGGTCGCGGACAAGACAAGTGCCGGTTTTTTTTGGAACCGCGCTGCGATTTGGTTTCGCCACTCGTCTGTGGAGGTCAGCAAATACACGGCAGCCAGGTTTTTTTCTTGGAACTCTCGAAGTACATGTATTCCTGCGAACAAGAGACACTCGAAGTCACTCACGGCGCCGGCATGCTATCGGTGAAGGAATAATGGAGTGGGACCGCCGCGAGAAACTTTCAAGGCACCTCCCCGCTTGGAGCGAGGTCTCTGCAGTCACTGGAGGGCGCCGCGGCGCCGTCCACTTTTTACTGTTGCAGGGCAAGCCCAGGCAAGCCCTCCGGGCACGTCCACCCTTTTTTCCCGTGACTAGCAAAGGGCTCTATGAGGCGCATCGGGTTTCTTTGAGGCCAAGACGAGAGCCGACCCTCAATCCCCGCCCGAGGCTGTCCAGCATTGTCCAGGCCATCAGTCCGGAGGGAAGGTCGCCGCGGCGCCGCCCGGCCTTCCTGCACGAGGCCTTGGCCGTCCTCATACAGCAAGCGCTGTCTAGATCGGCCCCTGAACCCCGCCGGCGCCTTGGCTTTGGTCAAGGTCGCCGTCAGAGGTCGCCGTCAGAGGTCGTCGTCAGAGGTCGCCGTCAGAGGTCGCCGTCAGAGGTCGCCGTCAGAGGTCGCCGTCAGAGGAGGCCGTCAGAGGTCGCCCGGGCCGGGTACTCACCAGGAGGAAGGCGGCCGACAGCAGCAGCGCCTTGTGGTGGATGCTGAGCTCCGCGCTGGGGAAGATGATGACCGTCGTGTAGGTGGACTGCGTGGACTTCCAGTGGTGCGAGATGGAACCCAGCTCCACCAGGCTGTCTCTGCTCGTGATCTGGAAGCGAGAGTCGTTACTTGGAGACGGTTCGTCGGCGGTGTCACTCGAAAAATGCTGTTCGGACAAGACCTTGAAGACGGCCTCCTTGATGGTGCAGGTCCAGGGCGCCACGCTGGGGCCCTCGATGCGGTAGAGTACGGTGCCGACGACGTCCTCGACGTGCAGCGAGGGCACGAACATGCTCCAGTTCTGCACGACGGCGCCGAGGGGCCTGCCGGGCGGCAGCAGCACGTCGACGCGCTGCAGGTAGCAGCAGCAGCCCAGCAGGCCGCACGCCCCCGCGCCGCACGCCAGCCGGCGGCTCAGGTGCAGCGCCTCCTGGCGACTCGGGTCGTACACGCGCATGCGCAGCCCCCGCGACGAGCCCACGAACTGCCGCTGGCACGACGACGAGGTCTCGGCCGCCACCAGCAGCGTGTCGCTGGACACCGGGGACCGCACCACGTACCGGTTCTCCGACTCCACCGACGCCAGCACTGGGGGAGGCCAGAATCGTTTGTTATTTTTTAAGCGCCAGCACGCATTTGTAAAACTGAAAGTGCTCCAATTTTCTCCTTTTTCGTTTTGGCTTTCGCTTACAGTCTGTCAGCTCCACGGTCTGCTGGATCTCGACGGCCTCCACGCCGGCCAGGAGGTGGAGCCCCGAATAGGGCACCATGCCCTGCGAGACTGGCAAACACACGCACACACACATCATTGTGGGCATATCGGGGCCACGGGCAGGTAATTACAGAAGTGCTTCCAGAAGAAGAAAACAAGGAAAACGAGGGGGAAAAAGACAGATAGCGTCCTTTTGTGCGCGACCCGGCAGAGGGAGCTCGGTGGACGAGACGAGATTGTGATCCTTTGAAGGGCGCTGCGCGGCGCGAAGCACGGCAAGCGCGCCGAGCACGCCAGCCGGGTTCGTTACGGATGGCTCATCCCCACGCATGGACCCGGACCAACCCGGACCAACCCGGACCAACCCGGACCAACCCGGACGCGGAGCGCGGAGCACGCGCTCGCTGTTCTGTTTCATCCGAGCAAACTCACTTTCTTTCTCGTCGAGGAGTCATTATTTTCTATGCCGATTCCCGCAAGCATGATAAATTTGGCTCCCCCCCCTCAAAAAAAAAGATCACAAGCTGGGCGTGCCTAAAAAACATTTTGCAACGGCCTCGCCTTTGGGCGGGAATGAACCTCTCCACCTCTCCCGCCACGGCCGCCACGGCCGGCGGCGTGTGTACTCGACCTGCATCGAGCGGGCTCGCGAGGCTGCGCCCGGGCTGTACCTGGGTGTACTAGTACACTCCGCAGTTCTCGCCGTTCTCCAGCGGATCATTTCGAAACCCGAACCGATTGCCGCCAAAAGGGGGAAAAAATTATTGCACGCACTCGCGAGCACTCCTCCGCGCATTTCCGCGGTGCCTTTGTCTTGTCCACCTCGGTGCCCGCCGTCACCGCCGGGCCCATTTCCGGCCAATCTTCCAATCTCTCCCCCCCCCCTCGACCAGCACCGCTGTCCCACTTTCTGTGAAATTCGCCTCTACTCTACACCCACACTGTAGGCCGCGCGGCACGCAAGAGACGGCGTGGCGCGGTCCGTGGGGACCGGCCGGGACCGTCGGCGCGCGGCGCCCCTCGTGCGTTGCGTATACCTATACGGGGCGCCCCATCAGTGCGAGAGAGACAGAGCGACGAAGACGACTCCCGGAATCAGTCTGCGGGTGCGAGAAAGCTCCTCCTCGGAGGGGCACACGTTTGTCCTCACCACGACGCCAGCCAATGGCCGCGTTGGAAGGAAGCTGGAAAACACGACATGCGAGGGGCCCAGGGGAAGGGGGGATAGTCTAACACTACAGAGTGATGCGGCGCAGTGTCAGTCTGACTCACTCGCACCTATTCGGCACGTCATGGCAGTGCGAGATAGACAGGTGTAGCAAGGGGATCTTCCGCGGGATAATCATTCTGAAGGGCTGATGGTGCACGAGGTAGTCGAGTTGGTAAGCCTCCAGTCAACAACTTCCCCGCCCACTCCGGCCCGGCGGGGGGGTTCGACGGGAAGGACACCGGAGGCACGTCTCCGTCTCGGGCCGGGGAGCGGGAAGGCCGAGGGAAGACACCCCCAGAGGCGGATCCGGGCAGGACCCTGACTTACTTGTGGGGACGGGGATGGGCGCCCTGGACACGGAGCCGTAGTCTGCGGACAGAGGGGAGAGTCAGTGAGTCAGTGCGCTGCTTCAAGGGCCGCCTGGAGGGCAGGTGTGCGTCCCGCTGGCATACCCCCCCCCCCCCCCCCCGGCGGCTCGCCCTTGCAGTGGCAGTGGCTGTGGTCGGCTCACCTGAATACGGGATCGTCGGCCCGCCTAAGCTCCTCTGCTCGGGCAGCTCCTCGTCGAAGCCCACGTCATCGGCGAAAGCCGGGTTGGCGAAACCTGCAGCAGGACGCAGCGGGTCAGACTCTGCAAAAGAAATGGGGTGTGCTTTTGTTGTCGTTGTTGTTGTTGTGGTTGTTGTGGCACTCGTACGCCACTTGGCAGGAGGGCTGGCGGGGCAGGGCGTGGCAGAAACGCTTCGCCGATTGTTATCTGGATGATGATGGCGCCGATGAGGTCGATCGAACCACGTCGCCCTTTGACAGTTTTCCTCCGCGATGTCCGGCAAGCGGCGCGGCGGTACCTGATCGAACGTGACGGCTCAGCATTGCGATCGATGGCGCAAGATTTCTCGCGGAGACACCCTGGGGCGTCATTTGCCATTGCGGTGCGGAAAAAAGGCGACAGTCTTTTCTTTTCTAGCGGTGTGGGAAAGTGTATTATCTGCTGCTGCGCATCCGGCTGCAAGCATTTCACGCGGATCGGCTTTGGAACTGCCGTTCTTCACTTTTCCCGCTCTTCGAGAGAGAGAGAGAGACAGCCCGCGCAGTGCAAGCGCACCCGCACCTTTAACACCTCGCGTCTGAATTTGCCATACCGACGACGGTGGAGTGCCTGGTGGGGGCGAGGTCATCGCCGTCGCGGGGCAGCGGCACGTCGAAGAGGCTGCCGTCGTTGAGGACGTCCTGGTGGGCCGCCATGGTGGTGTTGACGTCGGGGCCGGGCGCACTCGGCGCGTGGTCCGCGTCGTCACGCGGCCGGCTGTCACGCTCGTGCGCGGCGTCGACGGCGTGCTCGGCGTGCTCGGCGTCGATACCGTTGACTGATGGCGCGGGGCCAGCCAGGCCAGGCGGGGCCAGTCAGAGCCGCCGCGTCGTTATCAGGTGGGTGATAAGCCCGCCACACCTTGGTCCGCGGCCCGCGAGGCTCATCCCGAACGGTGTTTCGTCGCTCTGTCTCTGTCGCGCGCATGGAGCATCGCTTGGGAGCGAGAGAGGCAGAGCGGCATCGGTCTGCTGGCCGCGCTGCTGTGTGTCAGCGTGTCACCTCGGCGGTTCGCGTCGCGGCGCGTCGCGGCGCTCAGACGTCCATCAGGCGCCATCAGGCCACACCGGCACTCGGCCGGCTCGGCCCCACCGAGCCAATCGCGGTGGCACCGCGCCGGCACCGCGTCCTGCCTCCACCGCCTTGTGTTCCGCAGGGCTGGCGAGGCTGGCGAGGCTGGCGATGGCGAGGCCCTTTGCCGGCCGCGGCTCATTAACTTGGATGTCGCAGTGAGACTCCATGCCGCCGCGCTGCCGTCCCGTCGGGGGTTCAACGGCCAACTCCAGCCTTCCATCGTCTGCGTCTCAAAGTGTCCATCTCTTTTGTCGCCGCCTCGTCCTCGCCACGGCCGCGAAGAAAAAGGGCGGGAACTCGTGGTAGGGTTCCTGCGAGAGGGAGTTTCGAGGTAGAGTGATCTCGAAATAAATATTCGGGGTCGAGCTTAGGGCCGCTAAATTCCGGCTTTTTGGGTCGCTCGCTGGAAATGGTTCAGAACCACAGGGAGGGGATGCTTCTTTGATTACCACTGTTTCCTGAACGGACAGCTTCACTGTCGCGGGGCTGGGCCGGCCCAGTCTGCCCATGTCAACCGCCTAGCCATGCCGCAGCCCCAATCGCACACATACAGTCAGACACACACCTCGGCGAGGCCGGCCAGGCCAGCCAGGCCGCCCTTGCCGCCGCTCAGAGGACATGTCAGCCGTCCGGCCGGCCGCAGGGACTTAAAAGGCCTGCCGGCCGGACGGCCTGTGACGTTCGTATTTAGGCCCGCAGGCCGATGGGCCGATGGTGCCAGGGTCAGGCCTCTCTGTCTCTTTCTGGACCGGGGCCGAATGAAGATCAGCGTCATCAGTATTTTGCCTCGGGGGTGTCCCCAAAGCCCGCCGGGACGCAGGCCCGGGACGTAGGCCGCGGGACCGAGGCAATGAGGGATGATCTTCCTGCCAATGCCTTTCCCCAGCGACCGCGGCGGTCGTGGCCGAGGCCGGCGCTGTGCTGACGCGTCACCGGGCGCGCAGTCAGCTCCGTCAGCTGCGGTGGCCTCGGCCACGGCCAAGGCGCGGGCCTCGGCGGCGTGGGCCGTCGACGGCGTATCCGCGCCTGCAAACATGGCGCGAACAAACACCCATCAATATGTCACTCTCGCTGACGTGAGCGCGGGCGAGCGCGGGGCGCGGGTGCGAGCCCAGCCTCCCTCATGTTTTGATTTTCTTTTCTCTCGCTGACACTCTGTCTGGCTAATCCAGGCCGGGTGGGCCCCGCGGCTGTCTCCGCCCCGCGCGGCGTCCCAGGGGCGGCGACGACGCGCACGGACGGCGCCGCAGAAGAACGCCGCGCAAACTGAGTTGTTGCAGGCTGAGGACGGAGTACACGAGTACACGGCTGCCAGGCACCCCAGGCACGGTGGCCTTGAGAAGACTTTGGCGTGCCGCGCCCCGGCAGCCCGGCCCGCGTTCCCTCTTGTCGACTTGCACAAGGCAGTGGCCGTCGGAGAGGCGGGGGCTGGCGGGGGATGAGGGTGACAATACGCGCTGGTGGCGCCAGTGGTGGGCGTGGTGGGCAGCAGGGAAACTAGTGGAGAGACCGGAGAGGACAGGAGAGACAAGGGCTGTTGGGAATCAGTCAAGTGTGGGTGGCCCGGGGCCGTCGCCAAGGCCGTCCAGGGTGCCAAGGTCGCCGACGTGTCGCCAAGGCCGTCGAGGGCGTCAAGGTCAGCGCGACCCACTGCCAAAAGCAGGGCCATGCCTCTGGCCGCGCTGCCCTGGCTTCAGGTCGGCGCCCACGTGGTACGTCATCGACATCACGCCCCCAGTCGCCATCACAATCAACTTGGCCTCCGATTCCGAAGAGTGGCTTCGTCTCCGTCACACTCGCAGGGCTCGCAGGGCGTCCTGGAGGGTAGGAGGGGTGCGAGAGAGACAGAGCGACGAAACGCGTCTCCGGAAGCGCTCGGTGGCGCAGGGCGCCGCGACAGCCGTGCGAGTCGAGGCTCTTTTCACTGCGTAAGACGACTTAGGGAGGAGTCCCGTCTCCGTCTCGTCGACACTGCCGCCCGCTGCCGCCTCGCCGCCCGCCTCGCCCCGCCGCCTTGCCACAATGCGGTTCGGAGCGAGAGGCTTCGCTTCCCTGCCGAGCAATTCAGAAGAGTCGTTCGTCTCTGTCGCTCTCGTGGGGCTCCTCGTAAGGGTGCGAGAGAGACAGAGCGGCGAACCGATGTTCCGAACCGCTCGGCTGCTTCGCCTTTCGGCCGCCTCGCCGGCGCACCGCCGCTGAATTCCTCGCTAGTTTCCTCAAATGGGCGGCGACTGGGTTGGAAAGTCGCTTCATCTCCTCATCTCGGGGAACAACTCTCTCGTAGAAATCAAATTATGTAGGAATCTTTGGCGCACGCGGGTTTCAGGTTCGCTCCGGCCGGGTCGAGCGCAGAGCAGAGGCCTCCACGCGGCATTCGCCGAGAGACTGGGGATGGGATCCGAGTCCTGTCCGAACGATTTGCTCCACAAACAGCCCGCGGCGGCCTAGGGAAAGCAGCGGGGAATGTCAGATATTTTCCCCCATCGGAGCGCGCGGGAAAAAATAGTAAAAATGATGAAAACGCGCGCGCAGAGTACACACGCACGCACACACTAGCTCGCACACTAGTGAGAGCGGAGGCCAAAGGACTCCGGCTCGCACACACAGAGGGCCCCAAGCTTGCCCAAGCTTTCTCGGAAGCACTCACGAAGGGAGGGCCAGAGCCCGGCAGGGCCCGGCAGAGCCAACACGGGTGGGGTGGTGGTAGGTGCGTCTGGAAGGCAAGCGAAAGGCAAGCGAAAGGCAACCGAAAGGCCGACGGGAGGCAAGCGAAAGGCAACCGAAAGGCCGACGGGAGGCAACCCTGCAAGCCTCGTGAACTTTCCCTTTCCGAGCCCATTCATCAAAGCCCGGCCGGCGGGTCGTGGGTGGTCGGGGCAGGGATCCACCCAGGCCCGCCCAGGCCCGCCCCGGGGCGCGCCGCGACAAACCCCGGGTGTCGTTCGCAAACAGCGACGCGTTCAAAGTGGGCCACGAAATGTAAATGTCACTGGGTGGCCGCCTCGTGCCACTGTGCACTGTGGGGCCCAGAGCAAGCCAAGCGAGCCAAGCAAGCTCGGCCCGACCAGACTGGGACTTTCGGCGAGTCACCGTCCGTAATGGGATCGCCGGACAATTACCCTCGGCGTGCAAGACTGGGGGGGGGGGGGAGATTTCAAGAGGGATGTCCTCGCAGAGCCGCAAGCCCCCTTGTCTCTGTGCAGGACAGCAGTGTCATGGCGACGAGAGTTTTGAGCCCTACTGGGGGGGAAAGGGGGGGGGGGTACGTGCTCCAACTTCCACCAGCGTTGCTACACGCTGGATTACCGCTGAAACTTGGCGGAATTACAACGTCACCTGTGGCGCTCCTCATCCCATGTCATCCCATCCCCAGGTGTCCGAGGGCTGCACCGACGACGTCATGTCCTCCGCGGCGGTGGCCATGGTGCGGAAGCACGCCGCCAACCCCGAGAACCTGATCGCCGGCACGCTGCAGCGCTCCCTGGCGGACACATGCCAGTAAGGGCAAAACGTTAGACGCGTTTTGAGCTCCAGAGCCGCTAAATTGGGCTCGAACCGATCGTGTGACCCCACCAATGGATTGCTCCCCGAACGAGGAATCCATTGGCGGGGTCACACGTTCGGCTCGAGAGTTGTTAAGCCACCCTGGAGCTCAAAACGCGTCTCGAGTTTCGGCCGCGCGCGCCGTTCTTCTGGCCCACTGTGCAACGCACACGGGTTTGTGCGCACCGCTGCTCAAACCACGGCCCGTTTCTTTCATGTTTTGTATGCAAAACGGTCGGCCCCGGCCAAGGGCGCCAAGGGTTGCGACGAGTTGCTGTATTGTCCTGTCCGCCCCTCCCCCTCCCCCTTTCCAGCCTCTTGACGGAGGGCCTGTCGACGCTCCGGACCTACGCCGAGTCGTGCGGCGCCGAGCCCGACGTGAACCAGCGCGTGGCGCGCGCCCTGGTCAAGGTGCGGGCCATGCTGTGCGGCGAGTCCGGCGTATCGGCAGGTACGCCCCATTTTCGGAACGCCCCCTTTTGTTGTTGGAGCAAATATTTCCGGGAAAAGGGTCGCGCGTTTTGTTATTTTTGCCAATGGGCGCTTCCAGCTGCTGTGCGCCGCCGGTCGCGCCGTTGTGTGTGACGCGTCGCGGCTGCGCTGCCGCATGGCCGCATGAAAGCTTCATTTGATTGTCGTGTTGGCTGTTGGGGCGGCGGCGGCGGCGGTACGCAGACGCGGCGGCTGAGTGGCCGTGCTGGCAGCCGAGAGCCACTTCCTTTTGGAACTGTGCCCAGCAGACGGGGTGGACGGCCAGCCCGCAGGCCTGCCAGTGAGTACGCCAGGCCGCAACGCCCCCGGGCCGCAACCGCCACCTACCAGTCAGCCAGACCAGGCCAGACCCGCCACTCGCCACTTCGGACACGCAACTCCATTACCGACTTGGACCGCCCAAGTACCAACGCAGCCAGCAGTCAGCCCAAAGAAAAGTCCCCGTCGGACTGACTCCCCCGCCCCCTACCCCTTTCCGACCGCTGCTTCCTGGCCAGCGGAGTAACTCACTGGCCCCGCTCCGCCGGACAACTTGCCCCATTCCTCACTGGATAATTGTCGCGATTTGACTTGGATTGGCCTGGCCCGTCCGCCCCGTCGTCCAGGGTGGTGCACTCCAAGGCGAAATACGGATGGCGGCGGCACAGCGCGCAGCCAGTCCGATGAATAGACCCTTTCAGTCTTCGCCGAGTGAAGAACAAAAGTAATCAAAAAGCCAGGAACCAGTAGGAACGTTCCTAGTGGTTCCTGGATTTTTGATTACTTTTGTTCTTCACTCGGCGAAGACTGAAAGGGTCTATAGAAGTGCCCTGGGACCGCCCGGCGGGTAGGCAACCCACCGTGGCCGACGAGGCGGGTGGGTTGCCTACCCGGAGGCGCTTCGAGTCCGTCGTGCTCCAGGCTGCTCTTGGCCATGTTTCGGCGCAGGCTGCTGGACAAGATGTCCGAGTGCTACGAGCGCGTGGCGGCCGAGTGGTGCAGCGTGGCGTCGGGGCGCGCGATGAGGCGCATCGTGCTGCGCGCCCTCGCCCCGCTGCCGGACAACAAGTGCGAGGAGCTGGAGCGAGCCGCGCACCGCGCCGTCAAGGCCGCCTCCTGGAACTGGCTCATCATCATGGCCGTCGTCGTCCTCATCAACCTCGCCTTCGCCGCCGTCGTGCTCGCCTGCTGCACCTGGTGCCGGCGGCGGCAGGTGCAGCGCGACGCCAAGCTGCTGTCCGAGCCCCAGTGAGCCAGGGTCACATGGCCTTGCCTTACAGTGAGCAGCCCGGAAGCCGTTGGGTCTTAAGGCAGCCCCCCAGCTACGTGCAGTGTTTTTAGTTCGCTTTGACGTGAGTTGGAAGAGTTACCGGATCAGGTACACTTGATTCCAAAATTTAAAATCATAAACGCATTTTGTTGAAAAAAATAAATCCTACGGCATTGTACTACTGTTTGCTGATGGTTGGTTGGCTTTCACTGACCTTCACATTGTCTTCTTCAAACTTAGGATTAATCTTCTCTTTCTCCTTTCCCAACAACACTCATTCATGTACATACATTCTTCATACTATTTTCTTTTCATCCTATTTCATTCAACAAATGATGACATTTTCTGTACTATTGCCTTCTGTACTTTCAGTTTCTCAATAATCCCTGAGAAACACATTTTAAGTGCTGACTATGTAATGCCAGAGGGATGTAGAATAAAAAAGAAAGGATAATAAAAAATAAATAAAGTGAGAGCAGCTTTCTTTCATATCCAAACTGTTCATACACAGAAGGGTTGACTGCGACAGTGAGGCGCCAGCTGGGCCCTGGAAGGGACCACTGATGGGAATCACAGGTCCAATTGGTTCTATAAACTTGCGGAATGTAATCTTAGGTTTTGGTAGCTGGTACACTCAGCATTAAATTTCACAGAAAATCGTACGGTTGAAAATAAACAAGTGCTACATTGTGCAACACCTTGAAGCAGATGGGTTTAGAATGAATGATACAAACTCAATGACAGAAACTCAATTAAAACCATACAAAAAATGGAGGTAGGTGGGAGCTACATGATAGATGGTCTACATAAACTTAACAGCAGCTTAAAATTCAAAACAATCCTAGACTAGATAAAGATAGATCAACTTGAAGCACCACCGACTTTCTGGGCTGCTGCTATCGCACTTTCGTTGGCAATCATTTGATACTCCGCAAAGCGCTGAGAAATTCGTTGGTTCATCTTCATGTACTTCTCCAGGCAGTTCTGGGAACATTGATCCTGTCAAAACACAAACAAGAACTTCTATAAACTGGCATATCTGCAAGACACATGTACCTTCATGATTGGAAAAAGAGAAGTTACCTCAGCGGGCTTCACACTCCTAGTGGTGAAGTCCCAAATACAGTCAGTGAAGCATAGCTCCGAAAGTTTGTTATACGATGATAAGAAGTCTTTGAACTGTATCGCAAAGAAAGGATATTGGTTAAACTCAATGGGATAAATATGAATGAAGATAGCTACAGCCATTCAGAGGTTAGCGGACTTAGCAGCCAAAGAAACACAAATTCACTTACCGATTTCATCTGATCATTGTCATCAAGTGACATTGAAGGGTTCATTTTTAGATAATAATTGATCTCTTGTAGTGTCAAATAAAATAAAGTCGCTAATTAAGACTTTTAAAATGAAAATGTGCAAGTAAACAGAAACACGCCTGGTGAGAAACAGACGACGGTTCGGCCAGTCTTGACGATGACGATTTCCACAAGGCTGTGAGCAGCTTGGCCAACACAGCTTGTCGACAGCGACTTGTCCCGCTGTTGGGAGGCCTCTATAAGACAAAGGGTTCAGGAAATAATCATCCACGAATATAAAAAATTATGTTGAAAATTGAATACAGAAGACAATTGCTGGCAGCAGGGGGGCAGTTCAAACGTATTGATTGCAGTTTTCTGTTTGTTTTGACAGCCTCCTCGCCACTTTGACAGCTGCGAGGAGGTTGCCGGTCCGGACGGACAAATGGTCGCCTCGCCAGATCAATATGGCGGTTTGTTGAGTGATTGATAAGTGAGAACGATGGAAAGTAAGCAATTTGTGTCTAGGAGCGAATACTTTGCCAAATCGTGGACTGCTGCGGCTTCCTGTGTTGCCCCGTGAAGTGTGCCGTCGTCTGCAAATATGGTGCTTCCCCCCCGGCACCGCCCCGAGCCGACGCCCGAGCCCTGCGGACAAGGTGCCTGAAGCGCCAGCAGAAAGCCTCGTCGCCTCGCCTCGCCTCGCCGCGGCCGCCGTGGACGGGACGGGGACGAGCAGGGAGCTCGAGCTCAGAGACGGCGGTCATGTCGTCCGCGGGGCCGCGGGGCCCGTGGGTCCCGGCCCGGGCCGTGTTTTGGGCGTGTCTGGCCGCTCTGCTGGGGTGGAGCGGCGCCCAGGATGCGGCAGACCTCGGTACGCTCCCTAGCCCCGGCCTGGCCCTGGTGCCCAGCGAACCCCTCAACCTGACCGTGGCCCGCTCCTCCTGCACCTCGATGAAGCTGTCCTGGGCGCGCCCCCAGGTGGGCGTGGTGGAGGGCTACCGCATCTACCTGCTGCACGACAACCGCACCAGCAGCCTCAGCTTCTCCCTGACCGACCCGGCGACGCAGTCACCGGTGGAGTACGAGGCGCAGGGCCTCAAGCCCAACACGGCCTACAAGGTGTGGGTCAAGGCCTACGCCTCCCAAAACCAGGAAGGGGCCCCGTCCGACGCGGTGGAGAACCGCACCGACATATGCAGTCCAAGTGCTCCAGAAATCCTCAATGCCGCCTGCCAATCTCAAAACTCTCTTCTGCTACGCTGGCGACGACCCGTCAACTTTACCACCATTGATCAGTACTTTGTTTCTTATCGAAGTGAAAAGGACTGGAATTTTGATGAATTTGCTCTGGACGGGGAAACTGATGTTCTGGAATACAATGTTTCTATTCCTGACCTGCTGACCAGTACCATGTACGAAGTGAAACTTCGAGGTGCTTCCAAAAGTGTTGTGGACCCCCAGGAAGTATTACGGGGAGCATTCTCAGAGCCTCGGAAAGTTTATCTTGAAGAAAACTGTAATACTATGATGCTTCACTCTAATGCCCATGGCCAAACTGACTTTGGAGCAGGAATTGTTGTTGGCCTAGTCGCTGTTATTGTTGCCCTTTGTCTTGCGACTGCAGCCTGTGTAATCTGGAAAAAATGTTTTCACGCGAGCTACTATTACTTGGATGATCCTCCCCGTGCGCCACCTCCTACTTTAATCGACTGGGATGCCCAGACTGAAGAAAGTGGTATGAAAACATCTGTACCAGTTGACTTGTTTGCAAAACATGTTGCTGAACTTCATGCCGATGGAGATATAGGCTTCAGTAAGGAATATGATGAGATTCAAGCCGCTCGTCCCCAAGAAGATTACAGCACAGATATATCTCAACATGATGACAACAAGGCTAAAAATCGCTATCTAAATATTTTAGCTTATGATCACAGTAGAGTTCAACTGCTTCCGATCCCAGGCCAGAAACGCTCTTTTGATTATATTAATGCTAATTACATTGATGGATACCACAGAGCTCAAGCATACATTGGAACCCAAGGTCCTCTCCCTACTACGTTTGAGTGTTTTTGGCGTATGGTCTGGGAGCAGAGAGTTGCTGTAATTGTTATGATTACAAACTTGGTTGAGCGTGGACGCAGAAAATGTGACATGTACTGGCCAGGAGAAGGATCTGAAACGTACGGGATGATTTCTGTCAAGTTAATAAAGGAGGACATTATGGCAACATATACTGTCAGGACAATGATAATTCGCCATTTGAAAGTGAAGAAGAAGAAGCATAGCTCTACTGAGAGAATTGTCTTTCAATATCATTATACTAACTGGCCTGACCATGGGACTCCAGATCATCCCTTACCAATTTTAAACTTTGTCAAGAAATCAGCAGCAGCTAATCCCTCAGATGCAGGCCCCATCGTTGTGCACTGCAGTGCTGGTGTAGGTCGAACAGGCACTTACATTGTACTGGATGCGATGCTTCGGCAAATTCGCAGCAAAGGAGAAGTAAATATTGCTGGATACTTGCGTCATATAAGATCTCAGCGAAACTTCCTTGTGCAAACTGAGGAGCAGTATATATTTATTCATGATGCCTTGTTAGAAGCAATTGACAGTGGTGAAACAAACATAAATCAAGCTTACCTGTCAAGGTACTTGCTTAGTCTTCAAGCATCAGGAGACGGAGGAGAGTCTGGAAGTGAGAAGCGCGAAACGCTCTTAGAGACTCAATTCCGTTTAGTCACAAGTTTTCAACCAAAAGACTTCAACTTAGTCTCTGCTAGCAAGCCCATTAACCAACCTAAAAATCGGGCCCAGGATTTGGTTCCTGTGGAGAATGCCAGAGTTCACTTGACCCCCAAACCAGGAGTGGACGGAAGTGATTACATCAATGGAAGTTGGCTGCCCGGTTTCAACAAGCTTAAAGAGTTTATCCTTACTCAGCATCCTTTTGAATCTACTATCCAGGATTTCTGGCAAATGGTTTGGGATCATAATGCACAAACTATTGTAACTTTGTCAAGCTGCAATGTTGATGAAGGGTTTGGACCGTTCTGGCCCACTGCAGATGCGGAACTCGATGCCGAAAACTACAAAGTAAAATTCATATCAGAAAGTGAACATGTTGGCTACCAAACACGAGACTTCATTGTGCAATCAATGCAAGATGACTATGAGCTCCCTGTTCGCATTATACAGTGCCCAGAATGGCCTCATAACTGTATTCCTTTATCGTCTATGGCTGAGCTGCTAAGAATAGTACAAGAATGGCATTTGGACTATCAAAATGGACCCATAATTGTGATGGATCGTGTGGGAGGCACTGAAGCCTCTATCTTTTGCTGCCTGACAACATTGACAAAGCAGCTGGACTATGAGAATCATGCTGATGTGTATATGTATGCAAAGCTTTACCACAATAGGCATCCAGGCATTTGGAAATCTCAAGACGACTTTTTGCTTTTGTATCGGGCTCTTGAAGCAATGCATGGTAATTGCAATCATTCGAGTACAGCTAGTGCTGCTGGATCTGGGACAGGAGTTCCTGCTGGTTCAGTTGGCTCTGGAGTAGCATCAGCCACCGGCTCAGGTGCTGCATCTCCAACAACTCCAGCAACTGAAACGCACATCACAGTTACAGATAACCATCTAATCACAGCCAATTGTCAAGCAAATGGTTACATCATTGGCAATGGCAATGGTACTGCTTCTCTCATTGCACAGGAAGAACCTGAGCCTGAGTCAGATGTTGTGATTAATGTGCCAGAAGGAAGCCCTGCATGAATGTGTAGAGACCAATCTGCAAATGCCAAAGATAGTTACATATTGTCAGAATTTATAGATGATAGCATTCCAAATTAATGTGCATGACTACAATTAAGTGTCTATATCTATCTATCTAAAAGCGTGTATGCAAAATATTGAGTATGTATGTATTTGTATACTCACACTAGGTGATTTCCTTATTTTATATCTGTGATTTCATTTTAACACATTCTTATGTTATTCTCTAACCAGGGTGATTGAGGTTGTCTTGGTACTCACTGTATGGCAAAATATTGACAATGATTATTTTGCTAGGCCGAGCATTGCTGCTTAAAATTTAGCATACTTTCAGTCTCAAATGCTGGATGTGACATTCCTACAACAGCATGTTTTATTCTGCTTATGTTCTGCATTTTATTCTCACAAACAGACTAATCTATGTACCTGCAAGGTGTTTTTATACAACGCTGGCATTTTCTATTTTTACTCTGTATTTTGATTCTACCGGTGCACTTGAATGTTGAATACTCATTGTGGCTTTAATTTTATGTGACTTTTGTGTTTTGTATGACAATGATTACGGTATACCCAAGATACCCTGTTAAAATTGTTTCTAGTCAAACTGAATGACAGTGACTGAACAAAACACACCTCTAGCTTACTTTAGTGCAGTTGTGTGCAAATAATGTTATGTTTCTCTTTAAAATATTTCAAAGTGCCAATTATTCATACCTGTGAGGATTGTGATTGCACATAGCATTGGAGGAGATTTTATACAATATTGGCATAATATTTCTTTTGTCTTTCTGTTCTATTTATCGCCCCAGGAAAGCATCAACTTCTTGAATTTCACCCAGGTAAATGCTTGGCCTTAGTTCATGCCCTAATTTTTAACATGAGCTTATTACATGAGCCAGCGTTAATTTTTCTTTTCTTGTCTCTCACAGGTCGCTTTCAATGGGATTTTGCTTCAGCTTCCTTCTTCCAACCAGATGCAACTACAAGTCTGTTATTTACTCATCATGTTTTCTGCCTGAACTTACTCATTTTATATTGATATCTCTTGATATTAATTGTTGTAAATTTAGTCTTTATGCTTTGTGACATTTTGAAAGGTAAAAATGATGGACTATGGTGGATTAATGGGCAAATAATGGCACAGATGTTATCGCTATTTCTATTCATTAAACATTCTGTTGGACTGACAAATTGGAATGACACATTTTTAGTGACGTTTTTATGACTGGATTGATGTTTTATCAAAAATTATCTTCCTCAAATTGTGGTTTCTGAGTATAGCTTAAACCTACTGTGTATGTCTCAAGTATGCTCAAGTACCAAAAGTACACAATGTTAAAGCGGCTCTCTAAAATTTGTATCTAGTTCATTACCTTTATTACAAGCTAAGAATACTCTGAGTCTATGGCAATATCTTTTTTAGAATGGCAATATTTAAAGCTAGCACATTCCAAGGTGTATTTGCGGGTAGAATTACTTCACCTTCTTGTCTTTGTGCTTCTTGAAATGTTCAAGGTATCATCAAACTTGGTCTTTTAAGACAAACCACTGTTTGATTAGACATATTCCAGATTTGTTTATCAGTACATTCCATTTTTATCCTCATTGAACTAAAATTGTTTCACTACCATCAGATTTAATATTTCCCTTCCCCAACCTTGAAACATTCTTAAAAATTGTACTACTAATGAGCCATCGAAATGTTAGCCATATTGCCACATCTTCAAACCTTTGTCAACTTCAACTGACTGGACAAGTTGCTTGATATGTTGTGTTGTGATGTGTGCTTCTGTTGAGGTACATTCGTAGAGAGATAGTTTGTTGTTTTGGCTTGCCAATTCATAGATTTGACTGAAATTTGTCATAGGGTGGGGCCACATTGTCTGAATCTGTTCTCGAAGGCTAATTGTTTGTAGATTAGTTAATTGAGAAAAAAATAGTTCGAGAGTGTTGTGCCTTCCAGTTAGTAACAACTAAAGTTCAACGTGCATGAAATTGAATAATAATTATAATAATGTTATTTATCAGTGTATGTCAGTCCTAGTTTTTGGACAGAGAAAGACTTTTCTCTTTGAAGCAGTGCTGCTTTGATATTTCATGTTGTTTTAGTGTAACTGATTATCTATTTATTAGGTGTGCCCCTTTTGGAAGTAAGGCTAAAATGTCTACATGTTATGTGCTCCAAATCACTAGATGTAGGTTAGGGAAGTGTTTCTATATACATATCTCATATTGAATGTATTTAGGAACAACTTGCCACTTCATCCGTTTAACATTTATGGATAAGTAAAATTAAGCCCACTATCTACAAGAAAAATTTATGAATTTTCAATTATATGTTTTTCTTTTGGCCTTCTGCCTTAAACTAATTATATAGAGAATCTCAGAAACACTGAAAGCACTGTTTCGATGGTAGAAGTTTTGTACAAAATAGTGATGGTAGAAAGAAGTCTTATGGAAGATCCCTTACATTAAGTAAATTTATTTGGCCATTTCTCTTTGTGCTAATTTTCAACGCTTAGTTGGGGTGCCATTTTTGTTTAAAATTGAAGTAAATGGAAAATGGTTTTGGTGTTTGCATTATTTCACTTGACCAAGTACCTTTGCTTTTATTTGTGACTGCCAATATTTGTTACCAATGTACTCTGGGTATTTTCAAAAACCTTTTGAAAAAGAAAAGACTTGTTAAATATTAGAAACTAAAACTTTTTTGTAACTGACTGCAGGACTAAAATGGCAATTGCATTTTTCTTTAGTGACTCTCACCCCCTGCCAGTGTTTGGTATGGAGTGATAAGGCCTTTGAAACATGCTGAATAACATGTACTTATTTTCTGCAACGAGTCAAAAAGTTTTATCTGCTGTTTAGCTTCAGTCTGTGGTCCTCACTTTGATAAGTCCTGTAACTAGGAAAGGTTAAAAACACCTTGTCCAAAGTTAATTCTCTAACTCATTTTGCTAAGCAAACCATACTCTTATTGTAATTGTCCATTTTGTGTGTGGCTCAATTGCTCAAGGAATTATGTAGCTTTCTATCTGCAAGTTTTTCTAACGATGTCACACGTGCTGTGCTGTTAAAAGACATGTTTTCTTTTCTTTTTAAATAATAATTATGCTCTTTTTAGCCATTTTGTGTACAGTTCTGTTCATTTTGGTCTGCCCATGCCAGTTTCTGCTTCAGTGTTGCTGTTTATCATAATTATTTCCAGGTTTGAATTAACTGTGGTTATTCAAAGTAAGCTCTCTGTTCTATTTACTATGAAATTCGTTTATGTTTTTTTCAAATATTCTTGAGGTTAGTTTTGTTCTTGTGTAAGGTTGTCTGAAAATTTAAAGTGAAACATTTCAACCTTTCAAGTCTGATTATGCTAAGATGAATTTGAGCAGCTTTCGACTGTTATGCCAAATCGTGTGTGTTTTTTTACATTGAAACTTCTGAGTTGACTTCATCCAAGGTTGATTTGAAATTTGTCCTCTGTAAATACCTTTTCTTTCTTTATTAATTTTTGTGCTAGATTGTGAAGTATTATTGTTAGAAAGATGTTATTTAATATTTATTTAGCCTGATTATTTTGGTGATGCTGTTACCTATTTTTGTTCCTTTATGTTTCAAAGTCTTTCCAATTTTCCATGTAAAATTGAAACTGAACATAAATACAGTGCACATTTTGGCTTGCCCAAAGAAGCTGGACTCATCTGCAAATGTAGTGTAGTCTTCATCCTTTACAATTTTCCAACTTGTACACATTTGGAAATCTTTGTACAAGTTATACCAACTTTCACAACCTTTTTTTAAATTTCTCAATCTAAGTGTTGTTGGACCCCTGGTGGGTGCACCTTACATTGTGAAAAATCACAGATGATGTGCCATTGTGGCCCTGTTCATTCCTAAGGAATGTGAAGTCCAGTGTTCAAGAGAATAAGCAACAATAAAATTGTTGGTTGTGAAAGTGGAGACACACCAGAAAGAGGCCATTTGTCAATTAAATATATGATTCTTACTAAAATTGTAGGTAAGCTTTTTTTTAACAATCGTGTATAGTGTACATTGTAATTTGGGTCTTCTGGCCTCTATCTGTCCACTATGTTTCAAGATGCACTGTTAATTTGCATTCTATAATTCTATGCATACATATGTTTACTGAGCACTTAAATTTACAGAATATGGTGTGAAAATGCCTATGCACTCTTTCAATGTCAATACTTAGAGAAAACTACATGTATGTGTGTAGCATCGTCAGCTCCTTAGATTGAACTGTTACTCCAGATTGCTTCGCACGTGTAACAAATTTGTTCTGATGGATGAACGAACGGTTGTTCTTCTTTGTGATGTTTTCGTTTTTTTAATCACAAGAATATCAATAAATATTGAAGCAAGCAACTCCCGTTCTTTTTCACTCCCTATTCCTTGATAACTAGGCTGACTCACTTTCATCTTAAACTCTTCATCTCAGTTGGCATCACAGCCAACGCCGCTGTTTGGCAGTCTAAGTTCCTTGCACCAAAAAGAAATCGATTAAAACGACTAAATAAAAATACGAGCTTAAGGCGAGGCCTTATGGGTAGAGCCTAAGGAGATGTGTCACACTGGTTGAGTTGAGACGCCTCCAGTTGAGTTCTGGTGCGGTGCGGCTGTGAGGGTGTGTTGGGTTGCCTACCTTCCACTACCATTACGGGCCAGCATGTGGGCTTTATGTTAAGTTGCCTACCTCTCCGTGTTGAAAAGGGTTGGGGGCTGGGGGGGGGGGGGCGTGCAATCCGGCAAATCCTTATCGATTCGTGCGAGCAGTGAGGAGGTCGGGCCGGGGCCGCTGCTGAGCCCCATCTCCAAGTGGCTGCGCTAGGATTGCCTCTCCGGCCGACATCTCATCCCCCTCTCCCCCCCTCTCCCGTTTTCCCCAGTCGCACGGCTATCACGCGGCCCCGGCCGGCAAAGCAGCAAGCAGCAAAGCGCGGCCGAATGCATTATTCGCCTTGATTGGCAGCCGTGCATCGATGGCTGGCGCCTGCACCCTTGCAGTGTGCTGCCGGTGTTGTTTCGGGTGTCTGCCGAAAACCAGAACCGGCATGGAAAACCGAACGGCGTCAAAATGAATTGCAGGGCAACGGATTAGCCCAAGACTTTGCTCACACTTTTCTTTTCTGAATCTCCAGTGAATATCATCTCGTGTGGCGTTGGATGTAGCCCCGCGAGGCCAGGCGTGGCGGCACAGCGCGGCTTGGCAGGGCAGGGCAGGGCCGGGTCGGCAAGTCTCATCATCATGCCGGCATGCATATTCATCGTTCTGACGTCTCGCACTCCTCACGCGGATTACCGTTAATCCCAATTACCTGCACCTTGCGCGGTCGGGCTTGGCCGGGCTTGGCCGGGCCCGGTCGGTCCGCGGGGCTCCTTCAAGGGACGCGCGCACTGGCGCACGCACAAGGGGTGGAAGCATTTTCGCGCCCATTTTCAGGCGGAAACGATTTACACTTGACGCTTATGCTCTGGAAAGAGGATTTAAAACAAATGAATCAACATGTTCCTGCGCTGTGTGGTTAATAACATTTGCACACCCAATTTTTTTTCGAAGCCTACAAAAACGTAGAAATTAATTCTTTTCAACGATCCCAACTTTAAAGTCAGGTCATCCACAAAAAATGTTGTTTGCTTTTTTTCCCTTTCAGAGCATGTCGAAGAGTCACGATTCTTGACGATATTGCCTTTCCACTGTTCAATGCCCCCTCCCCCTTTTCCTCTCCCGAGTCCTTCCGGGCGAAAGTCCCCCCCCTCCCCCCGGGCCCTCCCCGCGCGCTGGCTTCGTGTTGACCCAGGCTCCGAGTTTTAATGAGCAAATCGCTCTAAGTCTATTTGTCCTTATTTTTGAGCCGCCATTAGCCCGACAAAGGCACTGAAAGGGTGACACGTAGGGCCTGCTGGGCCCATGGCCCGGGCCCTTCCCTCGGGCGATGCCCCAAACCTCCAAACCGCGCTCCGCAGCCCGCACAGTGGGCCAGAAGACCGGTGATGGCGGCCAAAACTCTAGACGCGTTTTGAGCTCCAGAGTCGCTAATCAGGACTCGAACCGAACGTGTGACCCCATCAATGGATTCCCCGTTCGTAGAGCAATCCATTGGTGGGGTCACACGTTGGGTTCGAGTCCCATTTAGCGACTCTGGAGCTCAAAACGCGTTCGGGATTCTGACCGCCTCCACCGGTCTTCTGGCCCACTGTGCCCTGGCTGGCCGTGCCTGGCTCCGGCACGCATCGCCCCAGTCGGCAGCAGGGCGGCAGCACAGCGGCCCGCGTGGGCTTTATTTGCACGTCCCTGCAAAACTTTTCCCAGCCCAGCGGACTGATTCCGCTCGGCGTTCCGTCGTGCCGCCTCTCTCGCACCGACACGGGACGCGCCGTGAGTGCGAGTGAGACAGCCGATGAGCCGGCTGGAGCCCGTGTTATCTGGCGTTGAGGTTTTCATTGGACGCGCCGGCCGCGCGGGCGACCTTCCGGGACCCTCCGTGCTGCTTCCCGGTCGGGAAACTTGTTCCGCGCCTTCACTGTAAAAAAAGTATTACTGAAATTTCATAACTTTAGTCTGAAGTTTTTAAACAGACTAGTGGTCTGAAAATTCAGAATAATTAATCAGACCATTATGTCTGAATTCCAAATTCAGACTGCTTGTCTGAAAAACATTTTCAGACTGCTACTCTGAAATATTAAATAAAAGTGCCATCTATAAATCAAAGAGAAAGAAATCAACAAGAGAACAATATGAACCACCAACGTGTGACGGTACCTCCTTTCCACTTTCCACTTGTTCGCTTCGGCCCGGGTTCGAACCGGGACTTTTTGGTTACGAGACGAGCTCGGTACCACTGCGCTACATGCGCTGCCTGGCGGCGGGGGAAGCCGTGCCGCGTGACTCTCTTCAGAGGATACCAGCTCCTTTCGGCAAGTCCAGAATGCAAGTTCGGACAACTCTTACGGTTAATCTACCGTACCCAGACGAATCTGCGTGAAGCACGGGTGTACATTATTATTTCCGATAAATTTATAGTACAACGCCTTACGTCTAGACTTGATTAGTAGACAATCTGTCAAAATTTTCATACCAAAATTATGAAAACAGGTTTCAGGATGACAAGGCTGAAAACTTTATCAGAATTTTCAGACCTTCTGCTTAAAATTCAGACTAACCGGTGTGATCTCAAATTTCAGAGTTCCTAGTCTGAAAATTCAAAGCATTTTTCTGAATTACCGATTCAGACTGCACAGTCTGAACAAATTGTACTGAAATTTCAGAATTTTTTTTACAGTGTTTATCTTTGACACTTCTTTGCGAAGAAGAACAAATATTTAGAGCCCCGAGGAGTTCGAGTTGGGAGCAGGGGGCTCTAGCGCGTCAGCCTCGTTGTATCTGCGCCGACCCCCTCCGTCCTGTTCGATTCCCAGCTTACGATCGAGAGCTCGAAACTCGACGATCGAAGCTCGAAGCTCCCTCGGTCTCGGAAGTGAGCGCGGGAAATGGTAGGAAAATGGCGCGGCGAGCAGTGGCAGTGCAGCGCGCGCTGTGGCTTTCCCCCAAGAGGCCTTGCTTGAATTTCCCCCGTCGGCAGCGGCGTCAGCGTCGGCGGCACAGAGCATTGCTAATTGCGTGAAAAAGGGCGCGCGTAGTCGCTCGAGACGCGACGCGCGCTGTTCCCGCTTTCGCCGCTCTGTTCGCGCACAGTCTGACAGCGAGAGCGGCGTCTAACGAACGTAATGAAATACGCCTCTCAAGTTGTGTCTCACTAACGCGAGGAGCAATATCTCGTTACGCAGTGGCGTGGCGAGCCGCACCGCACCGCGCCGCACCGCGCTGCGTGCACAAAGGCGTGAGACTGCTCGCGAGGGTCCCGGCAGCCCCGGGCAGGCAGCCTGGTGTAGGCGCTAATGTGCAATGCGGATTAATTTACTGCGACATTGCCCGCGCGTGTGTGCCTGTGTGTGTCTGTGTGTGTATGCCGGGCCGAGCTGGATTTGGGCTCAGGGCTGTTCCGCGTGAAACTGCCGGGCGGGGACCATGTCGCCGACGAAAAACGCCAACATTGTGTATACCGCGATTGGAATATCCTCGTTGTACGAGGAAGAACCGACCCCGGCAGGGATTTTAAAAGTTTCCGATCTTGTCGCTTTGTTTGTGTTGGCGAACAGGCGGGCGCAATCACCGGACTACTCCGGAACGCGGCCTCATCGCCCCCTCTTGTTTCTCCGCATTCCGGAGTGGTGTACCGGGCGGGCCGTCCGGTGCAGGCGCTCACCTGTTGATTGCCGTTCGGGACGCTGGGTCATCGCTTGAGACTGGCCAGGACTCGTCCAGATTGCCACCTAGCTCCCCTGCACCTTCACCCCGCGAAAAAAAAACAAAAACATGGCAGAAACAACGGAGTCATATCTACCTCTGCTGTCGACGGATTGCGGAGATGTCAGTCCGATGTGAATGTTCTAGAGGTAAACTGCGGCACACGTCCATTCTCGTCTATTCTCGGATTTAGAGGTGTCTCCAGTAGGTGGCGGGCCGGCCCGATATTACCCCTTTAAATCACGCCCCTCCCCTTTTGTGGATCACTCTTTGTGCCCCGAGCTTTGTGGGGCCCACAATGGGGTGGGTGGCGACGTCATGGTGACGTCATGGTGACGTCGTGAACGCATGCAATTGGCCGAGGTAGGCGATCCGGCGAGTTTGCTTCCGAGGCCGGGCGGACGCCTCCGGGGAGGCGCACAAAATCGCAACTCAGATTACTTGCTTTCGCCCAGAGCTGTTCCCAGAAGTATGTGCGCCAAGTTTGCCATAGGGCCTCTCGAACCAGCTTCCTTCCTGCGACAAAAGCTCCCTGCTGAGGCCTGGCCAGCGAGGCTCCCCCTCCCCTTCTGCTTGGTCCAAGACAGGGGTTGCCTGCGTTGATTCTGAGCGCACCGTATAGTTTGGCGAACTCTCTGCCCGTCGCTACTCCGCGAGCGAGAGACCCTCAGCTTGCGTGGGGTGTCTTTTTGGCACTGCACGCCAAGGCAGCCGGCCACGCCGAAGGCAAGCGCAAAGCGTTCCGGCCCGTCGTTCCGGCAGATGGCATCGACTGGCCCGACCTCGCCCGACCTCGCCCGGCCTTGAGCCTCACGCGACAGTTGTAACAATAAGTGACATGCAAACGGGGCGCCTCGCTCACTGCCCACCCATAAAAAAAAATGACGGAAAAGTTTTTGGCAGGGTCGTCACAGCGAGGCGGCAGCAGCGCGCGACAATACACGCCGGCGGCCAAACTGCACGCAAATAAAAATAGAGGAAGGAGTAAAAGTTGGTCGAAACAAAGCAAACGCCTTTGAGACGTCGTCGGTCCGTCGGTCGGGTGGCGAGGTCGCGGCCA